CTTTCCTCATAAATATTAGTAGAGAAGTGATTCACTAAATCTGTTTAACAAGTTTCCTTGACTTTAACTTCTCGTAGTTGAATTTTTTCTCATATCTAAACTATTTGTTATGAAAGCAGCACTTGAATTGACGAAATAATTTAATTGGTAGATCTGAATTTAGTTAATTAATTAGTGTGTATTAATAACTAATTGAGTTTTAAGTGAAACATTAGTCTTTTATTCAAGAGGAAGTTGACAATCACATCTTATTTGAAAGTAACTGAAGTAGAAAAAATATTTTAGTGCCCCTCAGTTGATCGATTTGACGGTAAATAAAAAAAGATACAATCTGGCACAAAATCTGTCAAATGCGTGCTTCATCACACTTTCAATACAGTTGATACATTCACTACGCAACTATGAGAGATTTGTAACTGATGCCTCAGTTATTTACACAATCATCTGGTAACTTATAGTGCTTGAATAGATGATCAATTTGGAAAATAATTAAATTTAAATATGAAACAGATGCATAAACTAGCACACACATTTATCATATTTGTGAATCCCACAGTACAGCGGAGACAAAAAGTAACTTAAGGTCTGCAACTACAAAAGTGATGTTTAGAAGTATGTTGATCACAAATAAACGTGGAAATTTATGAATAAAGATTTGTTTTTACAAGAAACGAAGTATTTGTTTAGATGAAATCTGAAAATATTTTGTGCTTCGTAAATTAATAAATGGTCAGTTCTCAAATTCACTTTGAAGTTCTTGGTCAGACGCAAAATGTTAGTCATACAGAAGTACTTATAGGAACATTGTAGAAAAGGAAACAATGCTTTTTGGGCTACTTAACAACTAACAATCATTCAGTTAACATTCATATTACATTTTGAGAAGATAAGTGTCGATTCTACTCGGGAAAGATAAATCCAAAGAAAACTTGAAATCAAATATTAATTTCATACAATGATTCCCTTTTATAAATTTGAACAGAGAGAGAAGAAACATTGGAGCAGAATAATGTGGATCCATTTTATTTCGTTGGTTCTCATCAACTGCGTACAACCTGAATTTTTGTTATTAAAAATAAATAGTGTACAATTTTTAACAAAGCTTTGTCCATTAGCAAGCATAGCGTCATAGTATACCAATTCACATATATCTGCGGAAGCAGTTACATTGGAAAAACAGAGAGGAGGGCCTACGTCAGATTCTGCGAACATGTACCAAGGAGCCTCCGGTTAAAGGGACCGATTTATTTAAGCTCTTCAATCGCCAAACACCTGATTGACACAGGATACTGAGTAGATGTGCTGGAATCATTCAAAATAATTAACAGACGAAGTACCTCAAGTCTTCTCAGGTTTGCTGAAGCTATAGCAATAAAACGATTTAAGCCAGACTTAGGTATCCAAAAAGAATCCGTTGTTGGACTTCAGTTACCCTGGTAACTCACGTCTTGGTAACTCTTTGTTTTCTAATTTTGTTAATTTGTTAGCTTATCTTTTCACTCCACCAGCCACCTTTATGTTTCGCTTGACTCTCTTAAGAGATAATTTTTCTTGATCTTCTGAGTTCTGCTCACTGTATTACATCATCAGCTTCTCATCTGACCTCATGTGCACCGTAATTTTAAAAAAGTTTGATCTCTTATCTAATTACGTAACTATTGCTAATTGTCTTTTGTTACCACCCTAACAACACAACTGTTAACTATTTTTTTTCAAGAAACTTCTCTCTACCAAGATATATATATATATACATGTCGTGACACTTTAGACACCCTGCAAATCTCAATGCCTTATTTTACTATGACGCTCTGACACTATGCTTGCTAATGGACAAAGCTTTGTTAAAAATTGTACACTATTTATTTTTAATAACAAAAATTCAGGTTGTACGCAGTTGATGAAAACCAACGAAATAAAATGGATCCAGATTATTCTGCTCCAATGTTTCTTCTCTCTCTGTTCAAATATTAATTGTCTTCGAATCTCACTCTTAGTCGTATTAGCTAACAGGATTATTGAATTTTTTTTATCCTTCCTAAAGTAGTACCGGTGACATTTTCTGCAACGAAAATTTTGTTGAGAAATCCTAAATGAACAACACAGATGACATGCATTCTAAGTGTAGAAATCCACTTTAAAATGACTTTTCCCACCATAGATGAATTGTTTCCCTTTGTTATAGACCAGCATTCGCTGTTATGATACTGTTGTTTAAATACAGTCTAACTGGTCAATATTTGTCGGGGAATTTTCGATACTGAACAAATCACCAATAAATAAAGTGATACCATAAAACAATACAAACACTTACATACACTTTAAATGACTTTCATCTGTTATCTCACATGTATCTCATACACAATGAAATAAACGAATAATCTGTGTGAAAACAGCTAAAATTCTGAATTTAGTCCTTGATAATTTGAGTAGAAATAATGAGTTCATCACATTCGATTTCCAGTCGCAAGAATAAGTATAAAATGCGCAATATTAACTTCTCAGAGTTAGTTGTATAGACATTTAGTTATCAAGTCCTACTAAACAACAGAAACACACCGTTCATCCACTGAAATGTTTACAGACGTTTGATACAAAGACCAAATCTGTTTGCAGAAAAGAAGCTTAATTTTCTTTAAACCGAAATATTTGCAAAAAAAAAGAAAAATTAAGGGATGAAGGAAAGAACAAAAGTCAGATAAACGGGAACTAAATAGTATGTGTGTGTGTATACGATAATATTTTTTTATTTCTGCGGATTATAGAAGGAAAGAAACTGTGTGTGTCAAGAGGAAGAAAGGAAATTTGACCTGATTTTCCAAACATCGATTTATTCATTCATTCAGTCTATTTTCAGTTATATATATATACATATATATATATATATATATGTATATAAGGAAAGTTCAGATTTGTCAACAAAATTTGCTGATCAGGAAATATTTAGTTATCATTGATAGAATAAATAATTAGCTATTTGTGTGTATAAATCAGTTTCTCTTTTCAGCTGGTTGTTTGTTGGCAAGGCTAAAGTCAGTGCATTTGTCTGCCGGAAAATACTGTCGTCACTTGAGTAAAATACACTAGCATGAAATAGATTTAGATTGCATGACAATTTTAGCAATGAGGCATAATTTAGTATACGTATAGAGAGGTATAGTTTATGCAAAGTCACGATACCAGGGAATTCTGTAGCTATTTTTCAGTTAACTTGAACCACGTGCATACTACAGTTACCTTCTGTCTAGGGACCTTAGTCAGATCTATGTGAAGATCTTGCGGGTTATTATCCAAACCTTATTTTGAAAGTGTTGATGGTCTTTTAAAATAAAGGACATGATGGTATTTACAGGCTATAAAAATGAACACTAAATTTTTTGACTGAAGAGTATTATGACTGGACATTATTATGTAAGTAAACGATTTCAGGTGATTTTATTTTATTGTCAAAACTGAAAAAATTATATATATATATATACTCTTAGGAAACCATCAAGTAACATCACTAGACAAGCCATTTCTCGAGTGGAACCCGAAAGGGAAGCGGCGAGTTGGTCATCAGTGCAAGGGTGACTTGGAGGAGGTCATGTGAAGAGGAGATGAAAACGTGTGGGCAGACTTGGAGCCTGGTGAAGACTCTAGCAGAAAACCGAACGCAATGGAGACGCACGACTGAAGCCCTATGTTCCTCTAGGAATTAAAGGATACAATAATAATTATATATATATATATATAAAACACCTTTAGTTTACTTCTGTGCGCTTGAGTGTTAAGGTGACTCAGTATTATAACATGCTTTTATAATTTTTCCTACCAAGATTTATTTAGAAACTTACGCCTCATCTAAATAACATATGAAGAAAGCATCAAGTATGTTTCAGTACGGACTTATGCTAGCATGCTAACATTTACAGACAACGGTATGTTATTATTATTATAAAAATAGTGGAAATTGGTCTTCAGTGTGCGAAAGCTGGGCTGGAAATCTGCAATTCGCCAGTTCAACGTGAGGCAGAAAATTGAATCAGCGTAGACATTTGTACAACATTCACTTGGTCGTCTATTTACAAGTTTTGGTTTTCAGGGATTAGGTTAGTTTCAAGTTAAAACCACTGAGAAAGAGAGAGAGCGAGAGAGTACTTAACAGCTGTTTCGTTCTACTTTCGAATTCTTCAGCAGTACTTTTGTTCATAATATTCGTGTCATAATAAAATTGATAGTGCGTCGGTGGCATAGTGGTTAGGACGCTCGCCGACCATGCACATGGTCCGGGGTTCGATCCCCGGCCGACGCACTCCTTTACCTCGCTAAGCCAGAAATAATGCTGGTGAAGAGGAAAGGTTGGGCATGAGGCTAGCAACCCCATCCTGTAAAAATAAACACTGTTACAGAAACTTCAAGTCACTAGCTTGAAGCCCTATGTTCAACTGGGGAACGTGAAGGAATAAAAAAAAAAATTGATAACATATCTATTTCACTTGCATTCATTAAAAATGACTAAGATGAAAACGTTTTCACCAGTTGACATGGAAGATTGTTTTAGTAAGCAGTCCACTATCAGCGTTATCATTCGGGGAGGGGTACTACAGCATTTCATTCTAGGAAGTTTTTTCTATTTATTTAAAGTCACCATTTTTTTAAGAAAATCTAGTTTAAAGGTTCTGCTTGCAGTTTGCTAAAAATGAAACATGCAGGCTACTTTATTTGACTGACTCCCTATCCTGAATCTTTGCCTGTTCCTTAACAAGTAAAAATAACTTTTATTTAAAACAGAACAATCATCTAGTCCTCGTTTTTTTGTAGTTTTGCAGTTTGTGTCAATTCAGGAATAAGTGTAGTTATGTTATTTTTCACAAAAGGTGTCATCTCTGAAGGTGTGCATTATGATATGATCATCCACTATGTGCAAAATATTCACGACACGTAAGAATTAGAGGTCTATTTGGAATTATGAAGACTTTGACTTCATTCCTAATTTCTCTATTTATTTTTGTTTAAAACAGCTTCCAAACTAAAAGGTTCAACAGATTATTATGTTCACGACTTAGCATCACTTCAGCTATTTATTTATCTGTATGCTCCAATTATTGAACAACTAAAGCCAACTGATTTCGATACACTGAAGCTCGAGGCCGGATTACACCTGTGGATTCCACTTATGGAATACTGTCAACCAAACCGTGGTACATTATCATCACCTGTGAAAATTTTTCTACATGGTTCCAGCCTTTTTACTCGATCGGCCGTCGTGAATACCGATGAAAGAGATGGCATAAAAACGGGATCTATCTTAAATGATATCAATAAAAGAAAATCATTTAGTGAGGGGACTGCTGGAGAAATGTCTTCCAATGTCTACATTGGTAATACATCAGATAAAAGTTCAGAAATCGACTATAAATCCCCGTCAGCTGTTAAACCATTTGAAGTTTTGGTTGATAGTGCTTCAATTCCACATGTCGAAGCTAATTCAGATGTAAGTTGTATTGTACTTTCTTATACTTCTTCATTTTTCTGTATTTTTTAAATTCAAATTACGATTTTTGACGATTGCAAGCCAATCTTGATATCATGGCCCCCTAACCGGATATCCTGACATTCACGCTCATTTACCATGGGATTCCATATAAGTGTGCAGGAAAGTTAGATATTTGTCAATGATTTCATGCTGATCTTCTTGTAACTCAGCATTTATGGTCGATGAATGCATCTTTGATCGGAAAGGCATACAAACACATAATAGGGGAAGTTTCAAATGACAAAAACTCATTCTTCGAATCCTTTCGCTATGCGAATTAATTGTGAATTTCTTCGCTATCACAAATTCTTTAACGTATGCCATATTAGATAATTTGTTCTAAAAAAGTTATTAATGGTGTTCATAGAGATCTGTGACTATACCACATGTTTCTATCCAGTCAATACTAATCAGTGTAGAGTAGAAGGCATTCCGACATCCTAATCCTAATCTTCAGTACCTCAAATTACTTTATCTCAAATAAATATGACTTGCACTGTTCGTTTAGTTACTAATTTTGCTATCTGTGTTGATAAAGGCGGCTTCTGCCAAATGTTCACCTCACTTATTTTCTTCCGAAGTACTCAGAAGGGAGGTATAACTTACACTTTTCATATTTTAGGAGTTACACAAAGGTTCTGCAAAGATGTTTTAATACAACTGATTTGGAAGACTGAGTATTCTTAATAAGACCTCTTCCAATATATATTTTTTATTCCTTCACGTTCCCAGTGGAACATAGGGCTTCAAGCTAGTGGCTTGAAGTTTCTGTAGCAGTGCTTATTTTACAGGATGGGGTTGCTAGCCTCATGCCCAACCTTTCCTCTTTACCAGCTTTTATTTCTGGCTTAGCGAGGTAAAGGAGTGCGTCGGCCGGGGATCGAACCCCGGACCATGTGCATGGTCAACGAGCGTCCTAACCGCTGTGCCACCGACGCCTTCTTCCAATATACTATAAATAAACTAAGTGTAAAAGACACGATCTTGAAAAACGAAAATGAAAATATCAACTTTTTTCAAATCTTATCTTGAACTAAAATCTGATTTCCTATTTACTGTATAATCCGGCTAATGACTATGGACAAAATTCAAAATAAACTACGAAGTGTTAATTGTACACTAGAAAATCTCGTATATTACTAATCATCGCATATTAAGTCAAAATAATTCTTTCTTTTAGTTGACTACACAAAAAGTGCGTCCCTTTTCATATTATATATATATATATATTTCAAATTTTTGCAGTGGGGAACAGTTATGATGTCAATGTATGTGGATAACATACAGTTGAACTGATACTAATTTTGAAAACAAACATTTAGTCTACACAGATCGATGTTTATTAAGTTTTGTCGTTGTTTTACTAAATTTATGGTTTTGAGTAGATAACCAAATTTAGTTTAGTTTAGAAAATTTGTTATTGCCGTTCGTTGTAAATTCTTAGACAACGAAAAAAAATATTCTACATTCCTTTAATTAAAGTTTTTTTTAGGAAAACAATCTGAAATAAACCATTTTGCTATTCTATAAGAGTGTATTCAAAATCTAAACTAGTGGATGGATTAAGATATAATTTTAATAAGCGACGAGAATGTATTGCAGCAGCACTGATGGTAAATTGAGTAAGGAATCGAATCAATGGATAGTTAGCCTCCTACATCGATAAAAATTTGAGGAAAAGGACTGAATCTTGGCGAAATCTGGATATGCTGAAGAAATAGCTGATAATAAATTTGAAATTCAAAGCAGATACATTCAGTGAAGTTCTCCGAAGTCATCTGCTAAGAGCAATTCGAAGAACTTGCATGCTGGCTCACCTCCACACATGCTGTCGCTCGCAAGAATATCAAAGACAGGCTCCCGCTGTTGACAAATTCAATGTGCATTCACCGATTCACTTGCTCCTATGGAGTTAAGTACATAGGCCGTACCAGCAGGATATTGCGTATGAGCACTTACCGGTAAGGTTGTCAAAAAGCGAATGCAGAATGGTCAGCAGATGAGTTCTGGAGCACATTGTTACTTCCGGTCACGAAACATCAGCAGAGATTTCATTCAGAGTCATATATGAAGTACACTTACGCCGTTTAGAAGGATTTCATCTAGATCTTTTTCGTACAGATGAAGTTATTGTCATGCATAAAGAAGAACACGAACCTTACGTTCAGGAATTTTTTATGCATCCTGTTTTACTTCTATGGTCTTGGTGTTTTCTTTGTTGTATAATAAACTCTTTGTAATTTTTCCATGTGACTGGCTTTGAATTTTTGTTTCCTATCAATTAACTAATTAGTTGTAAACTTTCTCCATCACTTTAACTTATTTTGTTACTAATTAACGATAACCTCTGACCTATTCGTCAGTTGACATTGTATATATAAACCTCTAGATAACTATACAGCTTTGAAGTGAAGTGATTAAAAGAGGTATCTTCGCTGACTGATGTGTTCGTAATACACATCACATGGAAATTTACCATACATTGAAGCTGATTAGTTTAGTACTGTTTATTGATACTGTTTGATTAGCTCTCTGAAAGATGTATCTCCATGATCACAGCAGCGAGTTGGTTTAATTGAAAGTCCACAAAAGTCCATATATATATATATATATATAAAGCTCTGCCTGTGCATTCATAACAAAATAGTTGTTTAGAAAATTCCTAATGGAGAAGCACTAAAATAAAATGGTAGATCTACCCACAAGCTGCGCATACTATTCTGAAACAATGACCCATCAGTAGTAAGATAATTGCGCTTACAAGCATTACTTACATGATTGATGAAAGTGAACATATACCTTAAAGTCATAGAAGAGAAAAGGCGTTCAGCAAAGAGTTACTCTTTTCGGTGATATCATTCTCAAGCTGTACAAACCGCAAATTTAAAGTAATTTTTCTTGGCAACAAAAGGAATATTTCCAAAGATGTGTTAATGCAATTGTTAATTTTTTGACAACAAATTACGTAATTTAGAAGGCGTTAATCGGTTAGAAACTAAAATAAAGTTACAAAAGTAGGTTGGGTGACGTAATCTAATTGCTAGGGTTCAATGAAAAATGAATGAGAGTTAAGTGAATAAGCTGAGTAGAATTCACTTGAAAATGAATGAGAGTTAAGTTAATAAGCTGAGTAGAATTCACTTAAAAATAAACGAAAATGGAGTTAGCAACAGTCGTCATGAGGGTAGAGATTTAATAGAGGGTGGGGGTAGAAAATAATGCAATTAAGAAACAGACAAACAAAGAAGAAAGAGGTAAGACAAAATTACGTATTTGGTGTTAAGATAGATCAGGACCATTGTAGATTTAGTGACTGAACAAACTTCTTTTGTATGCAGAGTTCAGGATTCAATATGTGAATTGCCATTGCTTCTGCATTTTGAAGAAGTTTAATTCGTACTCTTTTGGCAAGGTTCCCACGTATTGTGTAGATAACTGAGAAGTTGTTCTGTGTGTTTGCTTGGTGTCGGGATTCGATCAAGTGTTCTAGGATAGAGCTGTGGTGGGGGATCTTCTTTCTCCTTTATAAAACCATGAAGGTAAGTGTTCGCTGATTCGTTTGGATGGCAAACGCTGGGTACGGCCGACATACCTAGCTCCACATGAGCAGGTGAATTGGTAGATGCACATTGATGAGGCCCCCAGTGGAAGCTTATCCTTCACGTTCGTGCGAATCATTGGTTTCGTAGAGAAAGTTAGTCTGAGTTCAGCTGCGAAGGAGGATTTCTTCAGTGAACGGCACAGGCGGTTTCTCAGTATCTCTGCTGAAGAATCTCCGTTGAATTGTAGATTCAAATAGAGAAGTTTCTTGGGAGCAGTAAGCATGGACGGTTTTTGTGTTTTGGGCTTCATAGCTTTTGTGATGAAACGTTCCGGGTAATCGTTTTCAAGGAGGATTCTTTTCAGGGTCTTCAGATCTTCTTCTATAGTTTCCGGACTGCAAATGTTGTGGATTCTGTGAGTCAGTGAGCGGATTAGATTTCGTTTTGTATATAGAGGCACCCAACTGTGAAAGCTGATGAGTTGTCCATTCCATGTCGGTTTTCTGTGAATGGATCTTTTGAGTGTCCCATCTTGTTTGCGTCTTGCTAGTTGCACGTCCATAAAAGATATTGTTGCGTTGGACTCCTTCTCTAGTGTGAACTGGATTGCTGGATGGCAACTGTTGAAGAAGTCCAATATGTTCTCCAAATTTTCCTCATTATTGGCGATAATAAAAGTATCGTCCACGTATCTCTTGTAGAACCCGAAGTTATCTATTATCTTCTTTAGGTGTGTATACCTTAAATGTTACTGAACTGACTGCAAATAATTAGTAATGTAATGAAGATTTTATATATACATTAAAGAGAGCAGACAAAGTAAAGATCATAGGCATACCATATTTTACTATCCAAAATATAAAATTTATCTGTTTACGGTAGCTAATTTCTTCACAGGACAATATTTTTGACTAATAGGTGAAGGATAGTAGTTGAAGTAATAACGAACAGTTGGTATACTTCTGTAACTGGTATTATTTTGTGAAGGAAATTAACTTTCCAGAGAAACCAATCCATTATTTAAGGTATTGTGAAAACTACTTTACCCTTCATCCATGCCCAATTCGATATTCTCTAGTTAACAGACATATATATATATGCATATATATATGTATACTTATGTAATGTCCTTTTAATATTATAAATGAATTAAATCATGCAATTTCTTGTCCTTTTCTTGCAATGATAACTCATGCTTATCGGATTAAAAATTTGTATTGTCTAGAATACTCTCCTCACTATTTCATCTGTCGTAGAGAAAAGTTATATATAAAATCATATATATATATATATATATATATATATATATATGTATTGAACATCATAGCGTGATAAACTATATTTTCACATGCTCCATTGACAAAAGCAGGTAAAAATTTCTGCTTTTGTAAGCTTTTGTATAACTTGTTGGAATTTTCACCTACATCGTCTTTAAACTAAATAGCATATATAACAACAAATGGGCAAAGTTAGAAGCTACCAAAGGAATCATTATCATCACTGAAGATTTATGTTTTCCAGTAAATGAAAACAGGAACGAAGTTGTTTGTACTGACATTCGGGCATGCAAATAATAATGAGTCGATCCAATTTCTCTGAAATAGATAATTCAACTGTTACCAACTATGGGAAACATAATGATTAAATCTGATGCTCACTAGTAACTGGCCCTATTCAGGCAGTTAACCTGGGGTTCTAGTGGGAAGCCGTGACCAGTAGGGTACAGCAGGTTGAAGATGTGACAGTAACTCATCTAAGAAGACATTGCGAAATGGTCGCGCTATGTCGTGAATTGGCAGAAGTTAGAATTCAAGGACCATTGGATCGGGTCCCAGTGGCTCAATGGTCTACGAGCTCGCCTTGCAACCAGAAGGTCCTGGGTTCGAATCCCGGTGGGTGAGTACCGCTGAAGAGTCCCAAACTAGGACGAAACAGCCGTCCAGTACTCCCAGGTTTTCCAGTGGTTCTCTAACTGATGTTAGCTCATGATGAAATCCTCCATGCAATTAAATATGATTAGCTTACTTTTTAAAACAAAAATAATTTTTGCTAATGTATATATGAGTAAAATTCCTAAAGCGTATGTATCAATAATGTAATTCAAAAGAGCTTTGAGTTAGGGAATTTCAGTTGGCTATTAGCATAATGCGGTAATTTGCTTAAAAACAGAGAAATGACGTTCGATATTTCTGTCTTCATAAAAATAAGAAATCTTAAATTAATCAAAAAAAAAAATACTACTTGCCCATTACCCACATTTTCCTCAAATCTTCCTCAAATTATTTTACCGTATTCTTAGTAAAATCGACAAACTCAGAAACTGGTTATCGCCTAGAGTAGAGTGACTGAAGACAGACTTTTTCTTGTAGGTTTGCATCTCATCCAATTTTTTTTTTAACCTAGAAGCTGTTACTTCTTAATTTTTACATTGATGACTCAACTCATTCGAGGAGAAAGGTCTGTACAACTAACACGCGAACCAAACTATAAGGCTGTAAAATATTAGTTCTTTGGCGTATTTACCATTTTATAGCTAAAAGGGTGATAAAGACAAAATATTGGAGAATTTAAAAGGAAATGAGTACCCAAAAATTTAGATGTTTAAAATCTGATAAGTCGTTTTTGAAGATGAGCTTTCCATTTTAAAAGAAAAAAAATAGGGAGAATAACTCAGAATTTCTCTATTTTTCTGAATCTCCTATTCATTGATTTTTGATTTCTAGCCTTTGTTATTTTAAATCATATTAGACTTATGCATTACCACTAGGTTTTATAGTAAGGTTCTGGGCATAGCTTCGGCTTTGTATTCATGTACAAAGAGTTATGCTGTTACGCATAATTAATGAGAAAGTAGAATTTTGAGTGGTTTGCCGCACCAATATTATGCAAGCCTGGAAGACGTGACCAGATGACATATTCACAAAGTGGTGAATTAGCGACGAGTAAGTTATTCCCTAAACAGAAAAGAAATACACCATTCAGAACCAGTCAACAAACAGTAGCCGAATTGTTTTAGTGACATAAGCAGTGAAACGGGTTACATGGCTAATTATGCCTTTTTTCACGATTTCATGTGATTTCTTTCAACGTGATGATTTGCAGTTACATACCCTGAGTCTATGAATTCAGCAAATCGTTTAAATGCGCGCACTGAAATGAAACTCTGCCTTATTATCTGTGAGACTGTGTAACAGGCTGGCATACTTTTTAACCTTAAACTAGTTTGCTAAGTAGAACTTTAGGCTGTTTTGATAGTTGTTTCGACCTCTGCTGCTGTGAGGCTTTTAATTATAGGTTTGAACATCAAAGGGACTATGTGTCATTTTTTCTTGATAAAAAGGATACATATTCATGCACTATATGATATTAAAGCAAAAGACTATTCAGTAAACACTGTGAGACTTTATCAAAACAAAATTTACCCATAATGCCACTATTTTGATGTGTATTTCTAGTTATCTGATAGAAATTATGCTTTGGCACTATCTTGATCAAATGTGCAGAAGGGGTGAGTTTTTTTAGTAGACTGTGTTTCCCAATCATTTTACAGGTGTTGCGATTGCATGAAGACTGTGTGATTCCTTGACTCTCTGTTTTAAAATATCTAAGGAAAACTAGGAATATGAACTTTCTTGCACAAAATGTCATTCAGTTAAGCTGCATTCTAAAGTATAATCTCAGCTGTGTTCGATTAGAAAAAGCTGCTAACTTTGACTTGGTTTTCAAAAGTTCAGCTTCTTTAAAAAAAAATCCATTTGATCACTTATTCAGTTGGATTTCGTGTATATAATTCTGCATTTTATAGGGATCAGAGAGCAGTGGATTAAATGTTTCGAACTCCGGTCAAAATACTCGCAATTATGCAGTTAACTCTACCGAACAGATCAAGAGCTTACAACCTCCGAAAGCTACACCTGAGTGTATAGATGATGAAGAAGAGTTTAGCGAAAAACCTGTCTCACAGAACACAACGACTGCTGAAGCAACACGAACAACGGAAACAACATCTCAATCAGGTGAACAGAAATCTGTAAGTTAATCAACATGAGAAAATATTGATGTTGATATTATGTAGCAGCTTTTTTTAATAAGACATTTAGTTAGAAAATTTCAGTAAAAGGCGAAACTTCAGGAATAAACTCAAAGATACTTCAGGAATTGATTTAATTTTTAAAAAATATAAGTCAAAAGTATGTAGTTTCAAAGGAGAAATCAGCAAGACAAATTGTATATAAGTACAACTAAGGTTTAGTTAATTGTTTGTATTTGGAAGGGAATAGTGAGATCTGTCCTTAACCGACGTCTAATGGAAAAGGGTTGTCGAGGCAGTGAAAATCATTGACTGAAGACTGCTGGCAATATGACTGAAAATTGTTTTCATGGCCACATATTCGTTCACCCTTTTTGGCCTCCCAGACTCATTTAATCTTTGTAATTCTTTCTCCACGCTTTTTCAACTTTTTATAGTTCCTTCACATTTCTGTTTGCTCCCTTTATGTGTGCTTGCATGAAGTATGGTAGCTTGAAATGCTGCACCTTTGTGCGAAAGGTACCATAGTGAGAATTCAATTCACTTCAGAAAAAGACTATTAATGACTTTTGTTAGCAATTCTCACAGCTAACTCCATAACAAACTCTCCATAGGAAACTAAACAAATGGACATCCATTTGTTGATTCTTCATTCTTATTCTATACTATTGGGTGTTTACTTACAGCTATGTGTTTGATAAGAAAATTTAATTATCCCGTATACTAAATACTTTAGTTAAATCTCAACATCATGTATGATTACTGTAGTGTATGCCACGACGTGTTGGCCGGAGAGTTGTAGGCCAACTTTGCGTGTCATTCCGTCTCACCTAAAAATAAGTATTTATTTTTTTCGCTCACATTATCATGATAGCAATAACAAGACTAACAATGTTAGTTTACCTAGTAATATTCACTTTAAAATCATTTATGCAATATTTTTGTCATACATAATCTAAAATATATGAGACTAATAATTTTTCTTTCACATGCAACATATATATTTTTTATAACAAAAGTCTGCAATTATGAATGATATATGTTGCTGTAGCTAATAGATCACATGGAGTATAGAGGAAAATGATAGATCTAGTATGTCATGAAAGCAAGTTAATTTATTTTTGCCTAGCTAGAGGTGGTTAGCATCATGATATGAGCTACATATGCATACTGAAGTCTTTTTAGAAGCATAATCCAGAGTGAAATAATCATTCTAGTTTAAAGTTAGGTATGTTTACAGAACACTTTAAAATAAAATGATAGTACGCGGCTGAAATAAAACCTGTGGTCTCAGTACCATACACAATACACTAGCATTCAGTGTGTTATGCTGTCCAGTTTTCATTATGAATGAATATCAGCTGGAAAAAACACACATGATTTCGGTCAGGCGTTAGAATCTCTCGTTCTTGTCACCATCATCCTGGAACTGTGATATGCTGAATATAATTCAGCTGATTATACACTGGGAGCATCTCTTTACTTCGATTATTATTTCTTACACTCACTACTCATCCACCATAGCGTTTCATTACATCTATGGAAAATGTACTGGTAATCTTAACTACGGTTATTCACTGCTCTGAGTTTCTCAAATTTTTTCCCTCAAAACTCTCTTTGTCCAATATCAGTAGGGGGAATTCGTTTATGAAATGTTCGATTTATGACTCAATTCCATGAACATATAGAAGCTTTGATGTGTGTATATAAACTTGCATAGATATAAATGAATTTAATGCATGAATTCCAGGTTACGATCTTCAAGATATAAAGCAAACAATAAAAACCTTGTTAATTCAATTTTTCAGTCGTATTGAAAGGTTAATTTAAGGATACATTGAACAACACTCGGACTGATTACCTAATGGTAATTGGTGAACATGTTACGCCCTAAACTTACTAACTGAAATTTATCAGATTGTGTGAGGCATGGTAACCAAAATAAAAGTCACAGCACTTCTGTCCAGTGTAACAGTAGCTCCAATATTTGATTGTGGAAGGTCCACGACATTCTGAGCTGCGATTTCATGCGTTTCTCCAATGTTGTAGTTATACTTTGCTGCAGATGGAACCCTGCCGTTTAACTTTTAACATTTAACACCATGCATTGTATTAACACGTCAGTTCTTATTCTTGAAAATTACGTATGCTAAATATGTTCAGTATTTGACATCTTTATCTGTTTGTTAATACACTGTCACATGAAATCAAAGTTACTGCTAAATTTTCACTTTTTGTGGAGTTTTCTAACAACCGCATGTTTTACGGCATCAACATTCGTAAGTACTTGTTACAATGTTTGCAATCCTCCATACAGTAGCTGTAATTTCTTAAAATATGGCGTCTTATTCATTAGAAAACAAGTTAAATTCTCAGTGAACATTTGACCGTAGAAAGCAGAATATCAACTGAATACATTTTAAAATCATGATCTTATTTATTTGACAGGAGCAAGAACATACAGCCGCAGGTTATGACAGGATTCAAAAATTCCTAAACTCTTTTGAGGATCCATATAAGCAATTATCTGAAAAGTTAAAGTATTCGACAATCGATAATGAATATATTCAACCGGCTGTTGGATCTAACTGTCTGCTGGCAACACACTGTGATTTAGCTGTGATACGGTGTTTATATTGTTCTGAATGGTGTGAATCTGGTATCTACTGGTCACTTTGCTACTTATTCAATCGTCTGTTACAAATTCGTTCAGAATGGCTGAGAATTAAGCCTAACAATCGTAAATTATTCAAGCTTCGTAGAGGAAATCTACCATTTGATCGGTTATGTAAATGGACCCCAGGAATATGGTCATCAACATCATCGCACCAAGCAAGAATAAATCAAATCACTGGTGATATGGTGAGGGAAATACGATGTTTGTCATTGCCAAATCTATCGTCAAAGTGCACGTTGAGTACTTCTCAGTACAATACCAATGAACAGTTGAATAAAGAATGTAATAATAAAACTGGTAAATTTCAAGGTTTAACTCGATTTTATTTTGGTGTTATGTGTTTGAAATACATGGAGTGTGGCGAATTGAACTGCCGCACATATGTGCAAAGTTCTATGTCGAAAACCGACCGATGTGTTTGAAATAAGTGGGTATTCTTTTTGGCGGAGAAATACTGGTTTACTCAGGAAACGAGTAATTGACTGTACAGATTTAAGCATAGGCTGGCTGGATTCAACATAGAACTTGGCACCGAAGTGCAGCAGTTCGAGTTGCCACGTTCTAAATAGCACACAAAGGTAGACAAGAAGATGAGTGAAGAGAATCAATAGAGTTTTGACAAGTATAAGAGTAAAACAGAATGACTAATGGTAGAGAGGAATATGAAAGATTACAGAGACTGAATACATCTGCACCATTGACAACAATTTTGAGCCAAGTCACCTATTGTCTCCAGCCATTGATTCTCAGAGTCCCGAGGGCGAGCCCCAACCCGGAAGTCTGCATCTCCCTACATGACTCAGTTTAACTGTCAAGGATTTCATGGATTAATGCCATGTTTTTGTTTGGCCACCGCTTACTCTTTTCCAACCTGCGCCTATATCAGCTAGTAATGCCCGTTCTTCGGGGGAGACGATGGTTAGGCATTTAATTGGATTTCGTGAAGAAAGACTGGATGGATAGTTTTCCATCATCAACGGTGGTCCTACCTTTACTGTGTTACAATTCTAGGTGTTACATAGAATTAAGTACAAAGGAAATGAAAATTTCACTAAGAAATATTTCAAAAGCGTTTTAGAGAAACACTGAGGAAATGAAACTTTGTCGTACACTTTTGGTGCGTCTATGACATTGTGATCTCTTTTTAGTGTTCCTTTACATTTGTGCCGCAAAAGCTCAAGTCATGAGTGTAATAATCAAAATATGAAAATTACTCATAAACTCTGAACATATTATATTTTGGTTTTGTACAGTGTATGTGAATTGGACATTATGTAACATAAGCAGGATGTGAATCTTAATCTTTACGCTACATAAAATGAATATGGTCCCATGACTGTAAATGATAAATTGTTTTCCCTGTTTAGCTGATAAAATCAGTGTTGTCAAAAGAAATACTGTTTGCTTTCTATTATGCAGTTCATCTCAGATGCAGAGATTTCTATAACCGTAAATAATAATTCATCTTATTTAAACAAGCAATAAATATGAATCCTTTAGATGTTGGGAGTTATTCAGAAAGAAATCCTGGGAATAGGTTATGCGCTTGCTGCTACTCATAAAGGTGAAAATCTGTAACGCTCGGGAAACAGATGATTCGAAAATGTGTCATTTATCGTTAATATTGTGGTGAGTGCTACTTATAATCCGATATAAGTAGTATATCAGAAACGAATTTAGAAAAGTAACAATATATTTGGCACACTGGAAAGAGCAGTCAAAGAAGAGAACCATGAGAAGAATGTTGCCATATGATGCAGAATCCAAGAAGCTATCTAATGTGACGATATTCGACCAATTCGTCAAGGATGTGGTAAATGATGTGCAAATGGCAGGTTGAAAATATGGTATTCCAAATTCAGCTATGTAGAATACATTTCAGCCTCCCTGTTAGTTCACAAGTTCTCATTTCCTCCACAGATGCCCAATCCATCGATTCCCTTAAGTGTTGCACTTCAGAGCCTAGCCTTTGGTGTCATTCACTAGTGGTATTATTCGAGTATCGTTTAATCAACCGTGCTAGTTTGCTGTTCATTAAGGTTGTAACACAATGTAAATTACTCAGCTTCATTTTTAGTACTCATTAAACACCTACACATTAATTCATTTTGTTAATTATAGATGAAGCCAGTCCACAGAAATATCTAACACCTCATGAGCAGATTTGTGAAGTTCAATCCAACAGTACTGGCAGTGTTATTCAACCCTCAATCGGGAGTAGTGAAAGTACTCCTCCCTTTCCTAAGCATTCTTCCAAACCAAGTCATTTAGATGAGTCATTGAATCAAAAAGGTATATCAAGTATAGTAGGATCATCTGCATCCATCTTAAACATGGATAGATCTGATATAAGTCTTATGAAATTGGATTATTTGAAAGAAAAGGATCTCAAAGACGAACAACAGCAGCTTAGTCCAAATTTGTTACCGACGGATATTGGTCTTGGTGATCCATCATTCACACTAGCCTTACCGACTGTTAGTTTTGGAGGTCAACAACAACAAATCCAGCAGCATCAGCAACCTGCCTGGAGAGGTTCAAAACGATCAAGAATTGCTGACATCAAGGTAACCTTATAAATAGTAAACATATCTCTAAACTTTGGCTTCAAAGTAAATTTCTGTTATTTTGTTAAGATCTATCTAAAACTATTCTAGTATTCCTCACAACTTGATTAGTTCTAAATCCGTTGAGGTTACTGTTCAGGTTTTAAAAACAAAGAATGGTCTTCGGATAATAAGGAATTATCTCTATAAGCACCAATTATTTTGTCAACCATGCACAGTTAACTAGATTGCTAGTTTTCTAGCCAGTACCAAGCCCGGGTAAAGAGAGAGGGTTGGGCGTGGGACTAGCAGCCCTACACAACAAAACCAATCAAACTGCCAAAGAAACTTCAACGCGCAGGAAATATATTAAAAATACAAAAACATTCCCTGCAATAGGAGAGGCGAAATGACAAGGCCGGCTGGTGAAAGTCTTCCGGAGACCAGTTAGCCAGCCATCGTATCTTCTCTCAATGAAAGCAATAATAAGAATGTGGAAGTATGATGCATGTACAATGTATGAAGCCGGCTGATAAGGCTTCCCAGGTAGCCAATGAAACGCGAAGATATGGCCTAGAAGTGCTCAGAATCTGCGAGAGCAGATGGAATCGATGTGGATTGTCAAAATTATCGACGGAGAGTCGATGGAGTTATCTACCCCGACCTGGTCACCCAGACGACAACCACGAGCACACTGAGTGGCTATCATGATGTCACCAGTACCAGCCAGAGACATGATGCAGTGGGAAATAATTTCATCCTGCAGGATCATGACAGTAAGATTCAACTCAAAAGCAAGAAAGGTCACAATTATCATGAAATGCTACGCACACTGCTACAAACAACACGAAACAAGAGAAAAAGGAGGATTTTACAGAAAACTACAAACAGTGATGGACAACATGGCGAATGGTGACATCAAAATCCTGATGGACTATATGAATTCCAACCGAACTGGGAGCAGAAAATAAAGGAAGAGAACTCATCATGGGTCGACAGGCTGTCTCTCCCTGTCAGCGAAATCAATGACAACAGAGAACTCTTCGCAGATTTCTGTGCTTTCAATTACTTGGTGGTCGGAGGTAGCATGTACATGCAGAAGGATATACATAAAAACGTGGATTTCGCCTGATGAACACACCAGAAACCAGATAAACTGCATCTCAATATTGCTCAAGGAAGTGGAGATGCAGCCTGTTATACACAAAGTTGAGAATGTGAGATGTGGGCTCAGACCATCACCTAGTTCAATGAATCTTCAAAGTGAAGCTGAAATCTCTGAAAACAACTGGAGATAGCCATTGTATTCAAATTCAACCTTCGGAAACCGAAAGACGCAAGTACAAAAGAAGATACATTCACTGCAGCTATCGGAGCAGTATCGGAGACACTGGGTGGCATCACTGAGGAAACCTGAGTGGAAGAACTTTGGAACTAACTCTCTGAAGGCGATATCCAACAGAACGTGTACAACTGTTCTAGGAAGAGAGAAGAGACACAACAACGAATGACTCTCAACGGACATCTGGAAGCTAATAGAAGAGAAGAGAGGAGAGGAGAGGAGAGGAGAGGAGGATGGTGAACGAGAAGATAACTCAATGTAGAGATGGACAAGAGAAGGAGAGGCTAAGTTCAATGTACACTGCACTGAATGAAGAAGTGAAGAAGAGTGCTCGGAAGGACAAAGGACAATTCTACGACACACTGGTTGGCAACTGGAGCAGAACAGGCAGTCTGCAGGTCAAAGAGACCTAATGACATTATATCAGATAGCCAGGCTGCTCTCTATTCGTGAAGAGATCAACACAGATTATCAAAACCAATAAAAGATGCTCAAGGGAACCTGATCACCAAAGAGGAGAAACAAATAAGACAATGGGCTGATCACTTTAGCGGACTCTTCAATCGACCATCACCTGAAACTCGACGACAAATACCACCACTGGAAGCACGCACAGAACTGCCTATCAGTCGACACCTATCCTCCAACCAAAGCTGAAATCTTGAGTCCGATCAAGCCAATGAAATCCAGTCGGGAAGGTGGCAAGGCCATACGGAATTTCCGCCGTCCCTGAAGCACTGTGAACGGTACAGAGACTGCAGGAGATATGCTCATGCCATTATTATGAAAGGTTTGGAAGGAAGGATAGGTGCCTACCGATTGGAAGAAAAGCTAGGTATTTCGTCAGGCTACCAAAGAATAGCCACTTACACCTCATTCTGCAATAATTCTAGTGGAATAATGCTCTTGTCCACGCCAAGTAAAATACCAATTCGCATTAGCCTAGAAAGAATAAAAGATGCACTGCATGCACAACGTCGCACCATGAAGCAAGCTGAATTCTCAAAAGCCAAATCATGTGCTGATCAAATTGCAAATCCACGTATCCTCATCGAACACACCATAGAATGGCAGTTAAACCTCTACCTCAACTTCATCGACTTCGGAAAGGCCTTCACCACACAGCGTTCACCGAGAAGTAATTTTGAAACTATTTCAACAGTATGGCGTGCACTGTCCCAAATCTTTATCAACCTCATTCAACAGTTGGCTATACGACAATGCGACGTGTCAGTTAGGTGATCCACAATGGGAAAGACACTCAGTGAGGAGTTCGAAGTGCATACGGGAGTAAGACAAGGCCACTGCATATTATCACCGATGATATCCCTAATTGTGATGGACTGGATTATGCGTCAGATAGGACATCCGACGGGAGTGAGAAGACAGGAATACTCTGGACCACCGATGAGAAGACTCTAGATGATCTGGATTTCACAGATGATACATGTCTAATGTCACACAAACTCGAAGTCTTACAGGCGAAAGCCAACAAACTGGCTGAAGAAGCAGGCTGACCGCGAAGACAGGACTCCAGGTGAACATATAGAAGACGGAGGTAATGAACATAACCAACCAACCAACCAACAATGACGACAATCAGCACCAATCACCATCAACGCCCGATGTTTGACGCAGGTGACTTCCTGGCTTCACTTTTCTAGGCAGTCAGCATCTTTTCAACCACAGATGGACTGGATGAGTATGTCAAATCCAGCCAGAATCAGAAAGGCGAGATACGCCTCCATCAACCTGAAATCAATCAGTTTTGAAATCTTTTGCACTCCGCAGCATGAGCAACAAGATTATGATTTTCGACACAAATGTGAAATCAGTCAGTTCTACTATACGGGTCAGAAACTTGCACTGCATATCACAAAATGGATTTCCAACAGACAACTGCAGACTTTAATAGAGAACTGCCTTCGCCGGCTCCATCCTAATGATCAGGTGGACAGTGGTTAAGGATCAGTAACAAGAAACTGTGGCCAGAAGCCAAACCAAGAGCTGGTCGTTCAGCAAATATGTATGAGAAAATGGAGACGGATCACACATGCGTTGAGGAGGCCGCCGAATGACATCGTGTGCCAGGTCGTCAATCGTGTGGAATCCGAATAGGATGTGACGAGTGGGTCTTCCTAGTGTGACATATAGGAGATCGTGTGAGGAAGAGAAGAGAGAGTTTCGGCAATCGTGGACCCAGCAGTAGAAGACGATAGAAAATAAAAGAAAGTGGAGATTTGTTGTTGAAGCCCTATATTCCAATTGTAATCCAAGTGAATAATAATAATAATTTATTTGGTCAAATGAAGAACACGAGATATTGATTGAGTTATTTTCTAACCGTTGTTCTTTTGGAAGAAAACGGTGTATTAGTAATTTAATTTTCTCATCAGACTACAAATAAGCAGTCTGTGGAAAAAGAATATGAACACTACGGATAAGCTCATAACATTAATTTTATTCAGATTATTTCTGTTCTATAACTAGGTCATACGCCGCAGCGTACCTTTTTTTCTGCTGGTTTTTATATCGTAAAGCTTGTATATCTGTAGAACTTTGTTTTGAGCAAAGAAAATGGTACCACATAAACCACATAAATAAATACTGAATACATTATCTAAAAGTAATCCTTTTTACATAATATCCCCTAACATATCTAGTGTAAATGCTTTCTTTAGGTTAATGAAGAACTTTTACATGCATATATTTGCATCCGATTTAAAGAGATTGTTTTACAATCTAATCTAAATCTAAATTTTCTAATTCCATTGCATTCCAGTAAACACCATATCTGACTGTTAAGTTTTGTACTTGGACCTTTTGAATCGACGTCTCAGCCTCAGACTACTTACAGTTTGACATATCTTACTGCCTAAAATGCATCCACGGCTTCACATCTACATAAGAAACGTTTGACACTATTTTATTACATTCTCATGGTCATTCCTCGAATTTAAATTGAGATGAAATCAGATTGTATTTCTGAATTTGAAATTTAGATCTTCGGTTTGTTATGATCACCATGTAACGGTTACTGGTTTTGTTGTAATTTCTTTAAACTTTGAAAATTCATTTTCAAGGCTGTGCGTCGGTGGCACAGTGGTTAGGACTCTCGCCGACCATGTACATGGTCCGGAGTTCGATCCCCTGCCGACGCACACCCGATATCTATGGTCGGCCTGCAAAATTTGGGCTATCGATATCCATGCTGAAAATTCCATACTTGTACTAAAAATACAGTGTGGCATCAAGCTGTAATAAATAAAAATAAAAAAAGCTTTATTTAAAGTAAATGAGAAAACTAGGAAGAAGGCTATCATAGTGTGTTCGTATACCTGATTTAAATTAGTACTTAATATAATGCAGAGTAGTGTACTATTTTGAATAATTTTAATTTTTAACCATTTTTTCTTATAAGGCTTTTTGATTTATCAAGGTATATAAAATATCTGTAAAAGTAATGAATTCTATGTAGGTTTATTCTTTATTTGTATCAGGAACGTTTTACCCGAGCGTCGAAGTTCAAGTCAGGCGATGTAAATATGAAATTTCAACCTTTATCTGCTATAGAAGGATCAGGTGAGAGTACTGAAAATTAATAAAAAATATTATATAAGGAGTGTTCACAATTACACATTTTGATGTAATTTTTTCCTCCCATTAGCTTGGCTTATTAGACACATAATGTTTCTCAATTTCGCTGTAGAAAGAAATCTTTTCAGAGCCGTGAATGCGTTTTATTAGATGATGAAGCTTCTATTGTAAGTGCATAAATCTTCCCATGTATCAACAGTCCGTTGGTATAAATAACAGCACTCAGTGATAGAATGACAAATATTAATTTCTTCTATGGTATGCATACTAAGCAAATTGAGAAGCCACCGGTCAACAAAAAAAATTCTTTCGATGATTTCTCATGAAATCTGTCTACTTAAATAGTGTTATAAAAAATAATGGAAGCACCACTTACTGTCACTTATTAGTATCAATTGGTAACAAAATATATAAAGTTACCCACCAGGAAAAAATGGATAAATTGAGAAACGTGGTTAAGTAGTTTTCATAATAATACTCGATTTAGGGGTTTTCTTTGTGTATCGCAAAAGCTTTGACTGTGGGAATAGGATGCAACCGAAAACCTTTGGAACGACTTCATCTTACTTTTTATACCACTTTAAAAGGTTTCTTTATTGATCGAGGAAGATGCATAGGGACAGGGTTAGCAATAAATAACCTACTGGTTCATCTAATTTCTCCTTTTGACAACTATAATGAGAGATGATCTTGTTCACATCTGGAAAATATTCCACTAATACTGCCTATGTATTTAGCTTAACAAGAGGAAGAAATTTATTGTATACATAAGCATCTTGTCAACATATACTAAGTAATTTATTTGGATTTTATATAGTTCAGTGGGATAAGGCCAAAATTCAACAACAACAGTAACCCAGTTGAAAATTGTTTGTCTCATGAATTCTCTTCAGCTGTTATACAACGTATGAAAGTATGACTTTTACCAAAGAAAATCTATGTACAAAACATACAGAAACTGGTTGAAGATATATATATTTATGTAGTGTACAAATATTCGTGATCCCGAAGCTGACAACCACAATGGTGTTCTTTAGCATGTTTAATGATACTGATTACGCAATATATCATTGAAATCTGAATCACTGATGGTTTGTATATGGAGTGTACTTTACTTTCCAACAGATGGTCTGCTCTGTCGCCAGTAATGACTTGTTAAATAATTGGACATAAACTGCTATTACATTTTCCCTATGTAAATGGAATAAAATAAAATAACTATGCATTGGTATCATGCAAGAAAATTCATGAACTGTTTACTAACCAATGATTTTATGTTGTATATTTCTCGTATTGAGGAAATGTCGCTTAGATGTCAAGAATAAAAATATACCATTGTTTCCAAAAGTTTTTTCTGTCGAAGAAGTTAGTCAAGTAACCGTTATACGTTGTCCCAAAACGGGACAATCGCCCACTTGATCTTGAATTTTGTTACATTTACTATCCACTGAAGTCAGATAATATTTTAATCCTTTGAACCTACTGAATATTCATTGATATTTATTTTTATAAGCGAATCAACCCATTCAATTAATTTTTTGTGTTTCGGTACATGAAATAGTATGTTGATTACGGAAAAATGATTGAAAAAAAGTAGTTTTGTTACATGCATATCCCGGAAAATCAGTATAATCAGATAATATATGATATATAATTACGTAACAGAAGTTGGAAGTTTAGTGACATTATTAGTATGAAACCGTCTGAAATGTGAACTGTCATCGTAAATGATATCTGCATTTTCTAGACAACACATAACCAAATAATCCATCATGACTGGTGCTTTTTACCCCTTTATTTAATTAGAATGTAATGAATCACCTACCTCGACTACAGAAGGACAAATATTTCACGCACAGAGTAAACGATCTATTCAATCAGGAGGAGAAAAGTTACGATTTTTGCCGAGTTCGAGTACAAGTGAAAAGCCATTTCAAGGTTTCGAAACAACAAACAATGAAACTGATGGTAGTCGACCCGATCAAAATGCTTCAGCTAATTCACCACCTAGTCTAAAACTCGGTTTACCACCTTGCATGCCGTCAATAGCAGTAGCCAGTAAAACGCCAGATAATACCGGTATCAACTCAGTTGATGATCACATATTCCCTGCAGTACTTCCTCGCAGTTTAACGGATTCGGATATAATTTATCATAGCTCGGAAAAGGTAATGTTAAATCAGATTTAAATGAGACTTTTTCAGTTTTAAGCATTTTTAAAGTAAATATTTGAATCCCTTTTAAGTTAACTACAATTATATTGCCAAACGTTTATAGTGGAAGGAAAAATATAGATGGTTTACGATGAATTGTCTTTTCGAGATATAACTGATATCTGGGGAAAACGAAGAAAGGTTGGATATGATGCTAGTAACTCCATCTCGTGAAATTTATTTCACCACTACTGATAGTTAAAAGAAAGCTTGAATCCCTATGCTCCACTCAGAGTACCAGGAATAAAACAAACTTCGAAAAGGCCTTTGACAGCGTCGATCGAGAGGTGCTTTGGAAGTTACTTCGCTACTACGGGGTGCCACCGACAATTATACATCTCACCCAACAGCTGTACGACAATGCTGCATGCCAAGTAATCCACAACGGGAAACTTACGGAACCCTTCGAAGTGAGGACAGGAGTAAGACAAGCTGGCTGCCTACTATCACCAATGATTTTCCTGATTGCAGTAGACTGGATAATGCGACAAACAGTGGGCAATGAGGAAACAGGCATAAAATGGACTCACACAAAAACTTGGAGGAACTGGACTTCGCCGATGATATATGTCTGATTTCCCACAAACTGGAAGATATGCAAGCGAAAAGCAACAAGTTGGCAGAAGAAGTATCAAACATAGGACTTCAGGTGAACATAGAGAAAACAGAGGTGATGAAAATTCCTGGGTAACACCAACAGCAACAACAACAACAACAGACAACAATCAGCATAAATAGGAGGAACCTGAAAGAAACAACCTCTTTTACCTACCTGAGAAGCATCGTTTCAACTACAGGCGGAACTGACGAGGATATCAAAGCAAGAATCGGAAAAGCAAGACAAGCTTTCACTACTCTCAAGCCTGTGTGGAGGTCAACAACACTCAGCATCAAAAATAAGATCCGGATTTTCAACTCCAATGTGAAGTCAGTCAGTGCTACTATACGGATCAGAGACTTGGCCGGCGCGTCATAAAGAGCATCTCAAACAAACTACAGACCTTCATTAACAGTTGTCTTCGCTCAATACTCAAGATCAGATGGCCGGCCAGAAAAGATCAGCAACAGAAGGGATCTCTGGGAGCGAACCAACGCAGCAGGAACCGATTGTGAAACAAATAGGCAGGAAGAAATGGAGGTGGATTGGCCATACTCTGAGGAAACCATCAAGTGACATCACTAGACAAGCCATTGCTCGAGTGGAACCCGAAAGGGAAGCGGCGAGTTGGTCGTCAGTGCAAGGGTGACTTGGAGGAGGTCATGTGAAGAGGAGATGAAAACGTGTGGGCAGACATGGAGCCAGGTGAAGACTGTAGCAGAGAACCGAACGCAATGGAGACGCACGGCTGAAGCTCTATGTTCCTGTAGGAATTAAAGGATACAATAATAATAATAATTCCTAAGGCTGTAAAATTGAACACAGTTAATATCTGCTTAGTTCATTAAGAGCCCCAATCACACATGAACATTATTTACTTTTAACTGTATACAGCATAACCATTTTACTCAGTATTTCACCTGGACAAAATTGTATCATTTACAACACAGTATAGCTAAATTAAGTCACTTATTGCTTGAAGCACTTAATTCTTATCAGCATTTCGATAGTATCTATTGTTATTTCAATAATATTTTTTCTAGATGTGAATGAGTTTATTTCTTCTCTGAACAGGCTTTTATCTACTTGTTTGTAATAAATCATTCTTTTTCAGACGAAGATGATTTCAGATATTGAATTTATTTTGAAAAAGTACTCTAATTATTAAGTATTATTTATAGCATTTGATATGCTCACGTTGAACACTAATGGTTGGACAGATTACTTGTTACTCTGATAATCGCTAATGGCTGTACTATTGACTCTGCATTACTGATAGACTGGCCTAGACTTATTCATAAAGAAATCATTTAATCCCCGAGCTATTGTAAGAACTCTGAAATTTCAGTATGAAGAGCATACAAATGCCTCTTAAAAGAAAACCAGTTAGTTAACTAGGGAGCAGTATCAGTATCGAACACAACTGTTCTGCGAACCAGTGAGTTAACTGAAGATCCATACGGTTGTCATAAATGTCATAATTTCACTGTGAAATCTGTCAGAAGTTTGGAAAACGCACATCTTTTTATTTCTCTCAATTTGTTCTCATTCCACATTCTCTTCACCAATCAAACTTTTTTTATGCTGTCTGAATTTTTAGAACTAACTAATTTTCAATTGAAAATTATTAGATATCAGGAGTAGATTTAGATCCTAATGAAATTCAGCGCTTAAAACTGAGCCTGACTCTGAAAGAATAATGCAGCAAATTTATTTGATTTTCGTTGTTACATTTCTTTTAGTTACAAAAAATATATATATATCTGTACCAATTTAAAAAAAAACATTTTGACTTGTTAGTCAATTTATTTTATTACTGTTTTGGGGAAACAGGGAACTTTTTTATTTGTTGTATATTTTTCTCAATCAAAATCTATAATTTTTTAGATAGAGGAAGTCCCCGGTGCTGCATACTACATCACACCTAATGGTCACTTGGATTATTCTGTTTTGCTCAGAAGTCTTTACTGGTGCAGTACTATGCATACGTCAAGCCGAGTGTGTTTCCATTTGGTTCGGTGTTTGAGTGTTCTATTTAGCTTGGGGATTTTCGATGTCAAATCCAATCTCTATACCCTGAAAAATGTCTCCTTTGAAAAGCCTGCCCAACTGAGACGGTTTCGAAAGAAAAACCACTTTGAAAGACATAAATTCTCCAAAGCTTCAAAAACACCTATTCTTAATAAACTTGTGGTGAGAGAAAACCGTAACAGCTCAAATCCTAACGGTCGAGGAGGATATGACAGTTCAGCATCTCATTCCAGTGGAAAAGTGAAACGACGTGATTCATCTGTAGGATTCTTGTTCACAAATCTAAGTTCATCCAGGGCCTCTGTTGGAATCTGCAGTGAGTCATACGGAAGTGAGACTGGTGAAGATGCAGATACAGATGTAGGAGGAAGGAAACAGGTGTTTAGTAAAAACGATAACGAGTCGCTTATAAGTGAGGATGATTTCATGATTCCATCTAACTTGAAAATTAACAGTCCACTTGGAAGTCCCGAGTCATCCTTAGACCTTGACAAAGATTTATTCTCTGCTCCACGTCGAGTTACATCACAAGGGAATATTGAATTCAAACTACGAAATAATGATAGATTTTCAGATGAAAAGCTAATGTCTAGAAGCACACGCAGAACAAAATCTCGAGGTCATTTCAGACAGTCAGCGTGTTGCGATACAACTAACCAGCTTGTCCGTATGAACTTTACATTGGCAGCTGAAATGTTGATGAGGTAAGCCCACTTTTTAAAATATTATTCAACAGCTTTAACTTCAAAATGATAAATGTGTTAACTAAATAGAACTTTAGAGATACCTTTTTAAGGTGCTTTGTGATACAAACTAAGGCAATCTGATAATCACTCCCACCTGAAGATTAAACGTTTTGCAAAAAATTGAATTATCGGAGAACAAGTGTTTTATCACTCTTTAATCGTCTTTCTTCGTGATATGCTATTGGAGAACGTGTTTTCATGTTTTCGTAGACTTTACTTTATCACACTAAAATGATTCATATTTTTTGAATTATCAGTATCCTCACAGAAAAAAACAGTTTTGGTGTTAATTGCAGTGTGTTAATTAACAGGAATCACTGGACAGGTGTTTCATACTTGTTAACACCCATGTTGGTCATCATTTATATATTGGTAAATCTTAATCTAAACTTCAGATAGGTTTCATCCGATAACCAACAATTTTATGCAAATGCTTGTATGAGAATATCAACAAAATATTTGTATTAAATTTTGGAAAGAAACGCTAAATGTTAAATAATATACGAGTAATTGTTTTGAATTACTATTGGACTTGTTATCTACTCCATAAGTTTATCGTCGTTTTAAAATTATATGTACACTAATACATAAGCTTTGATCAAATAATTATTCTCCGTGTCTCTTAAGTCATTTGAAAACACCTTATATGAACTCAAGCCTTTAGGGCGACACTAATATTTTTGCATGTAGATCCTGCTTTTGTTCGTTCAAGTATTTCTGTGCTTCTGATAATCCTAGCTGGACTTGTTTTGTTGCTCAATTTTCTGATATCTTATAAAATGCGGACCTGCAAAATCTAATAAATTTTTATCTTATTTCAGAATTATTCGTGCAACAGGGTGTAGACACGGGCATAGTAATTCTCCGAATTCCGCCAGTCATCATTTCCATCAACAGCAACCGGTACATAAGTTTGAAAATTCCTCTGAACAGACCCAACAAGGTCAGCTGGATCCAAGCGTACAATTTCGATTGCTCACACATGATTGCTTAATTTACTTGCATGACTTAAATCCATATTTGTTTAAACGTGTCATGACCAGAATTGTATCTTCTAGTACAGTTGCTGATTTAATTGAAATGCTTCATTCATTCACTGGTTTTTGTTTAGATCCAGTGACACGCCAGTATGAACGCTCAGGTGAGGCAGTTATTTTCCTATAAATTCATTATATAGTTTACGAAACCCTCAATAATGGAATTGTGGTTTTACACTCTTCGCTTACATTACTTATTTAGATGTCATTCGCTACAACTTAATAGGTGGGCACTTGCCTAGAGTGAGGAACTTGTACACTACTTCCTTGTTTTTCCTAACCTAAAAGTAATTTTGGAGACAACTTTGATGTGGCTAATTATTAGAATCGTTCAATAGTCACAATTGCCGCACTTCTTATTTGTGTAACATAGTAGAGAGTTAAAAATTGCGATAATCAAATGGAAATTATGTCGAAACTTGTTGAATAGTTTCGGACAGTGGAAGAGCAGATAAAATATGTGTAGTGTAAAGAATAATAAATCATGAATGCACCTCATTGTCTTCAACCATGGATTTCTGTTTTAATGAAGACCTGAACCAGTAAACTTCACATTACAGCAGTGGTCAGGCCAGTAGCTATTGCTTTCACTGACTGACACTATGTCCCGTTACATAGGCAGTGTATTTTTCTCTCCAGTTAATTTAAAATCAGTAACTCCCACAAAATGATCAGAAACTTATTAAACAAGAGATCTATGTACGAAAACTGAGTTTCTAACATGCTTTTGGAATTCAGTCGTTCCCTGGCAAATTACGGGACATTCATTTTACAAGTTTGCTATTATACTTCAAGCTTCAAGGTACAACTAGATAAATGCATTTTGCATTTGATTATATCTTTTGGAGGCAAACAGAAAACTACAATATAAAATTATAATTACTCGCCAGGTAACTATTACTCCAAAGCCATTTCTGACAGATGAAAAGTAACCCGCTCAAATTGAGCTTTATGGTGAATGATCAAAGTAAAAACAATGCCTAAATACACTCAAAATACAAGCTGATAGACTGAGAAGTCTGATGGAAGTTATCAGAAACTTCCATAACATATACCACAACTGTTAATTCTTTCTTGTGTTTACATTTTATGCTTAATTTATCTCCATTTACTTATAACATAGTACATTTCTGTCCCATCAGTCGGCTTTTCATGAGCATATTGCACTGATTCAAGCCTAGGGGCATTACTGATTCTCTTTATCTATATTCAACACTGCTAACCATCAATGTACTAATACAACAAATGGAATGAGGTGAAGGAATCCATTATATGGCAATATTACTTCCTTTGATTTTTAAAATCAGTTTATTTTGTGCTTTCCAGAATCCACCTTCTGTATAAAGAGTTGTGCTTCTAAATAATATTTCCTTGCTCTTGATTATTTTTGCTGATGAATCAATACGCATTAAATCATTAAATACTTTTTTTTTGCTAATGAACCGCTTCGAATGCAATTTAAGCTCTCTTATCAGCTGATTTGTTCTTTACAATTTTAAAAATGCTAGAAAATACTCCTTTTTCTACTCATCAGTGAGCCGTAATATCTTTGATTTGCTTAGTACTGCTTCAAATAGTAGCATAAAAGTCATGGGAAGCTTCAAGTCTGACATGTCGAGAGTAATTTGGTAGGTGTATGGAAAAGCCAGACAAGCTTTCACTACTCTCAAGTCTGTGTGGAGGTCAACAGCACTCTGCATCAAAAATGAGATCCAGATTTTCAACTCCAATGTGAAGTCAGTCAGTGCTACTATACGGATCAGAGACTTGGCCGGCGCGTCATAAACAGCATCTCAAACAAACTACAAACCTTCATCGACAGTTGTCTTCGCTCAATACTCAAGATCAGATGGCCGGCCAGAAAAGGTCAACAATAGAGATCTCTGGGAGCGAACCAACCAACGGCTGAAGCCCTATGTTCCTCTAGGAATTAAAGGATACAATAATAATAATAATAATGGCTCTGTAATGTCTATTCGACTGATTGAATGAGAATTTACCACGATTTACAGAGATGTGAATATGTATTTCTCCTTACAACTAATGCTACAGTTAATTGTCGTCTGAATACACAAAAACATCAAGCCACCAAAATGTCTACAATCATGGAGCTTATTAATATCTATAAAACGGAAGATATAGTGAATATTCACATCCATATACCAAATGACTATTTTAAACTGTAAACAAAAGAAACACATTGTTAACTGTTATTACTGTCTGAATGATAAATGATGATCCATAATTTAGCCATGTCAACACTAGAATGGATATTTTAGAGGTAATCTCTGCCTTCTAAAGCCTTTGTATACACCAAGTTGATGGGCTTAACTTAGGCGCTTACATACTTTTTAAAGAATTAAAATAATTTTCTCAATAATCAGTATTGGTTACAGGATTTTCATCATGAGCTGACATTAGTTAGAGAACCACTGGAAAACCTGGGAGTACTGGATAGCTGTTTTGTCCTAGTTTGGGACTCTTCAGCAGTACGCGCCCACCGGGATTCGAACCCAGGACCTTCTGGTTACAAGGCGAACTCGTATACCATTAAGCCAATGGGACCCGACCCAATGGCCCATGAATTCTAACTTCTGCCGATTCACGACATAGCGCGACCGCTAGCCAATGTCTTCGGCGAGTATTTGTCCTCACACCCGACCTGCTGCACCCTACTGGTCCCGACTTTGCATTAAGTGGCATTACGGATGTAAAATGGAGTCAGATAACGTATGAAATCGTACTGGATCGCATACTTCGTTAACTAACTCTACAAATCTAAAGAATGCAAACATTTGTTTGATTGCTCTTTCTAACCTTTTTACAGTACTAGTTGCAGGCTGTTTTATTTAGAGTTTTACACATTTATTGTATTTATAATATTTCCTTTTATTCTCTACTACTGTACTTATAAATAATACAAGTGATTTGCCGCAGAAATTGATGTGAAGCATTTGTGCTATCTTCCATAATAATATGATGTGTCTGTGAGCAATAAATAAACCTTTCTTGAATCTCAGTAGTCATTGTGGAGCAGCGGATGCATGCCGATGAACGATATAAAACGACTGAATGTCTACATCAAATCTGTTATGACTTTTAAAAAAAAGACACGTTTGAAGCTGATTGCCGATTCATGTGTATTTGGATGAATGGTCATATTCAAATACGATCTGCAGATTATGTCGAAATCTAGTGGTTTTAGTGATAAACAAACAAACGAACACCCATGGTGTTTTTAAGTTTTAGCGGGCTTTTAATATGATTCGGTGGAAAAATGCTATTTTATTGTGTAACATTTTTAGTAGATCTTAGTGTCCTGGTTAAAAGTGTTTATTCTATTTTGTATTTTTCCAATTCTCAACATACAGATCATAACAGGAAGTCTTACTTAAACTATGGAAATAGTTTTGGGCAGAGTGAAGCCGGTCAAGATACACGTGGTGCTGAGGGTTTAGTATTATCCTACTTATTTGGTCCATTTGTTAGAAGACTAGTTAGGTGTCGACGTGAATTAAGCAGTCAAGAAAATGTTTCACTGTTTTCCGACATACGGCAACTATTCACATATATACGTGAAATTCACGGAAGTACATTTCGAAAAAATATGCTAGTTGCTTTGCTTTGTCCAATTCAAAGGATATGCGAAATATCTTTGCCGAAAATTTCAACACCACTGCCAAGAATGTGAGTTTTTTTGTTTGTTTTATTTTTTACTTACCACACCTGAATAGTTTATTACTTGATGACAGCGATACATTTGTAGGATTACTATCTGCAGTAATCTTGAAGATGCAAACTTATCCAACAACTTATAAGGCTGCTTTATTTTTAACTCTGGTTTTAGTCAATTAATATATTTTTAAGACTATAGTGTTAGCCAAATTTGCTTTCCTCCAAATCGTGAAGGGCGTTTTGGCTGAATTTCCCTGAAATGATATGAAATAACCATACGTGTCTACCTTCCCAGCAGTATATACCGCAGTTTTTTTTCTTTCAAGTTATGATAGGCAATAAGAGACTCTCACTAAGGTGAGAAAAGTATTAATCAAAAGCCAAATTCACTGAAATAATTGTGATATTTACAGGGTTTAAAATAACTTTTCACAGTTCTATGATTTACTCCCCTGTGTGCTGTTAATTAATTCTGGCAGTCTATTTCAGGTCTCCTACTAGCATATTGCTGGGAAGCTATTTAACTTTAATTCAATGTTCGGAGTGGTCAGAAACTAGTTGTATATTTTCTTGGTCAAACAACAAGCAAGCATGGCGTAATGGCGTGCTTTGGAGTTCTTTAAAATGTTAAATTTTCTCATGTTCTGTGTCTATTTATAAAATACATTTTCATTATCAAAATCCTATTTGTACTGTAGACTAAGTACACATTGTTACCAGCTGAATGATTTTTCAGTGTAGCCTGACCTAAAGTCTCTCAGTGACTTAAATTTTAGAATGCTACCATATGTTTAAATTTAACGACACTCCAGTAGACGAGTAGAGGATATTTTCGTGCAGTCTATAGTATTCGAATCGTTTACGCTGCTTTCACAGATTTTCAGTTTTATCCTGCATTCTGAAAATATTCATTGAATGCTTATATTCTTACTAAACGTTCTGCTCCATCAATAGCCTTTATCACTACAAATACGCCTTTTTCTTTACTGTAATGTATGTGAACTGAAATCTTTTAAAAATGCAAATACCCATTAAATTGGCTTCTTTTTCCGCTATATATTTCCAACAATACCTTATTCGGTTATCAGTCAACAATTTTGTTGAAGAAGAATGTTGTGAGAGTCGACTAACCAAAGAGATAAATGCAAAAAATCTCTTAAACTTCATCTATATTGCACGTAGTATCCATTTACTTACCATCACTTTTATTCAAATAGCTATTAGCTGTTTATTTATGTTAATTGACCAAGTTATATGTAAAATATAGAGGGTATTTTTGAAAAGTCCTACAAAAATTGGTTTGAATTACTCAGAAAATTGTTTGGTAGTACTTGGGTAGTTATTTAAACTAGGAATTTGAAAAGTTTTAAGGAGGGAAATCTGATGGACGAATGCTCGAGAACTGAATGGTGTTAGTTTCAAATATGTGTCAAGCAGCACAGGACTTCCACATGTTGCAGAAATAGGAGATGACAAACTGATAATGCAACTGGGTGATTGGGAGCTCTAAAGTCTAAGATTCAATGTTTAAGATAATTTACAAATTTTCCAATAGTCCACACATGAATTAGTTTAGGCAGGAACTTTTATCCAATATCCTTACATCTTATACATTAGTTCTGCAGCCATAACTCTCTAATTTATTCGCATAAGATAGTGGGTGCTTTTAGCTTCCTCTGTGAATATAGAGGTTAAGTCATTTGTACTAAAGGTGGTAAAGTGTTTCTTCTCATACTGACTTTCAATGGACATGTTAATCTGGCGGTTTCTTTTTGATGCTAGAATAAATTTCCCATTTTTGCTCGCTGAAGGAATTACACTAGATTTGCATTCAGTTAAAATTCATTTAATCAATAGAAAACACAGCTGAAAATTTACTATTCCATTACTGATCCACGTTTTAATGGTTTCTCATTATCAGAAAATATATGACTGATGTTATCAGTAGACCTGTGTGCTCAAAGTTCATCAACGTATTCTACGAGGCGTTTCTAATCAATATATTTCCTCCTATTTAAAGGTCAGCGAGAAATTCGATGTGGCTGTTGCCTCGACAGGATAAGCGACGTTCAACGTTTAATGTTTTCATTGATCCTTTGGCCGAAACAGAGAGTTTATCAGGTGGTCACAAAGAAAGCGGAGGCCATGGTATGCTATTAAGTCGACCATTGGCAACAGGACGAAACACGAGGATACTAAGCAATGGAAGTTCGTCAACATTGCCAACCTCCTTTGAAAACGGTAGTTTTTTTATCACGTTTAACTATTTGTAATTTTTTATCAAAAGTTTGGAACTAAGCACAGGTTATTTGAGTTCGTTTATTTCTACATTAACCTACTAGGAAAGATGAATAACATACGGATATAAGTAACATGAAAAAAGTATTACAAATATTTTTGTGTGAAAGTAAATATTAATTATATTGTCAACATCTGTCTCCCACAAAACCAAAGTGAACGGACCAGTGAATCCCGCTAGTTTGCAAATTTTCCTGAGATAACTGAAGATTTTTCGCCTCAGATCTATTGAACAAGTGATATAAGTTTCTGGAGATCGTAAATGGATAGGACTTAAAGTCGATGTGAAAGATACAATCTGCTTTACTGATGATCATCTCTGTTATGATAATCAATTATTGTCTTCTTTTCTACCAGTTTCACAAATGGCAGAACTATGGCTACTGTTATCACTGTTCACAATCGTTTATGCTTGCTTTTGTTTATTAACTTTAGCATTAGTATGACACCAGACCATACCTTAACTGGCTATATGTCTAGTGTAAAACACTACTGTGTTAGATGTACGTTCCATCTAAACGTAATAATTCAGATATTTCCACTTTATAGGTTTCAGGCATTGACACAAGTGTACTGATTTTGAAATTTGAACCGTTTAAATTTGGCCGGCTTAGCAACAGGGTTTTCCAATGTAACATACAGAAAATTCAAAATAGATTTTAATGTGAATGAATACGTTTCATCACAGAAAGCAGGTATTATACGCATGGACTCATTTCATTCACGAAAAGCATTTTTCACGTTAGAGATGCTCTTAATATAATATGTGGTTGAAAGCATTTAATGTGTTCAACTTCACTAAGGCGTTTTTATAGCGTGTTCAGCATCAAGTAAACAAAATTAATAGAAAAAAAACTACTTCTCAGAGAAAATCAGTTGAACTTATTAATATTTGTTATGTGTACAAAAATGCATTGTATAAAGCAGCAATATCTATGCTAGCTAAAAAAAGTAAATAACAACCTTACAAAATGTCCATTAAATTATGTTTATTTTGAACGGGTATCTTTTGAAAATCTTTGATGAATCGTCACACAGTTTTTGTTTTGTTTCGAATCTCAAAACTTAAGATCGGCTGCTTTTATTATTGTTGCTTGATTTAATATTGGCTGTTAATGGCGTAACTGTTTATCCTGAATTGATACCAATATAAAGAAATGTTTCAAGTTTAATAGTGAATTCAAATCGCTTTTGTGCAAAGCTTAATATATTTCATTCCTCATATGAACTACTGGTATGTAATCCTCACTTTAATGTAAGTGCTAATCTAAATGCGAGACTGACTATCTAGGTCAATGACTTTATCTCATTTCTGATGTGTAGAAAAAACCTTTTCTTCTCATACAAAGCGGAAACAAGAAATTTACATGAGAAGGAAGTTGGTTTAGGGTAACTGGCAATTGATTTTAGTGGCAAAAGATGAATCTTCATACAGTTCGCCTACTGGGTTTAAAATCTAAAAATAAATCTGAATGACATTAACCCTCATTGAGTTGAATACAGAACATATTTACCAAAATTAGTATAACACTTGTCCATGTAGACTAATTAGTTAGTGTTACAAATATGTTGTAGAAACGAACTGTGTTCAGGCAATGTCAAAGCTTAAGCATAGAAAAAGATGTAGTTTGCAAAGATTACCATTGAAACATCCAGTCATTGAGCTGTTGTCGCTTGTTGCTAAATTAGAGTGAAGTGTTATTTTCTATTGTTGTAATGTTTTACTCAAAACAGCACAGGAGAAACTTTCCTCAAAAGCCCTATCTTCGGTTTTATTCCTATGCTTACATTTAAGGCTAACAAGTGATAATCAAAATGAACCGTAAAGATGAGACACATAATCCACATACTTTAAATTTTGATACAAAATTAAATTCTAAGACTCATATCTTCTCTGTCGCTTCATACTCGTGCTTTACAGATTATCGAAAGACCTGGGAGATTTTAAAATTTACCTGAATATGTGATTCCCAGTACAATAATGATTTAATGTGCACGAGATGTATGGTTCTACAGACTTAAACGCCTTCTATCTGTTTCCTAGCTTTCTTGTTATTAGTGTATTTGTCTAGAAATTGTGTATTTTTCTTCCTGTTATTGTGAGCATCAAGCTTATTAATCTTGTAAATGTAGACTCTTTATCAAACATCCAAGAAAGCATATTTTGTGCAAAGTATTTACAAGGAATTACTTTATATGAAATATGACTTACAGGCAAGCAGTTATTGCAAAAAATTACTAGGAATCGAATTGTAGCGTATATATGCATGAATGTGTTTGCCAGCTGTCAGATGAGTATAATTAAATAAAAGAGAACCGCTTGAGTCAGGCACTGCAAGTCCTTCTGTTATTCACTGCATTTTGAAATAAAGAAATTTGACAGCTGTTTCGTCCTATTTTGGGACTCTTCATCAGTACGCACCCACCGGGATTCGAACCCAGGACTTTCCGGTTACAAGGCGAGCTCATATACCATTAAGCCATTGGATCGGGTCCCAGTGGCTTAATGGTATACGAGCTCGCCTTGTAAACCAGAAAGTCCTGGGTTCGAATCCCGGTGGGTGTGTACTGCTGAAGAGTCCCAAAATAGGACGAAACAGCTGTCCAGTACTCCCAGGTTTTCCAATGGTTCTCTAACTGATGTCAGCTCATTATGAAAATCCCGTAACCAATCAAATCCCTAGAAACCAACACTTGAAAGGAATTTGAATTGTTGTACTATATTATATATTACAATTGCATTATTATATCAATTATCATATTTGGTTACTAGTCACATTAGCACGTTTAATGGCTAGCAGAAATTTGGGTTTTGCGATTTTTGTAGCGTTTAATATCCAAATTTTACCCAGTTTTCGAATACCCTAATAATCTTAATTTTTGTCTGACCCTCTCAAATCCTTTGACTGTCAACAATGTGTAGTTGAAACATTCAACTTGTTTTTTCTTGGACCATTTATTCGCAAAGTAGTAAAATAATTTGGTTAACAGATGCTTTATTCAGCATGGTAGTCATAATTTATAGTACATATGTCTAAAACTAGGTTCCAGTGGTTAAGGTGGCATTGATTAATACAGAATCCTATTAGTGTCTGTCAACTATCGTCCTGACTTTAATATACTACTTATGTTTCTCAAGTTATGAACACTTTTATTTTTTTGCGAATTATAGCTTTATAATTAAGATTTGTAATAATAAAATCAACTTGTGACATTAAGGAACTACGGACGGCTGGTTTTAAAATTGGTTGTTGTCACTTACTATGTAAAAAAAAAAGGATGAATTATGAGGCAGGAGACATAAAATAGTATAATATTGGAAGCAACTTGCGTAGTAATGACGTCAGGCGTAGTATAAAAATATTAAATGGGAGAAAATACAGCAGCTGACGTTATTACAATGGTGTTCAGCTATGCTGCTGATTTCCTTATAGGGAGAGCTTTTTATCATTCCTTTTTTGCCATAATTCAATATATACATTTATAGATAATATCAGGATCAGTGTAGTCTAATAAATCAACGACAAGAACGATCAAAATTTGACTAATATTATTTGCTCTGTTGTTTTTGTGTGTATATGCTCGTAAACTATCAGGGTATTGATTTTGTCCCTGTATTCACATGTTTCATTTCCATTTCCCTCTCTGTTCATCCTCAGTCCCGATTTGGCAGCTAGCTTTATCATTTATTAAATTGTTTTCATTACGTGAATGTCAGTCTCTCTCACTGCTTCTATCACGCTATACACAGAAATGCGCGCTCACGCACGCACATATACACAAACTAGTTCCGATAGTGTGAATCTTTTGGAATATTTCTCTGCAATAAAGAGACAGAAATGATGAGATAACAACACCAACAAATCAAAATTTAGTCAACAGATAGAAAAATGATCTCGTGAGAGATGGGTTGGGAAATATGTTTAAATTTGTGTTGTTTTTCAAGGAGAGAGAGAGAGAGGAAGCATAATGAGATGTTAGACAGTGAGTATCATTGTTAATTTGGTTAAGTCTCTAATCAGTCAGTCAGTCAGGCAGTCAGTCACTTGATCAATGGGTGAATAGGCAGGCGTACACAAAAATTAGTGAAGAGAGTAACTTAAGAAACAGGCAGAAAAAAGAAGAATATTTATGTTAGGAAAGGAGTTTTAGAATTCGATTATTAGTGATTAATGCTAGAATATTCCATTGCGTTTATGTATATGTAGTCATACACAGTCACTGAGATATAGAATAAGTTCATATATGCATAAATTGAAGGGGATAAAAATAATTCGATTTAGTGGTTCCAGTGCTATATGCAATTGATTGTATAAGGTAAATAAAGAATACAATCACTAATAAATTATCTGAATTTAATTGGTTGTCCCCCCCCTCTCCCAAGAAAGAACTGAAAATGAAATTTCATGCATAAAGCAAACCTTAATTCGCTTCATAAATCTTTTTCTGCTAATATCTCACAGCAAATTTTATTCTACAAACAGTATTTATGTGACCTGCTTAACAGGTGAACTTAGACAATGACTGAAATTTTACAATTCTCATTGAAGATTAGTTCTACTAGAATTGTTTTAATTACTGGTTGATGAAGTTATTATATTAGGATCAAAATTACCCTGAAAAACACATAGCTTAATAGACTTTATAAAAGACATTTGTATCACTCAAAAATGTGAACAGTGTACTTTAAATTCGTACTGTTTTTTTTTTCTTTAAGAAAAGGACTGTTTTTTTCAGTAGGGACTGTTGACAAACATCCTTTTAACCTTGAGCTTATGCATTGATAAGTCACTCGACTGAATGCTGTTGGTTCTGGTATAACAGTATATTTCAACCCTTAAATACTTCTTCATAAGATGAAATCCACACTGTCAAACAATGTGATGTATGAACTTATTTGTAGAATAGCCTATTTGTAAACAATGAGTGCTTAGTTTTGGATCAAACAAAAATCTAAAAAATGAGACCATGGGCGTATTTTCATAGGTTGATGATCTCTTGTTTATTCTCAGCATAGAATTTTGAAATTTGAACACTTTGCATATGGATAATGAATCATGTCAGTAACAGCGCAAATCCTGAACGAAAAAGGAGAGAGTATGGTAACTTTCAGATACTGTGTTTAGTTGCTGAATTTCGGGACTTGCAAAAACTCACTCCTGAACTTACTAAAGCTACTAAAGATTTAAACTATACATGTCAGAACGTTTGAATTCTTTATTTGTCTCGTATTAGCTAACAGTACGTTGGTGATATAGGTATAGCCTTATTCAACAGCCATTAGATAATTACAACGGTCGGTCGGTCGGTTTTCGACATAGAACTTTGCACTGATGTGCGGCAGTTCAAGTCGCCACACTCCATGTACCACACAAAGCAAGAGAAGAAAGTAAAAGAAATGCATAATAATATAAACAGTAAACAGAGGTGTGAGACAAAGGAATAGTAATAACGAATAACAAAACAGTTTCATTGGAAATCATAAGTCACAAGGAGTGGATGCATCTTCGCCACTGAGAACGATTTTGAGCCATGTCACCAATTGTTTCCAACCATTGGTTTTTACCGTTTCGAGGACCCCAACCAGGAAGTCTACACCTTCCTACGTGGCTAAGACTAACTGTCGTGGATTTCATTGACTGGTGCCATGTTTTCGTTTGACCGCCGTTAGCTCTTTTCCAGCCTGGCCCTATATCAACTAACATTGCCCGTCGAGGAAGGCGATGACTAGGCATAGGTAGCACATGTCCTAACCATCTCAGTCGATGTAATTTCACAGTCTCGTCGATTGATTTCCCCGCCTTACCTAGCACTCGACGCCTAACCTCACTATTGCTCACCTTATTATACCACTTCACACGGGAGATAGAACGCAGACACCTATGATCAAAGACAGCTAATCTTTTCATGTCTTCCACTCTCAATGGCCAGGTCTCACTCACAGCCATAAAGGAGGACGGAGCGGACTGTTGAGCAGTACACACGCCCTTTGGTCGATATTCGGATATCAAGTCTACGCCAGAGACGGCGTAAACTGGCATATGAGAAACTATCCCTCTGTATTCGTGCTGAGATTTCGTTGGAGATCAACCCGTTGGGGCTGATGGTACTTCCCAAGTAAGTGAAGTGGTCAACGTGCTCTACCACTTCACTTCTTATTTCTAATCTAGGGGTCGGTGAAGTCCAATCCTGCAGCATCATCTTACATTACAACAGATGACAATAGTGCATCGGTGGCACAGTGGTAGAGTGCTCGCCAACCAGGCATATGTCTTGAGGTTCAATCCCTGGCTGATGCACTCCTTTACCTCGCTAAACCAGTAATAAGACTGGTAAGGAGGGAAGGTTGGACATGAAGCTAGCGACTCCATCGCGTAAAAATAAACATCACTGCTATTGAAACTCCAAGCCTCTAGCTTGAAGCCCTATGTTCCACTGGGAACCTACAGGAATAAAATAAATAATAAAATAATAACAGATGACAATTCAATTAAGACCTGGTTGCAGCACTCATATATATATATATATATATATATAGTAGGACGTTTGGTGCATCATGGATACTGGCAACTGAGTAGTTCCATATTAGCTCTAGAGGTTACCTATTTATGACTAACTTTCATACTGTTGATGAACCGACACTGAAAGAGTTGTCAAGATCATTGAATTATCTAAAGGCTTTATGTTATTCAATCCTCTGATGTTTTAGGAATCTGATAAAATCAAGTCTTAGGGAGACAAAATATGTCGTTTGTGTATACTTGAGATATCTTTCTGTCTTTGCTGGACACCTTTTATTTTTAAGGATTTGGTAAATGTGTGTTTTTTTTTCTGGGAAACCCTCGACTAGGATACATCAGCTGTGGGTCTTCTCTGAGTCTGACCATTCAGCAGCCTTTTTCCTATTTCTGTGGCACATTGTGTTAATTGTCATTATTGTTAAGCATTCTGACATTCCCTCATATTTTTTTGGGCCTGCGACTGACTAACCTTATCGCATCAGTAAATATTACTATATAACACTGTGAAACTTTATCAAAATAAATTTTACCCATAATGGACTTTTCTCATTTCTTTAGATTATTCTAACCGATCTAAGGCTGATGGTGTCACTTTAGACCAGCCTACAGTTGAACACCGTTGGATTAATTTATCTGCTCTCAAGGAAAGTCTATTTGATTTCGCTTTTTTATTGGACTGTTGTGAGCCAGGTTCAATACCGGAACCACAGCTTATCGCAGCATTATTTGATTTGGTAAGTCAATCATAAAATACGTTTATTTGTTTATGAAACGATTTCAAATTTATAGTGGTTATAGAAGTCTGTATTCTACTTATATACGGATCGGTGAAGATATGAGTTGACAGAAATTCAGAAAAGGGGTAGACAGGATCTTCTGGTCGTTAGAATAAGTAATATTCAAGTATTGGTTTGGTAGGGATTTTGTTTGATTGCATGGAGGATGTCATCATGAGCTGACATCAGTTAGAGAACCACTGGAAAACCTGGGAGTCCTGGACAGCTGTTTCGCCTAAATTGGGACTCTTCATCAGTACGCACCCACCGGGATTCGAACTCAGGACCTTCTGGTTACAAGGCGAGCTCGTAGACCATTGAGCCACTGGGACCCGATCCAATGGTCCTTGAATTCTAACTTCTCCATGCAATCAAAGAATAAGTAATAGATAGAAACTTGATTCGGTCTTACAGTCCGAATTTCGCAAGTGATTGACATGTATTAACAAGTTAAATAGCCAGATTTTTTTCCAATGTAATCAAACTAATACATGGCAACATACAGTAACCGTCGAAAACCCGTACCAGTAAAGTGCATTAGCACAACGCGACCTGATAACAATAATTTCTCAGAAGTAACTTGTTGGTAAATGTAGAGGAGCCTTTGAAGATTGCATAATTTAATATGTAGCAGTGCATAGTTTGGTGTTTTGCGCTTTGTGAAACTCATGGATTCACTTGTAACAGCAGAAGGCAAGACACGGAAGCCAAGGTATATTTTCCATTAATCAGACCTCTGTTTATTATTATATGTATACAGTTTATATATATATATATATATATGGTCGACATTAAACAAAATGAAATATAATGTTCAAATATACATAGTATTCTGTTGCTAATGCCGTATTGAACTGTGGGAATTTGTGAGAATCATATTCCGTTGAACACATTGTCCATATCACATCACCACACACTTATATCAAAAGTGAGCTATAGTTTCCATCATTAAATCTTTTTTCTTTCAACCAAACTTTATTGCTTAAGCTATAAGTAGGAAAGGTTTGAAGATTTATTTTGCATTGCTGTTTTTGACAAATTCCAGGGGCGAAAAGCACCAAAGTAAGACAAGCTTTTCTGATGGATAGTGATATGCTTTTAGCAGTAGCACAATATGTCATAATATAACACCAAGAGCTCCAATCAGACATTAGATCCTGTTGCATAGTATTCCGAAACCTTTATGTCCCATGAATCTGTAGGCTTCGGTGGCACAGTGGTTAGGACTCTCGCCGACCATGCACATGGTCTGGGGTTCGATCCCCTGCCAACGCACACCCGATATCTATGGTCGGCCTGCGAAATTTGGGCTACCGATATCCATGCTGAAAATGCCCTACTTGTACTAAAAATACGGTGTGGCATTAAGCTGTAATCAAAAATAAAAATAAATACTTAAGCTATAATTACTATTTATAAACTTTAAGCCGTCAGCCTTGTTGTTGTGTCTATTTTTGAGCATCACTTAAACTGTTTTTACAATCATTATTTGAAGCTTCTTCTCTTTATGTATATATTCAGTTCTCAAATTATGCATAAAAACCAATATAGATTTCGATTTTTTGTGAATTGTGTCTTGACTAAAGAAATTATTTTGGAGAAATCGTAGTATTATTTAACAGCTGATAAAACAGTTCAATCGTAAGTGAATAAATTATTTCAGCAGATTTTTGCATCTGTTCATAAAGGTAAGGAAACAGATATATAGGGAACATTTCTATATTAGAAATAACAGTAATGCAAATAGTACGTAGAGATGGGTAAAGGAGATAAAGATAGTACTGAAAGCTAATTACCGTAAAAGCATGAATTCAATTTCCTTGGCGTAGTCGTCAGTTGCACCAGACTAAAAGGGATGGATGGTTTTGCACAAATTAATCTCACACTAATTTACGTAAACACGAAATCCCCCCCCCCCCAATAATAGTAATTGAATCGGTTATTTTAAAATAAACTTTATTCAGTGAAATATTTGGTTTAAATGAAGCGCTGTGATTCGCACTCATCTCTTATTTTTTTAAGTCTGCGTAATTCTTAAACGGTGGTTAAGCTAAAAGTTCAGAGACAGTAGATGTCTAAGTGAAGAGACAATAAAGTTGGAAATATAAACCATCTTCAGTGCAGATTTACTTTAACGATTTATGCTCTTCATAAAACATTTCCAATGCCACGCACGTTTTGTGAGTAACATTTTCCTCATAATAAATAATAGTTTACATGAATTTTTGGACTATCATAACATGAACTGTACAGGAATGAGTAATCACTAAACTTCAGAACAGAATGCCGTATATTCCTTGAAGAAAAATATTAGTTTTAAACAGTAACAGTGCAAAAGAAATGACAAGTTTTGTTTCAAAACTTTAGTTTCAATCAGCTGTTTTCGTGCGTCGGTGGCACAGCAGTTAGGACTCTCGCCGACCATGCACATGGTCCGAGGTTCGATCCCCTGCCGGTGCACACCTGTTATCAATGGTTGGCCTGCAAAATTTGGGCTACCGATATCACATGCTGAAAATTCCATACTTGTACCAAAAATACTGTATGGTTTCAAGCTATAATAAAAAAAACCTAATTTTCTTCTTGAGAAAATTGTTTATAGTCTGATGAGTGGAAAATTTCATTTAGAAACGTTAGTAGTTTGATGAATTTGTCATCCTCAACCTTAATTCTTGTGTACATAAGTGAGCTTAATCGCTTGACAGAGGTTAGTATTGATTTTTCTGAATTCATTATAAAGGATTTATTTAAACACGCAGAAAATTAAAAGTTTAATGTATCCCGGAGATTACCTCAGTCAGATATTTATTATGAAAAGTACGGAAAACGACCACTTTATTTTTAATTCAAAGAATTAATGCGGAAAACTTTTTTTATTTTATTAACTGATGAACATTCAGTAAAAGAAATGAATATTGCGATTGAGACATTGAAAAAAAAACCAACTTTTCAAACCTTTTTAAGTTTCCTTGAAGGGGAAAGAGATTCTTCTTAGATGAAAAGAGACGGTGAATCAAACAGAAATTTTGACAGTCACTTTTTCCTTGCACTGTTATGAAAGGTAGAATTTCTATAATCATCCATCTCGTCCTGCTTGACTCACTTGAAATCTAAATTAATACACATCAGGTTCTACAAGGTTTTCTCTAAATCTCCCTCTTAATATAAGTCATGACAAGGAATACTAGTTTAATCAGTAGTATACTGAATTCTGTATAATTTTATTTTTATCTTTTAAGCATCAGTATTGCGTATTCTTTGAATGTCACTGGCAAACAGGTCTTCCGCACTGTTTTACACATGGCAGATTTAATTTGAAACTCAAAGAATTAGTGTATGCTTACTTTTAGAAATCATGGATAAAAAGGTGACCTTGGGATATGATATTATATATAGTGAAATGTGTGTAAAGTTTTTAACCATTATGAGTAGTATGTTTTACGAAGATGAAAATTGTGACTTTTTGGACTGTAGTTACCTGTTACATATTCCCACCTGTGCAGTTTGAAACAGACATACCTATTCATGAACAGATAACTGTGTTCATAGTGTAAGAATCAATTTCCTGATTTGTTTTTTATTCCTTCACGTTCCCCAGTGGAACATAGGGCTTCAACCTAGAGGCTTAAAGTTTCACTAGCAGTGTTTATTTTTACAGGATGGGGCTGCTCGCCTCATGCCCAACCTCCTCTCCTTACCAGTTTTATTACTGGCTTAGCGAGGTGAAGGAGTGCGTCGGCCGAGGTTCGAACCTCGGACTATGTGCATGGTCGGCGAGTGTCCTAACCCCTATACCACCGACGAGTAATTCCCTGATTGGATTTTAAAACCTCACAGGGGTAAGTGTCAACTCAAAGCTCCAAAATGCTTTTATTTGGTAATGACCATCTTGTTATTATAACGTAGGATATAGTATTTTTAAAAATGGTTTTGAACTTTAAACCTTAAATTGTATTCGGTAACAGTGAGGATAGGTTATGCTGATGAATGTCACTAATCAGAGGAAGATGACTGAATAGTGCCATTGCTATAATTTACAACCACTTGTTCACAGAAACATTGTACAGTTAATAGTATAACACCATTTAGTTCGTTATGCAGAATGCACTCTTGTTTACTTAAATCAGCATTGACTTTTTTAAATTATTGAATGGGAGACATTTCTATTCATCGAAAATGTCGTCTGTTTTCACTTTTATAATAACTATTTTAGGATGCACCAGTTTTAGCAAGAGCTTGTTTGCTAATTGAATGTGCTTTCCTAGTTCATCGTTGTAATCATGGGGAATGGGCTGGATGGATGAAATTCAATTTGCCAAGTTCATTTCGTTCAAGTGCTGGCTATATTAGTAGCAACAATAACAGCAATTTATTACAAGCGAATGATATTAATAGCAGCAGTAACCAACCCATGGATATATCAGAAATTAAACGTTTAGCTGGCTACCTGTTTTATGCATGGGGTGAAGTAAGCACGAATTGTATTGTATTATTGGAAATTACTGTGTAATATATTTTTTGTATAACTGACAAAGGCACTCAGATGTGAATCAGTCTGTTCACCTACTTTATCATCAATCTAGCTTATAGCATTTCAGTTCGTAAGACACAGAAAGTGACACATTTCAGTGCTAAATACAAAAAGATTTTTGTGTGTACAGTTATTAAAAATGAGCTCTCTGTCGAGTAGTGATTTGTAGACTAGGTGTTTTCACCAAATGTGTCATCACCATTACTTGTTTAAATCTGCGACATTGCTATTTACACACTAATTTGTACAGATAATTTTCATGATTGCATTTCCCAATTCAGTAGGTCACTGAATCATTCAGCTGGTTACTTCTTTCACTTCAAAATAAGTCACTGAGAAAGTGATACTATACAGAGTAGACACAGTAACATTGGAATAATAACTATAGGCTGTCTAGAGTTCCACAACCTCAAGCTGAAAGCTGCTTCATGACATTTGCTACTGTCTACCGCATTCTTTGATTGAATGACTGTTTGACTGGCGGATGAAGAGCTATTCACAATATATGTTTGTATTCAAAAGTGCAGCAAATCTTCCATCGGCTACCAGTGAGTTTGTATCTGAAAATGTCTTGGGGAGTTGATGAGTTTTTTTAGTAGTAAAAGCGACGTGTAGTATCTGTTAACCTAAATCTGACTGTGAAGAAAGATCAATATGCTTGACCGGAAGAATGATGAACATTTAATGCTCTAAGAATACTTTTAATCATTAAGTAATATAAATCACATCAGATTCAGAAGTTTTCACAACTATGACTAACAACTTTGCACTTCAGTTGAATGGTATTTTGTGTTTTAACAAATTCATGTTGTGCACAAATTAATGTTAAATGACCAAGTACAAAAAAGAATAGTTTTGATTACAGGAATTATACCAAAACAGAGGAGAGAAGCATTCTTCATGGTATTTCTGATGAATTATGAATTGCTGCTTAGGTTATATATATACTTGAAGTAGTAATAAGTAACAGAAATGTAAACATAAAACGGTAGATAACAATTTTAAAGTTATTTCTTATCAACTAGTCTTATGCTAACAGAAACTGACAAAAATATAGACGTTATTTGTTTGACAGCTCATTGTTCATCTCGTTGCAAAGCACAGTCGAGGAGACTTTAAGTGGTCGTGAATTGCACATTTTAAATAATTTTAATTTAGTGAACCAGAGGCCTAAAGTAGATAACATGTTTAGTGAAAAATAGGACTCACTTATCCCTATATTTTCTTAATTTAAACTGAAATCAAAGTACGTTAGGTTCAAAGCTTTCTCACTAGCGAAACTCTGAGTTAACAACAGAATTTGGCTCAAAACACATTGGATAATGTCCGTGGCGTCAAACTGCTGTTTTTATTTCTGTAGGCAGTGTAATTAACACCAAGATTTAAACTGTATCATGGCATTTTTGATATATCTAAGTGAGTTATTTAACAACTGTTGAAATTTTATGTTCAAGTAGTCAACTTAAAATTTCCTGGGGAATATGACATAATATTACCTGGAGAGTTACATGATCATGAAGTTTAATCAAGAAAAGAAGAGTCAGTGAATCTGGTTTATAAGTTTCATGATCGAATGCTGTAAGTTGACATTATTGATTTATTACCTACTATCAGAAAGATGATTTCAACACGTGGTTAAAATTGTTTTCCGATATTTCAAATATTTTTAATACTTCTGGATGATTTGGAGTTTTCCACAAATCTCTTTATTCATTTTAATCATGTTTCAGGCTCTAGGACACAGACTGCAATATTTTACAGCTTTACTGTCTTCATCTAAAGAGTCGATTATTAGTAATTCTAACACAACTAATGAAAAGACTTTTGGAGGTGATAAAAGCAAGGATTCAAATCCTCGTCCCCAGTTCTCAAACCCTGAAATTGAACAAAACTTTCTCGATGATGGTAAGAATTGCAAGATGTAGAAGAGTTTTGGCTTGTACTTGTGTATACTTTTTATGCTGCATGTTAATTACATCTTTCCTTTGCCATAGCAAAAATATTGTTATGTCTGTTAGTCAGCAGATACAAACAGCAGTATAAATAAAAATAATGTCAATATTTCTCTGCAGATTTCATTGCCATATATATAATATTTGGTCAGAGTACTGACAGATAAAATGTTAATTAGGGATTTTGGGGTTCCCAGACAAGTGGCTTCAAATCTACATAGGAGACAATTATAAAATGTCTCATAGACAGCGTATTACAGGGATCTACATAAATTTCCACAATCAAGCCTTAAAATCTATCACTTTTTGGACGCTACCATATTAAAAGCTTTGACCTTACTTTAAAAAATGGTTATAGAATAGGATGATTAAGTTCGTCACATGTGTATTATTTGTTTACAGTATCTCTTTGCAAATGGCAACTGTTTATTCAAGGAAGTATGTGACAGGCAATGTCTCCTGTTAATATTACATTGACAGGAAGAGTTTAGTTTTGTTTCCATTTTCATTTAAGGTTGCTGACATCCAACAGTTATTATCAAACATTAACAATATCTCAATGTTGGTTTATTAAAACTCAACCATCCAACATGAGACTATGAGTCACAACTATTGTATGAGAGCTGATGACAACTACCCAGTTTCTTAAACCTCAAGTAGCTACAGCCACATTTGAACTCCCAAACTGTTGACTGAAAGTCATATGCTTAAAACAATTAGTTATATTGCATGGAGGATTTCATCATGAGCTGACATCAGTTAGAGAACCACTGGAAAACCTGGGAGTACTGGACATCTGTTTCGTCCTAGTTTGAGACTCTTCAGCAGTACGCGCCCACCGGGATTCGAACCCAGTACCTTCTAGTTATAAGGCGAGCTCGTAGACCATTGAGCCACTGGGACCCGATCCAATGGTACTTGAATTCTAACTTCTGCCAATTCACGACATAGCGCGACCATTTCGCAATGTCTTCTTCGATGAGTTACTGCCTCATCTTCAACCTGCTGTACCCTACTGGTCACGGCTTCCCACTAGAACCCCAGGTTAACTGCCTGAATAGGGCCAGTCACTAGTGAGCATCAGATTAATTTTCAAGTATTGGTTTGGTAGGGATTTTTGTTTAATTGCATGGAGGATTTCATCATGAGCTGACATCAGTTAGAGAACCACTGGAAAACCTGGGAGTACTGGACAGCTGTTTCGTCCTAGTTTGGGACTCTTCTCTAACTGATGTCAGCTCATGATGGAATCGTCCATGCAATTAAACAAAATCCCTACCAAACCATTACTTGAAAATTAGTTATATCAATTTTTATGAAGTCGTAAAACGTCAAGTCCTTTGCTTTGATCAATGTTATATTTCTGTGCGTGATTCGGACCTTTAAAAATATTAGCAAGGCTACAATAACATACGTTAGCTTCTTGCGATAACAGTGTGCTTTTCAAATAGTAATTTGTAGAGAGATGTCATGCTATTAAAATGTATATTAATGGAATAGTTTCATAAGTTTTTTCAGAAGTATTTCAAGTAAAAACAAGCAAATCAGTCAAATTACTGAGGAGTTAGCAATACTGTTATGAAAAAAATACGAGCTGTTCAGTTATAAACAGAAGTTTACATATCTAGAATTATAAGCAGACTTTGCTAATCATTAAATTATGCAGTAACTGCTGCGTCTAGTACGAGTCATAATCTAAATCAATGAGACAACGTGCACTTGTTAATGCATTTGATGGTTGATGAAGATGTACGCATCATTCAGAGTATCCTGATTCATATTATAATTACTATTCCTTTGAGTCCAGTGTGGAACATGTGGCTTCAACAACACATTTCCAATTTGTCCTATCCTCTGCTGTCCTTTTCAGCTTGGACAGCGGTTGTCCACAATCTCTCATCTTCTCCTCACACGATCTCCTCCATATAAACCTAGGACGACCCATTCGTCGCTTCCTATTTGGATTTCACTCGAATGATGGCTTGACAAGCGATGTCATTCGATGGTCTCCTCAATGTATGAATGATACACCTCCATTTTCTCCCACATATTTGTTGAGCGATCGGTTCCTGGTTGGTTTGTTCCCACAGTTTCTTGTTCCTTATTCTTTCTCGCCATTTGATCTCCAGTATGGAGCTGATGAAGGCAAATGTTGATGAAAGTCTGAAGTTGCCTGTTGGAAATCGTTTTCATGACACGACACGCTTCTGACCCGTATAGAAGGACCCATTCGACATTGGCGTTGAAAATCCAAATCTTGTTGTTTATGCTGTGGAGTGCAGAAGATTTCCAAACTGATTGATTTCAGGTTGATGAAGGCGTATCTCGCTTTTCTGATTCTGGCTGGATTTGACATCCTCATCCACTCCGCCTGTGGTTGAAAAGATGCTAACCGCCTAGAAAAGTGAGGCCAGGAAGTAACCTGTGTCAAACTTCTCGCTTTGATGGTGATTGGTGCTGTTTGTCGTCACTGTTGATTATTTGGTTGGTTGGTTGGTTATGTTCATCACCTCCGTCTTCTCTATGTTCCCTTAGAGTCATTTCTTCGCTGTCAGCCTGCTTCTTCAACCAGTTTGTTGGCTTTCGCCTGTAAGTCTTCGAGTTTGTATGACATTAGACATTCATCATCTGTGAAATCCAGATTATCTAGAGTATTCTTGTCTTCTCACTCACATAGCATATCCCATCTGACACATAATCCAGTCCACCACAGTTAGGAATAGCATCGGTGATAATATGCAGTGGCCTTGTCTTACTCCCGTATGCACTTCGAACTCCTCACTGAGTGTGTTTTCCATTGTGGATCACCTGACTGACACGTCGCATTGTCGTATAGCCAACTGTTGAATGAGGTTGATAGAGATTTGGGTCAGTGCACGCCATACTGTTGAAATAGTTTCCAAATTACTTTTTGGTGAACGCTGTGTGGTGGAGGCCTTTGCGAAGTCGACGAAGATGAGGTAGATGTTTAACTGCCATTCTATGCTGTGTTCGATGAGGATGTGCGGATTTGCAATTTGATCAGCACATGATTTGGCTTTCGTGAATCCACCTAGCTTATCCTCGTGGGACTGGCGGAGTTGTGCATGCAGTTCATCTTTTGTTCTTTCTAGGCTAATGCGAATTAGTATTTTACTTGGCGTGGACAAGAGCATTATTCCACTCCAGTTATTGCAGAATGAGGTGTAAGTGGCTCTTTTTTGGTAGCTTGATGCAGTAGCTAGCCTTTCTTTCAATCGATAGACACCTAACCTTCCTTCCAAACCTTTCACAATAATGGCATGAGTATATCTGCTGCAGTCTCTGCATCCGTTTACAGTGCTTCAGGGACAGCGGAAATTCCGTCTGGCCTTGATGCGTTCGCGACTGGACTTCAGTGGCTTGATTGCAATCAAGATTTTTGCTTTGGTTGAAGGATAGTTGTCGACTGAAAGGCAGCTCTGTGCGTGCTTCCAGTGGTGGTATTTCTCGTCGAGTTTCAGGTGATTGTCGATTGAAGAATCCTTTAAGCGACCATGCATGTGGTGAGAGGACCGTCATCCTTAGACCATCGTGTGCTTCCCAATATTGGCTTCTCTTGTTAAGTCTACATTTGGTTACGAAGTTCCGTCCAGTCCTCTGAGTGTCAACCTGAAGAAACTCAACCGGGCATGAGAAATGGCGGGACGAGGGTTATGGTTATATGTGGCAGGCGCCTCCGCGTGGCGACCGCTGGGTGAGGCTTATCGGTAGGCAAACCGAGCTCCAGTAAAGACCTGTCACTTGCATTAGACAACATTCACGTCTGGTCACTCAGTCTTGATGAAGCTGCGGTATCGTCTTTTGGCCTTTATGGTGGTGCGCGAGGCATCGGTAGGGCCAGTAGATCTGCGGGATTCTTGACGAGAGGACCGGGGCCAATAACAACTGGTTAGTGGGTGGCTGTTAGATATGGTAACCCAAACCGCGAGGCGCAGCTTGGTGTAGTTGTTAGCCGACTCCAGTCTCGAGCAGTGTCTTATGCTGTGGGCTGTGGCTTGGAGGGTGGTATCTTGTGCCATGAGCCAAGGTTTGGTTGGCTCCACTGCGCATGCAACCCTGAGAGGTTGTTCCTGTACATTTTAGATGGAGGAGTGGCACCAATGGTGTCCTGAGATGTAAATAATTGAAAATTGATGGAGACGCGTCTTGGGGAGTTCGCTCCGGTACTGTTTCAGCCGCTGGGGCGCCCCGCGTAAGCGCACTCTTACTCCTTTCCCGGATGGTGTTCGGTGGTTGCCATGGTACGAAAAGGGTGAATACACAGTGACGGTCGATTGAAAAATCCTTTAAAGTGATCAGCTCATTGTCTTAGTGGTTTCTCCTCATTGGTGATCAGGTTCCCTTCAGCATCTTTTATTGATTTCATCATCTCTATTGATTTCTTCATGGATACCGAGCAGCCTGGCTATCTGATATTGTGGTGAGAGCAAGCTGCTAGCCAATTGGTAGACATTGATCTACGCTGATTGGTAGAAATTAATCTAGGCTGATTCAACGACCGATCACAGCTGACCTAGACGTGGACAAATATGATTCGCAGACAAGTGGCTCGCATTTCCGAGAAATATCGAAAATGAGAAAGCAGAAGACTGCGTTTGTTTGCAAACAACCAATCAGAAGACCGCCTTCTTTCTGCGGGCAGAAGCCCATTAATGTACGTAAAATACATATAAATACCTGTTGGTTTTCGTAATAAAACTGATCTGTTGCCAACCTTGTCTTCTGTTGTTACATTTGGTGTCGCTGCCTCCGGAAAAATGAAGATCCCGTGGCCAGCTGCGTTTGAGGAGGGAGACATACGGAGCTTCCTACGTGATTTCGAAGCCGTAGCTGAGTTGGTGGGGGTCAAGGAGCAGGCGGCGAAGGCAGTTGTTCTGGGGACGCTGTTGAGAGGCCGAGCGAAGGCGGCATATGACAGTGTAGACCGGTCAAACGGCACAGTGTCTTGGAAGAGATTGGTTGAAAATTTGGTGTCGGAGTTCGACAGCGCAACAGACAGACAGCTAGCGATGCAGCAGTTCCGATCAACGAGGCTGGGACCTGATGGAGACCCGTTAGTATTGGCGGTGAAATTGACGAATTTACTTCGACGGGCGCTTCCCACGTTGGATAAAGAATCAGAAGAGCAGTTACTATCTTCCCAATTCATCGAGAGTGTACCAGACCGCATTTCTCAGCAGTTAAAACTGGTTAACGCAACGCAACCGATGGATATTAGTGAGCTAGCAAAGGTGACCAGACAGCTGCTGAGCACGACTGTAGCCGCTATAGAGCAGCCGAAACCAAATGAATATGAGCAGCAAATTGAAGCATTGCAGAGCGGAAAGAGGCCGTCAAGAATGTAATACGGAAGCAGCGGAGTGATGTCGCGAAGTCTCAGATGAAAGGAAAGACGCGGTGCATCACCTTTGCAGTCGGGGACCAAGTGAAGTGTAGAGACAGGAGATATACAGTTGGAGGCGGGCCAGGTTCACGGAAACTCCTGCCTAAGTGGGAAGGACCATACACAATCACAAAAAGACGGGGTCAAGTATATACCGTCCGAAGAGGTGACAAACAGAAACGAGTTAATGCCAGTCAGCTCCAACGATGGGTACAGTGGGATAAGCCGATCAGCAACAATCCTCAACTAGAGGATGTAGCACCAAGAAGGTCGGAACGCCTGCGTGCGAAGCTATTTGACGGGGAGACGAGTGTGGTGAGAGCAAGCTGCTAGCCAATTGGTAGACATTGATCTACGCTGATTGGTAGAAATTAATCTAGGCTGATTCAACGACCGATCACAGCTGACCTAGACGTGGACAAATATGATTCGCAGACAAGTGGCTCGCATTTCCGAGAAATATCGAAAATGAGAAAGCAGAAGACTGCGTTTGTTTGCAAACAACCAATCAGAAGACCGCCTTCTTTCTGCGGGCAGAAGCCCATTAATGTACGTAAAATACATATAAATACCTGTTGGTTTTCGTAATAAAACTGATCTGTTGCCAACCTTGTCTTCTGTTGTTACAATATAATGTCATTAGGTCTCTTCGACCCGCAGCCCGTCTGTTCTGCTCCAGTTGGTGACCTGTGTGTCGTAGAGTTATCTTTTGTTTTTCCGAGCACTCTTCTTCACTTCTTCGTTCAGTGCAGTGCACATTGAAATTAGCCTCTCCTTCTCTTGTCCATCTCTACATTGAGTCATCTTTTCTTTCACCATCTTCCACTCCTCTCCTCTGCTCTCTTCTGTTCTATTAGCTTCCAGATGTCCGTTGACAGCTATTCCTTGTTGTTTCTCTTCTCTCTTCTTAGAACAGTTGTACACGCTCTCTTGGATATCACCTTCAGTCAGTTAGTTCCAGTGTTGTTCCACACAGGTGTCCTCAGTGATGCCACCCAGTTTTTCTGACTCTGATCCGATAGCTGCAGTGAATGTATCTTCTTTTGTAGTTGCGTCTTTCTGTTTCCGAATGTTGGACTTGAATACAACGGCCATCTCCAGTTGTTTTCAGAGATTTCAGCTTCACACTGAAGGTTAATTGAACTAGATGATGGTCTGAGCCCACGTCTGCTCACCTTTTCGACTTTGTGTCAAGTAGGCTGCGTCTTTGCTTTCTTGAGCTGTACTGAGATGCAATCTGTCTGGTTTGTTGTATGTCCGTCAGGCGAAATTCATTCTGCTTTGTGCTTGTACACGCTGCCTCTGACGACCAAGTAATTGCAAGCACAGAAGTCTGCGAAGAGTTCTCCGTCGACAATTTTGACAATCCACATCGATTCCATCTGCTCTCGCGGATTCTGAGCACTTCTAGGCCATATCTTCGCATTTCGTTGTCTACTTGGGCAGCCTTCACAGCTGACTTCGTACATTGTACGTGCATCACACGCCCACATTCTTATTATTGCTTCATCGAGAAAAGACACATTGGTTGGCTGACTGGCTTTCCGAAGACTTTCACCAGCCCGCTGTGTCATTTAACCTTCCTGATTCGAGCGACGAATAATATCGTCCATTGAATTTTTTGTATTTTTAATTCTTTTTGTGTGCGTTGAAGTTTCTCTAGTGGTTTGACAGGTTTAGTGGAGCAGGGTTCCTAGTCCTACGTTCAATCCTCTCTCTTTACTCGGGCTTGGTACCGGCTAGAAATCTAGCAAATTAGTTAATAGGCGAGGTTCTCAGTCACAGTATTTCTGAATAATCCCTATCTTCTCTTTTGTGACCGAGATAAACTTTTAATTTTTGTTCGTTCTTATTTTTCCCTCAACAATACACGACTGACAACTCAAATACTATTTGTACAGGGATAAAGACTGAGAATACTGGCTGAGATTGCAAATGTTTATCGCTTCAGGAAAGAAGACAGTAAGAACAGAAATTACACTTAGCTACAATTTCAATACATGAAAACTGTGTTCTAACTGAATAGCATTTACCGATAAAATGAAACTTATTTCAAAAGAGGGAGGTGTTAGAAGAAGCGACAGCATACTGCATTTCATACGCGATCTGCAAACCAGATATATGACTTTAAAACATACAATAGGTCACTTCATTAAATCTTCTGAACACAACGTTAAACAGCGTTCGAAGATTAGTTACACTATGTAAAATAAAAACAAATAAGTGCATTCATCATCCAAGATTATTATTATTATTTTTCTCAACAGTTAGTTTGTAGGGATTGGATTTGTTTCTAGGTTCACCATGGATTGTTTTCAGTTAGAGAACCATTGAAAATCAGATAGCCATAGTCAAAATTGAATTCTTAACAATTTTAGTGGGAATGCATTTCTTTTTCCCAGTTATTTGTGAACCAAATGGCTTAAAAATCCTTAAGCTAAATTCAAATGTTTCTGCTCAGTTGCGAAGCATTTTACAATTTATATGAACTGGTTACTACAAAACAGTTAAAAATTTCTTTCGAAATCAAGTAATTTCGGTAACTTCAGTTACAAGCACGTCACTCAGTTCAAGAGTATGTGTTTATTACGTAATTATAGTGTTTATTCTACTTTTGTTATGACTTACTTATCTACTGCTGATTGTGTTTATCTTTATTTAAACCGAATGGGATAGTGCCTTTGTAGCAATTTACATTCTCAGGAAGTTTGTTTCGCTAGTGGTTTTAATATTGCAAACATTCGAAGTCATTTTATCAGTAATAATAAATTTTTTTAAATAGAATTCTTCAAAGCTATGATAGGTGCTTTGACTACATTGCTATGAAGTGAAGGTTAATTTTTTTACGCTGCCTTAGAAATCTGTATGATGAAACTGTCCAGACTATATGCGATTGCTCACTAAACTTTGTACACTTTTTCAACCTTCCATTTTAAATCTTAGCTTCAGTTAATCCAACTGGTGAAAGCTGTCCATATGCATTGTTGACAATTGGCGTTCAACTACTATTTGAAATAACAACATATCTTAGAGAAACACACCAGCGTTTACCGCAAGACAATTTGGATTATGATGGGAAATATAGTCATTCATCGCAAAATTCATCAAGAAATTCAATGACCAAGCGTTCGTTATCCCGAGAAACCAGTAGTAGTGATAAAAAACCCGATGCCTTCAAACACAGTTATTTTACTGGGAGTGGTGGTACATCTTTTAAAAGTGCCAAAAGACGTTTGAGTATACTGATGCCAATATTTGGCAGTACAGGTAACAACAGTCCAGAAGATGATTCAGAGAAACAAACAACTCCAACTACGAAACCTGTGATTGCTACTCGTAAGTTTAATAAATAAGCAAATATCTATAAAATGATTAAGTGAATAATGTTTCGTCTACATAAACCAATTTAAATTCAAAATTCTGCTTAAACAAGCTATTAAATAATCTTAGGTCAAGTTAGAAGGACATATTGAAGGTCAAAATAACAATGACCTAAGTCTATTTTCTCACCTCTTAACTCTCTATTAAATAATATTGTCCCTATGGAGATTCATGAACAGCGGGAGTTGAACAGATTGATTATTCAAGTGTTGGTTTGTAGGGATTCGATTGGTTACAGGATTTCATCATGAGCTGACATTAGTTAGAGAACCATTGGAAAACGTGGGAGTACTGGACAGCTGTTTCGTCCTAGTTTGGGACTCTTCATCAGCGCGCACCCACCCGGGATTCGAACCCAGGACTTTCTGGTTTACAAGGCGAGCCCGTATACCGTTAAGCCACTGGGACCCAATCCAATGGCCCATGAATTCTAACTTCTGCCAATTCACGACATATCGCGACCCCTAGCCAATGTCTTTGGCGAGTATTTGTCCTCACAACCGACCTGCTTCTTACATTTACACTGACATCAATAATTCCTCTTTAATAAAGTTGTCTAGGTATTTTCGAATTTTCGGGAAATATTTCTACAATGCACATGAGGTGAACATATGTAAATTTGAAGACCATTATTAGGATAACGTACATTACATCAATTTATTTTGAATTCATACTTAAATCAGGATCAAATTTTTAAATAAAAAAAATAAAAAAAGTTATGATTCTTCTTAGAGAAGACAGCATATACCTTTTCATTTAATGAATATTTTACACATCATTGGATTGCTATTACTCTTGTTAAAACTTTGTCTATTTTGCACATGTTCTGTAATTTATTTGAGACAGATGAACAATTTCTGAGGTATTACTTACTGTCACAAAATTCTTTCGAAATCATACAGAGAAACTGGGGGACAAACTTATAATAATAATTATTATTATCAGAATTGCGATTATTATTATGACTACTCATTCCTTGCATTTTGGATAAAACTTATTGATTTAGCGGTACATCTCTATTTCACTTGACCCCCTCTGCCATCACTTTCAACTGATTACACGACTGCCCACAAGCTGTCTACTCCTCATCATGTAGTCTTCTTCGTGTCATCTTTTGATGCTCAGCCTGTCGAATTCCTGAAGTGAAATTAAATGTAAACATGCATAATAACAAGATTCAAACGATTGGCTTCCACATCGTATATCAGATTGGCTTTTTTGTTGACTTGACTAGAAAACCCGACATCTAGTCAGAAATTAATTCTTTTCCGTATTGTGAATTATGTCGAATCATCTTGTAGACAAACGATACATAGCTGTCTCTTTTTCATAATACTAGCTACCTTCCGATTTCAATCTAAATCAGGTTGATTTGACAAATGAGATTATTGGGACATTGATTTACTGTTTTAAGTATGGTATTCAGAATGGCATTCATTCCTAAAATAAAGTCGAACCACCTTAATTAAATCAAGTAAGTCAAGTTATAGAAAGAAAATGCTATTTTGAGAAAATAATTTATGCAATCCCATTAAAACGGAAATCCCAACTTGGAGTAGGAATAAATATGCTAATCCATATATATATATATATATATATATATATATATATAAAGCAAACATAAAAGTCGTTGACTAATATTTTAAACATCACTAGATATTTATTCAACAGTAGCACCAAAACAGGGCTGTAAACGTCTATAAAATGTCTGCTTCTCACTCGATGCCCAATATGGCTGCGACTTGTAGGTTAAATCTTGATGAGAATTTTTCTAAAATGGCTGTTAACTGTTGCAAAAACAGATTGCAGTTTTTATTTATTTTAAAACAAGCAATAAAGGTTAATAAAGCAGGATTTAATGAATTCATCAAATTTCGGTAGAACTCGTCAGCTGAATACTCTACATACACGGATATATATACTTTTGAAATTACATTGGGAGATATAGGACTGATAAGTAAACAAACTACGTTGAATTAGTCATGCAGAAAGACAGGTGCGAATGTTTTTCCAGGTCATGTTCAATTAGATAAGGGGAGAGAGAGTATGGGAGATCAAAATTAAGATAAATTACATTACGCTTCAATTACATCACTTAGATAAACAATTAGACATTAGAGAATTTAACAAGAATTGCAACCAGAGAGATGTCAATAGTAATAGTTATAATAACAATAATAATAATAGTGTTGGAGTTAAGATAATGCTACTGATAAAGGATAGTTTTAAATGAATCAAGAATAATAATGAGAATAATAATAATAAGAGGTAGAATTATAAGTAAAACGTATTACCATGGTAGATTCAGAGTCACGACCATCTCCTTTTGTACACAGAGACCTGGTTTGTAAACTCGAATTGCACAAGCCTCTGCAATTGCAAGCATCTTCTTGTTTCTTTGTCTGCTGACAATAGTGAATGACTTGACCGCGTCGATATCATGTCCGTAATCCACAAGATGCTTTGTTATTGAGGATTTTGGCACTTTGTACTCAGCTGTTTTCAACCATTTTGGCAATTGCTCCATCATGCAAGCAGACAATCTCCTTTCCGTACGACTTATATATTTGCTTCCACAAACACACTCAAATTGATATACGCAGTTTGAAGTGTCGAGGATTGGCGACTGGTCTTTCCCAGATTGTTGAAGCACTCGCTTAGTGGTGTTAAGGAAAACAAGTTTTGCAGCATAATGCGTTCTCTTGATGGCTTTGTCGAGTCTTCGTTTGACTACTTCCTGTACATCATCTCCTTTATTTATTTTTCTAAACAGAATATTTATTTGTAGAATTATTTGAATTATTTTATACGAATCTATTTCACTCATTTTATCAATAGCCGTTATGTCGACATAAAATTCCAATGTAAACAATGTTCACTTTAATTCATAAGACAATACATTTTATGTATGGAGTGAGGATAACATCGCGTTTTGTTTCACGTATATATTAAACCTAAAATGGTTGCACCCAAAAATTCAGATGAATAGGAAAGATTGTTCTCTGATTTAATTTTATACTTGTGATAAGATTATAAATTTAGTGTTTGATGTCTTCAGCATGCATACTATCAAACTGCTTGAATGCCATCCATAGAAGACCTGTGAAAGTGAAATAATGAAGCACTTTTGTATTGAAGAAAACGTTCAGTGTATCTTTGTTCTGAAAATGTGACTGATATGATAATAACAAAGTCATTTTCAGTTTTTCTGTTATCCACATGCGGTAAAGCAAAAACACATTAAGATAATTGGGATCTAATGGAATCGTTTCAGCTACTACTGAAACAATCTTTTGGCTGCATTATACTCCTCATGATATACAGTCTACTACTAATATCTGGAATGGCCCATCAAATATAAACTGAGGTTGTAGTTGTGTAACGCTTTTTATAAGTTGAAAAATCCACTTCACAATTAACACTTTTTAGATTCTTACTGATTAACCAGGATCACTGTCAAAAAATCAACAGAAAGTGCTGTTAATATTCAACAACTTAATACCTGTCTCTTGAAATAAGCGCCTAATAATGCAAATGCATTCAACGTGTTAATCCGGGCTTTATTTTAGTAGATGTTGTCAGCAGTGGAATTCATGATGCACATTTCTTCCTATTTGTGACTCGTTGGCTGGATTTACCTCCACTCCCAGTAGATGGTGCGGATCCCACTGAGACTCGAACCCTAAACCTACTGTTTCAAATACCAAAGCATTAGTCACGTAGCCCACGGGAGTCTAGGAAGGTTGTGGTTTGATACTTGAAACGATGAGTGCTGTGCTTGAGTTTCGGGAACACCATGACACACTGGGAATGCAGATACATCCAAAAATTCCACTGCTAGTTAGCTCTATCCTAGAAATACTTCATGTTAATTTTTAATAATCGTCGAAGCGTTCATACTATTCACCGGCTTGTCAACAGAGTCCAAGCATTTTGATGCAGCATAATCTATCGGCAGGAAATGCAAACTGACCTAAAAAATTTTTCAGGGCTTGTTACGTTATCTGTTTAAACTAAGTGAGTGGGGTGTGTGGTCCAGGATTTTACCCCGATAACCATTGGCTAAATGTTATATTCTCAAGACATAAATTTAACAGTAATTATGCTTTCGATACATATCAAAATGCCTTTTAGTTTCAGACTAACGGAAATAAGTATGACACAAAATTTTAAAATACTACTGATATTAGATTTTTGGTCTATGTCATTACTACTAACATTTTGCTATTGGCAGTGGCTGCGAGTGAAATGTGCGTTTCTCGACTAATGCAGAAATCTTTTGGAGTATGTAACTGTATGAAATGGTAAGGTCTTTGAACTCTATTAAAATAATGAGATGGATATTTACTCTATTAGCTCTTTTTCTTTAATCAATTTTCTAAACTACACTTTTTTATTTACACACTTCTTTTGTTACAAAACACAATGCTTCAGCCCCTGATCAGTCGATTTCTGGTCGTCGAACTATTTCTTCAAGACGCATAAGCTTTGCAGTCTTGGGAGATTCTAAAGAGTCATCAGAGTCAACAGCTGCAAGTGCAAACCATCTTGATCAGTCATTAGAAGCAAATGAATCACAGCGTAAGTCACAACATCACTTTAAACCTTTCATAAAACTGGTAACTTATTATAACAAACTGAATGAAAATTCAATTTAGCATCAAATTATGTTTGGCTGCTTAATCACATTTAATGCCTGAGATCTTATCACACCTCACGTTTATTCTATTTCAGTGTAGATGAAGTAATGTTTGAGGTGTATAAATCACCAACTGTAAGTCAACTGAACAAGCAAATACACCAAAAAATATTGATTTCTGTAAGCTTAGAACCACATTACTTATCAGCAATATAACGTTCTAATTTTCTTTTTCCCTCGTATTCTGCACGCTTATCAATTGCCTAAGAGTCTTCACATTTTGTTAAATTACTTCTTTGAAGTGATACTGCATTGGCGATAGCGTCTATATTCTTTAATTTGTTTACCAGCCTCATTGTTAGGCGGTGTTGTATGAGGACATATTTTATGTCAAAGATGAATCACAGCATCATATTTTTGCTCAGTATCTTCAATGCTATGCATCGCTGTTTGAATGGACAATTAAACGGTATATGAAGTCCTACAATGTGCATATTCCATATTTTTCATAGTTCTCTTCTACTCCACATCAAAGTTTATGTGGGAGATGTCTAAGATTACCGATGAACAGTATTCAACTTAGGTAAATAGTTACTTTCGTAATTAAAACTTTAATGAAAATTTGCTAACGTATATATATATATATATATATATATATACTCATCTGAGCTTCAAAATCACCGAATGTTGTTTAATCATTCCTCACAGATCGCTTATCCGTCAGTAAAAGTCTTCTTCGTCGTCATCGAGGATCTGGAAGTTTTAGATGTTTCACTTCTCGTGGATCTGACTTACTTAACGGTCAGTCATTTGAAATATTTTGTTCCAATAATAACCCTTAAGATAACATAATGTTCATACTGATTTTCACGTTTACGTCTTTATTTTTATAGCAAAGTCAAATAGGAAGCGTGCGTTGAAGAAAAGTAAAAGTAGATAAACACTTCCCGCATAGCAGGTCATTTAAACCCTTTAATTAATCTACTAATATGTACAGGCGAAATTCATTAAAGTCTCACAGGCTGTTTTGCATCTTGTCATTTATAGGATTTGATCAAAATCCTAATCATCTAGGACAAATGAATCGTGCCAGCAGCGGTGATGTCTGTACTGAAATTTTTGATGATTCTACTGATAACCCCGGGACTCCAGCTTCAGAGGATGACGTTCAGGAAGAAGTTCATCATGAGACAGAACATAACGCTATGCAGATGAGTCATATTAGCAAACCATTAATGCATGCAAATCCTTTACGCTCAAGATCAAGACAAAGACACAATTCTAGGCATGATGAAGCAATTAAATCCCATACATCTGTTCGGCGCTCAGTATCAGCGGCTCTTTCAGCCAAGCGATCATTAAAAAACAACACTATTTACTCTGGAGAAGGTGAAACGTATCATACCGATGACTACACATCGCATATGCCATGGATTGATGCTGTTATAGAGTTTGCAAACTAGTGAGTTAAATTTTCTAATGTGATATTTAGAATTCGTAGATACTTTGCATGCTGAAAATATGGGTATCATAATTTCTCACAGAGATAAAAGCTTTTAACCAAAACTTTGAATCAGTCTGAGATATTTGTAAAACTCATTCACATGCGGCTTCCACTAAGTTGGACAAAGCTAAACTAAGTAAAATCAACAAAAAACGGCTAAAATTAGCATTCTTTATCTAACTTTCATATAAGTGAATTTCGTCGTAAATCGAACTATTCATAACGGTTTTACCACAGTTCTGAACGCTTTGGTAATGCCCTCTCACATCTCCACCTAGGATCGGACGTAATATCTTCAACTTACAAAACGAGACCGTCTGTGGTTAGTGATCAAATGTAAACTCAGTGACCCGTCTATTCTTAATTTTTGACACCTCTGTCCAAGATCATCGATTAGTATCTATCCTCACACTCGACCTGGCGAACCCCATCAGTCACGACTTTTCACTGGAACTCCACAAAGTTTTTTACACAGTTAATGACAGAAAAGCAGTGGATTAGTTTTCAAGTATTGATTTGTTAAGATTTATTTGATTCCATGGTAAATTTCGTCACGAGCTGATTGCCAGTGAAAACCATCAAGATCTAGACAGTTTCTTCTTCCTTGTTTGGAAATCTACCTTCAAATCAAATTAATTAAAACAACCCAACGCTTGAAAATAACTCCCTTCAGTTTAGTCTCGGTTTTATGATAAATGACAATGTTAGTGAAGTCTTTGAATGGCTAAGGTAATTTTTTGTGTACGGAAATTTAGTAGTGAAATCTAAGAGGTGCTCCAGATCCCATTATTTTTTCTTAAAACTATCTATGGTAAGCTTGAAACATCTTTGGGAGGAATGGCTGTTGGAATAAATATATATATATATATATATACGTCTTTTGAAATATACATAAAATCGTTTGTCAATCAGTGTCTACAATTGTTATGTACTTTTCAGCAATAAAATATGTAATGTTTTTACAAGACTGGTAGAGGAAATTGTATGTCTTTATCATGTATTACTAGATAAAGTTAAAATGCCAGTGAATCAGTAATTTATTAGTGTTTATGCAGTTGTTGTATCCCATTTTATTTCTGTAACCAGTGTTGAAGTACATATAATAATCCATCGAAGGTTTGGCTACATTAATTCCACTGTCTGAAGTTTAGTGACCTAAAGTTGAAAACTTTTAATCTTTTTCTTCAGTATATATATATATATATATACTTTGGCAGCCTGCTACTTTCTCGACCACTGGAATCAGTTGCTACAGCCTTTTTTCTGCCAAGAACACGAACATCATCCTATATCTTGTGAATTTTGAAGTTACAATTAATTTAAAAGTAGATATTCTTTTCGATTCTAACATATTGGCAGTTAACACTCACCCGAAGATTACTTCTGCTGCCTTAATTGCCGTTTTTTGGCTAATTTCAGTAAGCATTCTGAGAATTGACTATCTTTGATGGTGAAACTGCAAAATAACTTAGTATATGTCAACCTAAGTGAACTAACTACCTAGTTACACAGTATTTACCAACCTTATAAGAAGTGATGTCAAACCTCATTTGAAATTTAAAGTTCACAGTTTGCATTCAATCAATTCAAACAACTAGTAAACACTTCTGTACATTTATTTGACTCATTTTATTTTGCTTCTCAATTAGTAGTGGTTCTTTAACTGCGATATCATTTTGTTCATTTCAATGTGCTTTGTAGTACAAACTTTAATTGTGATCATCAGAACTCATGTTCTTCAAACTGTTTCGAATACCAACAGCACCAGTGTCGAAATTTATTGAATGCAATAAAACAGGTTTATGAATCGGCAACTGAAAGTAAATTCGTTATATCCGTTGATCGTCAGTATATGAGTTCTCCAAGTAGTAGTAGTACTACTACCGCGAATGGAACCTCCGCTACTTCTACCAACACTACTGCTATGTCGTCAGCAACAATGGGAACAACATCATACCGTGGTTCAAACACAGTGTGTGATGCAGGCACGTCATCCCCGTCATCTTTTAACTTGATACACCAAAATAAGGTGAACTATTCACGTTCAGAAAACTCCTCTGACCAAGACGATTCATCACATGCAGAGTCTACAGATCTCTCTGATTCAGATATTGCACATCAAGAAAAACTTAATTCCAGAAATTTAAGAAGTAAGAATAAAACACTGAGAAGTTCAACAAATATTATTCAGTCTAACGACAGTTTAACCGGTCTAAGTAAATCAGGTGATACTGATGTTGATGTGAACAATTATCTGTTGATGCAACGTAGTACCCTAACATCTGGACCTGGAAGTGACTTTTGGAAAAATAAATCAAAACTGTTCAGTAAAGCTGCCAAGAGAAAAGTGAGTCGATTTTACTCACCAATTATTGTTTTCTTAGAAATATTTCTTGACTTAACTAATTTACGCGGGATTCAAAAAAAAAATAGACCAGTACAAAGGAACAGCAGATATATCTTTAAGTCACGCGACAGCTGAAGACTTTTGTTCGTTTGAATGTCTGCTTGCTTGGTTGATCAGAATGAAATCAGACATACATAGATGAACTAGAGGATATTGGCCGATAAGGTCTACAGTTTTATTGAAGTTACCTTGAATTAGCAATTTAGTAGCAATAATAGCATTTTCTATGTTAGGTGTTAGGAGTAACTGGTCTTGTACTTATTAAAATTCATCAGAATTGAACGTTCTCTTGAGGAAAATAATGAATCCTCCGTGATTTAAATCTTCAGGATTGAGTACTGAGTTTTTCTGTCAATCCTAAGTGTAGTACACTACAGTTCAGAATTATTTTTTTTATCGTCTACCCTAGGTTAACGGCTATATACTTAAACCCCAGCCTTCAATGAGTGAACCACATGGCAGAAAATTGAACTGTGGGATTAATTTTCAGAATTATGAAAGAAGCTTGAGAGATTCAGGGTGTAGACTGACTGGTTTACCCTGCTGTTAATTTACCACTTTGACATATTTTAGTGTAATGTATGGCATTTCTGACCTTTTTCACTGCCTTGTAATCATTAGAGTACGTTTGCTTGTACATATGGTGGTAAGTTCAAAAGGAAATGATGTAAAGTAATCGGTTTTATATCTCGTACTTTTTATATCACACCTAGTGAAGTGTTTCTGTTTGTTAACATGAAACTCAAAAAATAAAAGTGTCACACCAGCAGCAAAAAATTACTCAGAAGTGGCTTTACCAACTAACCATTTTGGTTTCTCAGGCAACTTTTTCATGCATTAACACTTTAAATTAATTTTTAGTTACATACTCATATTTTAGTCTCAATGTATTGGTTAGAAAATCAGACCCACTGAAGTAGTGTATGGTGGTTGGCGAAATAGAGTTCAAATTCGGCACCTTATCTCAGTCCGACATTATCAGATGTGTGAGGCTGTACTCATTCTTATATTTCATTCTGGTTATTTCAAGGCGACTGGGTTAAACTGATGACGATATTTTCGATCAATCTAGTGGGAAATAATTCAGCATAACGACACTGTATACTTATGAGTAGCTTACTTCATTTCTAGAAATTTACTGACTTTGTATTACAATGTAAATCTTGGCGTGGAACTGAAAACAACTAGAGAATCATCAAATAGCCGCGAGTGCTATGCAGATTTTTCATCCGGCTTTTGAACCCATCCATTTTCTCTGTTGAGTTCATTTGTTTTTTTGTTATTTTACCATCAAATTAAGGAGTCAAATTTGATCGGACCAAGCTCAAGTCGTGAGAACATGAATCTACTCGATAAAATTCGGATGAAATCATCTTACCGTTCGATTAATCTGAGTTCTTTCGAAGGTGATGCACCTGGTTTGACAGGTCTAATCAATCTAGGCATGTTGGCTGGAGCAGGTGCAGGTCTGCTGAGAAATTCTCGTCCAAGTATTAGTTTGAATCCACCACTACTTGGGATTGAAGCAGATGGAACAAGTGACATTTTGCCAGGCTGTGAAGATGATGATGATGATGCTATCAGAGGACAGGTTAGGCGACCTGTTCGATTTCGTAAACCGCATATAGGAGAATTACCAATTCAGTGTTATTTGGATAATCATGTAAGTGTCGCTGCGTTGTATAATAAATACTCTGCTGTTTTCACAAAATTTCAAAAGTTTCTTACATCTTAATTGGTTATATGCTAGTCGAATAGCTATGACTGGTAAAAAACAAATTTAGATAAATCGATGATCAGTATTAAGGGTGGCAAGCGATAGTTTTGTATGTAAAACTAGTCAAATTGATTGACTGATTTTAAGCGGTGATGCGTAAACAGTAATATGAATAAAGATAAGCCAGATGTGAATTATTTCAGTGGAGTTTTATTGAATAACTTCCAACCTAGTCTCAATTTGTCATATACGGTCTTTTGCTTATAATTTGTATATGGATCTGCATCAAGACAAAAATTAATTTGAGATATTCACTTGTTCATCAAGTAATTTTAAAAAGCTCATTATTTTTTCAACTTCGCACACTAACGGATTTCATGGAATTTGCGATTACTAACTCTCCTCAAGAATTCTTTATTGCATTATTTAAAGGTTGAGGATTGTGATACTTCTGTTTAACGCTGTTTTTACTGCATTCAAAAGATGCTTTCGTTGATAGCACGATGTCATCACCAAGGATAAAATGAACCAAGTGCTTTACATCTTATGTTCAACGGATATTCTTAATGTCGCCAGATATTGTGCGATTTTAACGTTTCTCTGTTGTTTTTTTAGTATTTCACAGCATCATACTTCTGTCTCATATTCGCAGATCATCCGTCTTCCTTTCTTCATATTGTAATAATGTATGATCATAATCACACGTGTTTGTATTTGCTGACCTAAAATCGCCCATTGGCAATAAATTATTAATATTATCCCCTCAGGTTCCTAGTGAAACATAGGGGCTCAGCAACACATCTCCAATTTGTTCCATTCCCTACCGCCATGTTCAGCTGCGTCCACAATTGCCCATAATATCTCATCTCCTAATCTCACGATGTCCTCTATACTACGATCGCATGGACGATCCATTCGTAGCTTCTCTTTTGGATTTCACTCGAATGATGGCCTGACAAGAGATGTCATTCGATGGTCTTCTTCAGGTATGAATGATGCACTTCAAATTGAAGTATGCGCTGAATATGTCACCTAGTAGGGTGATGAAAGCTTCGCAAATTAACTAGCCAGCTCAGAGAACACAACCACATCAAAAACACCACCATTTTCTTCCACATATTCGTTGAGCGATGGGTTCCTGGTTGGTTTCTTTCCACAGTTTCTTGTTCCTTATTCTTTCTGGCCATTTGATCTCCAGTATTGAGTCGGCGAAGGCAAATTCTGATGAAAGTCTGAAGTTGCCTGTTGGAAATCGTTTTCATGACACGACACGTTTCTGACCCGTATAGAAGGACCCATTGGACATTGGCGTTGAAAATCCAAATCTTGTTGTTTATGCTGTGGAGTGCAGAAGATTTCCAAACTGATTGATTTCAGGTTGATGGAGGCGTATCTCACCTTTCTGATTCTGGCTGGATTCGACATCCTCATCCACTCCACCTGTGGTTGAAAAGATTCTGAATGCCTAGATAAGTGAGACCAGGAAGTCACCTGTGTCAAACTTCTCGCGTTGATGGTGATTGGTGCTGTTTGTCGTCACTGTTGGTTGGATGGTTGGTTGGTTATGTTCATCACCTCCATCTTCTCTATGTTCCTTTAGAGTTATGTCTTCGCTGTCAGCCTTCTTCTTCAGCCAGTTTGTTGGCTTTCGCCTGTAAGTCTTCGAGTTTGTGTGACATTAGACATTCATCACCTGTGAAATCCAGATCATCTAGAGTCTTCTCATCGGTGGTCCAGAGTATTCCTTTCTTCTCACTCCCGTCGGACGTCCCGTCTGACACATAATCCAGTCCACCACAGTTAGGAATGTCGTTGGTGACAATTGGCAGTGGCGTTGTCTTACTCCCGAATGCACTTTGAACTCCTTACTGAGTGTGTTTTCCACTGTGGATCACCTAACTGACACGTCGCATTGTCGTATAGTCAACTGTTGAATGAGGTTGATCAAGATTTGGGTCAGTGCACGCCATACTGTTGAAATAGTTCCCTAATTACTTCGGTGAACGCTGTGTGGTGGAGGCGTTTCCGAAGTCGACGAAGTTGAGGTAAAGGTTTAACTGCCATTGTATGCTGTGTTCGATGAGGATACGTGGGTTTGCAATTTGATCAGCACATGATTTGGCTTTCGTGAATCCAGCTGGCTTGTCCTCGTGGGGCTGGCGGAGTTCTGCATGCAGTGCAACTTTTATTCTCTCTAGGATAATGCGAATTGGTATTGTACTTGGCGTGAACAAGAGCATGATTCGACGCCACTTCTTTCAGAGGCCTAAGTGGCTCTTCTTTAGTAGCGTGACGAAGTAGCTAGCCTTTCTTCCAATCGATAGACACCTATCCTTCCTTCAAAACCTTTTCCAATAATGACATGAGCATATTTGCTGCAGTCTCTGCATCCGTTTACAGTGCTTCAGGGACGCCTTGACGCGTTCGCGACTGGACTTCAGGGGCTTGATTGGACTCAAGATTTCAGCTTTGGTTGGAGCATAGGTGTCGACTGACAGGCAGTTCTGTGTGTGCTTCCAGTGGTGGTATTTGTCCTCGCATTTCAGGTGATGGTCGATTGAAGAGTCCTTTAAAGTGATCAGCCCATTGTCTTATTTGTTTCTCCTCCTTGGTGATCAGGTTCCCTTGAGCGTCTTTTATTGGTTTCATCATCTGTATTGATCTCTTCACGGATAGCGAGCAGCCTGGCTATCTGATGTAATGTCATTAGGTCTCTTTGTCCTGCATTCCGTCTTTTGTGCTCTAGTTGGTGGTCAGTGTGTCGTAGAATTGTCTTTTGTCCTTCCGAGCAGTCTTCTTCACTTCTTCATTCAGTGCAGTGTACATTGAACTTAGCCTCTCCTTCTCTTGTCCATCTCTACATTGAGTCATCTTCTCTTTCACCATCCTCCTCTCCTCTCTTCTCTTTTCTTCTATTAGCTTTCAGATGTCCGTTGAGAGTCATTCCTTGTTGTGTCTCTTCTCTCTTCCTAGAACAGTTGTACACGTTCTCTTGGATATCGCCTTCAGAGAGTTAGTTCCAATGTTCTTCCACTCAGGTTTCCTCAGTGATGCCACGTAGTGTCTCCGATACTGCTTCAATAGCTGCAGTGAAGGTATCTTCTTTTGTAGTTGCATCTTTCGGCTTCCGAATGTTGAATTTGAATACAACGGCCATCTCCAGTTGTTTTCAGAGATTTCAGCTTCACCTTGAAGGTTCATTGAACTAGGTGATGGTCTGAGCCCACGTCTGCTCACCTTCTGGACTTTGTGTCCGACAGACTGCGTCTCCACTTCCTTGAGCAATATTGGGATGCAGTCTTTCTGGTTTGTGGTATGACTTTCAGGCGAAATTCATGCTGCTTTGTGTATATCCTTGTGCTTGTACACGCTGCCTTCGACCACCAAGTAATTGAAAGCGCAGAAGTCTGAGAAGAGTTCCCCGTTGTCATTGATTTCGCTGACAGGGAGAGACAGCCTGTCGACTCATGATGAGTTCTCTTCTGTGTTGGATGCTCCCAGTTTGGTTGGAATTCATATAGTCCATGAGGATTTTGATGTCACCATTCGTCATATTGTCCATCACTGTTTGTAGTTGTCTGTAAAATCCTCCTTTTTCTCTTGTCTCATGCTGTTTGCAGCAGTGTGCCTATCGCTGCATGATAATTGTGACCTTCCTTGCTTTCGAGTTGAATCTTACTGTCATGACCCTGCAGGATGGAATTGGTTCCCACTGAATTAGGGCTGTGGCTGTCAGTGGTGACATCATGATAGCCACTCGTGGTTGTCGTCTGGGTGACCAGGCCGGGGTAGATAACTGACTCTCCGTCGACAATTTCGACAATCCACATCGATTCCATCTGCTCTCGCAGATTCTGAGCACTTCTACGCCATATATTCACATTTCGTTGGCTACCTGGCCACCATTTTCAGCTGACTCCGTACATTGTACGTGCATCCTACGTCCACATTCTGATTATTGCTTCACCGAGAGACGGCAGGACGGCTGACTGACTGGTTTCCCGAAGTGTTTCACGAGCCCGCCCTGTCATTTTGCCTCTCGTATTTTAGCTAAGAATACGTTTGTTTTTTGAATTTTTGCATTCTTGATATATTTTTTCTGCGTTGAAGTTTCTATAGTAGTTTGATATCTTTTGTGTTGGGTCGCTAGCATCACGCTCAAAGCACTCTTTTTCCTTGGACTAGCAAGGTGGTAATAGTAGGAAGGTTTTGTTAGTATTTGGAATGACTGAAAAACTCTTTTTCTAGTACTCGTCGATTGCACGCTTTATGTTGTTTGTATTCACAGAAGATACCTGCATAGCATTTTTTTTCTTCCAGGTAAAGAATTTGTGCAGTAGCACCTTCAATCTTCTAAATAAAGCAGCTTTGCTTCTTACTAATAATCAGCTAGCCAAGATGCTTTTATTGGCGTGGGAGTTGTTATTGGAAACGGAAACAGAACTATCATCTAGTGCAGGTAAGTTAGATATTGCTCTCCCTATGTTGCGAAATTAAACTGCATGCTTAGCAGAGTATATGATTAACCATTGACTGTCCATCCTTTACTATTACTCTTCTGAATAGGTTTTATGATGTCTGTGTATTCCTATATTGATTTGAATCTATCAATCAACTACGAAATACACTGCTGGAAGATGCAGGTTCTGATTGCGAAGAGAACATGAGTTTTCTGGATATCTGAAGTTGTATTCTGAATAAGATTGCTATAGGGAAAGAAACCTACTGAATGTCCCACTAGCAAATGATTTCCCTTTATACCTAAAACAGTATCTCCCGTCTAGCATATCTACTAGAGATTATCGCTCATTCACTGAATATCATCAGCTGTAAACTGATCCTAAATGCTAACGTAATTACAAGGGACTACGTGAAAATAAAAAAAACCAAATGACTTCATGTTTTCACAAAAGTTCATGAATATAGTTCTTAATATCTTAACCAAATATCATAGTCAATATAAAGAGGCGAAGAGATTAGCAACACATATGTATATTTACGCTGATCTGATATGTACAAGTCGTTGCAAAGTTTAAAAATACATTTTCTAACACGGTAAGAAGACAAGTGAATGGACTGTATATATTGGCATCTTGTCTCATATTTTGCATTGGTAAAATAATTACTAGTCATTTTCATAATGAGTTATTAAAATCATTATATGCTAATTAGTTATAGGCATTTACAAAAAAAAAGCACGATAACCTAGATCCATTGGCTGTTTGTGTGGTCAATAAAGTTTATGCGTTTATGCTGCCTTTGATGTTCCTATTGACTTATACAGTCGACAGAGTTGCTTCTGATTTCAACAAAGTTTAAAAAGTAGATTGTTAAGTACAGATTATTTTTGACGTTAAATATATATCTTAGTATATTCCATCTGTTCAGTGGGTAGTTGAGTGGATAAGTAAAGCTACTTGTAATTTACTCAATCAATCATGAAGAAGATAGCAAGCCAAGAAATACCCAGTGCTTATTCACTTCTGATAGTTAAACAACCTTGTTTGTGATGATATTAGATGGGTGACCAAAGAGAGGACTAGACGCATCACACTAGTTACTAGTGTTAAATCAAAATATCCACCACAGTCCTACAGGAAGTCAATCGCGAGCCCGAATAGCTCAGTGGTAACGTCTCTGACTGCAGCACTGGGTGACGCGGGTTCGAATCTCAGAAGGGACATGAGTTCCTTCAAGGTTGCAGATACACCTTGCTGACGAGTGCCAACTAGCACGAAACCTAGGTCCAAAGCTTCCTGCCGATTGCCTCCAACCATCTAATATCATCACAAACAATGTACACCGTGATGGCGAGCTACCTAGAATGGTGGACACATTACAACCTGACTGATAGAATTCAGTCTGCACCAAAGAGAGGACTAGACGCATCACGCTAGTTATTAGTGTTAAATCAAAAGTTAAACAACCTATTTTTAAATCATTTGACTCCAACAGCCTTTGTTTTGGATGAGTCACTATTTCTTTTAACTGATTGTTATTTATCTTATAAATATTTTGACATTCACACAGCTTGTTTCATACTATTCTGTGGTGTACGGTGTCCACAAATTGTTCAAGAAATGATTTTGGAAGAAATGAGGCACGAAAAGCCAACGCAACGATTTAATGCTATTTTAAGGTGAGTAGAATTTATCTACCTACCTAAATTCGTTTTCCATCCTAAAATGCGTTTTCCAGAAGCACTAAAAACGCTATTCAACATGTTACTTAGCCTATGCTGAAAAAAAATATTTACTGATACATGTAAATTTATCCTTTTAAGTTATAAAAACAAATGAGCATTATGGAAACGAGTTTATATTTGTGCATATGTTTAGAACATGCAGCTAATGATAATGCGTTGAGCATGAGTTGGCACGAAACCAATTAGGCCTTTCATATTGCCTAAGAAGAATAATTTTGGTGAAAGTACTCCTCCGTTTACCGACTAATTTTTTGTGATAATGTAAGAAAATCCTGTTCTTTGAACTATTTAACGTTGGCGCATGCAGTTTTCTCTTTAGTGGTACTGATTTACGATCGGTTTATTTAGAAACTTCGTATTTTAAAATTAACACTCCAAGTACCATTCTTGATATGATTGGCCACCGAGTATTTTACATTAGGCAGATTAGTGATCACGAATTTCAACTGAAAACCTGTGTTGCGCTAAAATTCAAAATAGTATTTTAATGAAGCTGATATATATGTCATCGTGAAAAATGTGCTGCTTTTCTGAAGTTAGTATAGATGTGAAACAGATACATGGTAGCTAGTGCTAGAATTCCTGAATTATGTGATATTGCTTTGCTGTGTGGAATAAATGGCAAATATTTTCTCATTCAGAATGTGTCTATACAATTAGAAAGGCGCCAGACCTAAAATGTGACTTCGCCTGAACATAATAGAGTTCAATCTGTCATACTTCATATTTCTACCTCATGGCAGAAAATCATGAAAGAAATGACAAAGAAATGTATTTTAAGTGTTGGTTTGTAGGGATTTGATTGGTTACAGGATTTTCATCATGAGCTAACATTAATTAGAGAACCATTGGAAAACCTGGGAGTACTGGACAGCCGTTTCGTCCTAGTTTGGGACTCTTCATCAGTACGCACCCACCGGGATTTTATATTGACTGGAAGTCTCAAAACACCAAAACATGAAGGTGAAGAATAATATATTTACACCGATGTTGTATATTTTGAGTTGTCTAAAGTCAGTGGCACAGTGGTTAGGACTCTCGCCAACCATGCACATGGTCCGGGGTTCGATCCCCTGCCGGCGCACACCCAATATCTATGGTCGGCCTGAATTTGGGTTACCGATATCCATGCTGAAAATTCCACACTTGTACTGAAAATACGGTGTGGAATCAAGCTGTAAATCAAAATAATAAATAAATAAATAATTTTAGATCTTAAGTCAGATCCCAACCAAAGAAGCCTACACTTCTATTCACTTTTAAAATCAACGTTTTATCTAGATTGAAAGATGAATAGCCCTTAACAACCACGGAAACCTTATTTTATTACCTCCTACTCGCCTGTAAAATAATTCCATACTGCCACCACAGAAAAAAATGACCAGCCATCAAAGCTATCTGATATTCTTCGGAAATCTCAAAGATATCTAAATGAAATATAACTTTAATAGTATCTCTTAAGAACTGAAATGCATTAATTATTATTTATTTGCTTGCTTCGGCGTCAGTAACTTACTAACTTTCTTTTGCTCTCTCAAAAAAGAACTAGAAATATTCGGGAAAAAAAATTAATTTTGATTTTCAATAATTCTAACTGCCGAAAAGTGTGCCTAGTTAGTTTATCAACCACTTGAAAAGTTTTCGTAAAAGGCGATTTTAAAGGTTTTATTTTCTGTAACACCCTACAGATTCAGAACACTATGGTGTCATCGTTTTCATGTTTGGTCACGTCTCGAAGAGAATGCTTCCAATCAACTGAGAGTACCACCACCATCTATTGAATTTGTCTTGCCTTCACCAACTTTGGGCTATCCTGGGTTTGAGGCACCCGACCCTGTTTGGCAAATCCGTAAAGGTACATCGGCTGAGGAAGTACAACTGAAACAAAACGAAGCTACAGTAAGTTGTTTTGTATTACAACTCGTCGTCTGATCAAATTATTTTGTCAAATTTTTAAATTATTCGTTATATAAATTCATTTTCAAAATCTCAATGGTGAATATCAAGTTGTAAAATATGTCTTACTGCTATAATATCATGCAGTTAAAACACTACTGAAATGTGGATATAATTAACCATTCTAGCTGAAGATGAGTTATAAATAGAAACTTGGTTCACGGTCAGTATCCATTCTTGTTGGAATGAAGATATAAAAACCTATCGACTTTTATCTTTTGAGTTCGGAAAAAAAGATTACTCAAGACACTATATGCATACATACATTTGTGGAATACACTGCTTTCAACTCCTGTTAATGGCTGTACTAGTTTTATTGTAGGTGGAAAACAAAAAGCATTGCGCTTTGAAACTCACTTACCATCTATAAAAAATTCTGATGTAAACCGTCTTATTCTGTCATGCAAAATATATACTATTTATACATATACTATTTAACACATACTGAAGACGTCGATTAGCAGTTCTTCTAATGACACTGATTGTTTATTAGCCTTACCATCCCTTGTTGACATTAAAATATTGTTGAAGTAGTTAATGTAAGCTAGCACAGTTACGGTAAATAAAGAGATCAAATATCATCATGTCCTGGAGCATTTTTATATGCAAGCGATAGAATATCTATTCCACCTACATTGAGATAAACTGTGCCAACTATAATTTTGCATCCCTTGAAAGAAATAAAATCTTCTGCACGCTTAACATCCTGCTGTACGAAAACTTATGTTGTTATTCTAATAATTTCAGTAGACTGTCATAATGGTCTGTCTGAAATATTTTAAACATAAATCGTTGAAGAATCCATGTTCAGCATCCTGTGTGACACGCAGATTTTTGTGGCCCGTTTTTTATCTCTGCTTATTGTAGATTCATATTTAAGGTGGTCTGGAGTGATAAATGCAGACTCTGTTAAAGAAAAAATCTTGCATAGACTGATGTGAGTCTTAGTCGCAAAGGGGACCCTAGTAACTTAGTTACTGGAAACAGGACTTATTTTGCCATGAAGGACTATAACTACTGATTTAAAATAAGATTGTATTCCTATATTTCAAATGAACTACTCAGCTGGATTTACGAGTTTCATTGTTTTTATGATGCTCGCTAGTGACTTGCTACAGGTTGGAGCTTCCTGGAGTTATAGTGAGAAGTCGTGACCAGTGAGGTCCAATTAGAAGTCACGTGTGTGGATGGATGCCCCACCAACGACAATAGTTGGGGTCGCGCTAAAATCACGAATTGGTAGAAGTTAGAATTCATGAGCCATTGAATCGTGTCCCAGTGGCTGAATGGTATACGAGCTTGCCTTGTAACCGGAAGGTCCTGGGTTCGAATCCCAGTGGGTGCGTACTTCCGATGATTCCTAAACTAGGATGAAACAGCAACTGTCCAATACTCCCTGGTTTTCAATGGTTCTCTAATTGATATCAGTCCATGATCAACTCGTAAAACAAAAATATTCTCTTGCTAATATACAGCGTATAAAAAAATGATAGCATGAAAAATATTCGTGAAGCTGCAAAAATTACGTAACTAACTTTTAGGATTGAATAACCGAAAATCTGTCATACTGCCATTGACACTGGCTATCTATTATTTCTTCGATACAAGTTAAAAAAATATTCACAAAAACTGTATTGGATGCAGTTCCATGTTTGATTCCCCTGTTGCTACAAATATGTTCTTTCTCTTTCTTATCAGAAAACGTTTGTCACAGCTTCGACATCTCGGCGTAAGCAACAACAGGAGTTGTTAGCTCGTGCCATAGCCACAGAAACAATGAGAAGAAGAGAAGCAAGGCAGTCGTTTCACCTGACAACCTGTCCTGTTCTAGAACGAGCTGCTATCGAACCTGCATTTAATAAAGAACATAGAGATGAAAGTAACATTGATGATGGTGAGTGTGATCAAAATATATTTTTGATCATTATTATTATTATTAATTGATTAAAACAAGTCACATTTTATTGAAGGCATTTTAATATAACATATAAACCGTTAAACGTTACTAACCAATTTGTTGAAATAAAAATGCACTACAATTTTTCAATATATTTGGATCCAACTAAATTTCGTTATTTGTGCAACATAAATTACTAAAGGGGCAGTCGCAATGATGACCAGTTGAAACGCGTATCACAGCACAATGAAGAATAATATTCGGATTAACGACAAACGAGTATTGAATAACTCTGAATTAAGTAAGTACCATCAGCCCCAACGGGTTGATCTCCGACGAAATCTCAGCACGAATACAGAGGGCTAGTTTCTCATATGCCAGTTTACGCCGTATCTGGCGTAGATGTGATATCCAGCTGACTGTCGATCAAATGGCATTTGTACTGCTCAACAGTCCGCTCCGTCCTCCTTTATGGCTGTGAGACATGGCCATTGAGAGCAGAAGACATGAAAAGATTACCTGTGTTCGATCATAGGTGTCTGTGTTCTAACTCCCGCGTGAAGTGGTATAATAAGGTGAGCAGTATTGAGGTTAGGCGTCGAGTGCTAGGTAAGAAGGGGAAATCAATCGACGAGACTGTGAAATTACATCGACTGAGATGTTTAGGACATGTATTACGTATGCCTAGTCATCGCCTTCCTTGACGGGCAATGTTAGCTGATATAGGGCCAGGCTGGAAAAGAGCTAGCGGCGGTCAAATGAAAACATGGCACCAGTCAATGAAATCCACAACAGTCAGTCTAAGCCACGTAGGAAGGTGCAGACTTTCTAGTTGGGGTCCTCGGGACGGTAAAAACCTATGGTTGGAAACAATTGGTGACATGGCTCAAAATCGTTCTCAGTGGCGCAGATGCATCCACTCCTTGTGACTTATGATTTCCAATTAAATCGTTTTGTTCTCCGTTATTACTATTCCTTTGTCTCACACCTCTGTTTACTGTTTATATTATGCATTTCTTCTACTTTCTTCTCTTGCTCTGTGTGCTACATGGAGTGTGGCGACTTGAACTGCCGCACATCGGTGCAAAGTTCTATGTCGAAAACCGACCGACCGACCGAATTAAGTATGTGGATGAGCTTAGGTGATTTATATCTAAGTGCAGTATAGCTTTTTCCCTAGTATGAACTTCACGAGTGGGTTGTCTACATTGTCCATAGAGAGTGTTTATCTATCGCTTAATCAAAAGAACATTTCATCTGTGTGTCTACTCTTTGTATACACCTATTTGACTTATTGTATTCTGAAAATTTGGCTTGATTAAAAGACTTTAAAATGGTCTGTGGTCTAAATAATAAAACTTTACATTCATGAGTTACACTTTTTTAATTCAATAGTGGTTCGCATTGTGGTTAGTTCAAATATTCACAAACTTATCAGTCAGCATCAGTGTAATTGTGGTGAGAGCTGTCTACTAGCCAAATTGGTAGACAGTAATTTACGTCAATGTTTACGTTCTCAAGATTTATCGTGAGAAAATATGAACAAAGACTGATTCAAACCGACAACAGCAGACTTTGCGTAGGCGGATACAGTTAACATATCGATGATCTGACATTCAAGAAACAGTCACAAAGAGATGAAACATTAACTTTACGTGAGAAACAACCAATCAGTAGACTGTGTTTGTTTGCTTAATTAAACTATAATAATGTACATGAAAATATATAAATATGCGTTGATTTCCTTAATAAACGATCTGTTGCCTGACCCTTGTCTTCTGTTGTTACATAATCAGTACTTACTACTTAAGGAGACGAAACAAGGAACGAAAATAGCCTAACCCTAACCAGCTTTTGTTGACTTGTTCAGTGTATAACAAATAATTTTATGATTTAACTAGGTAATTTTAATTTATGAAGTTATGTACAAAACAGTATATTAATAGAATAGTTTTCTAAGTATATGCTTTCGCTACTTTATATCCACTTAAGTAATATGTTTCACTAGAGTGTTTAGTGTAAATGTTTTGTTTCATAACGTTTTGAACATACTTACACCTTTCCTTTGTCATCTGAAGACTATCAAGAATTATTGAACAAAGGATTGCTTGCTTCTAAAACGGCTCACACAGGATTTGATAAGATTTTTCTGACTCTCTTGCTTTTCTTTAAAACTGTGTATATTTGGAAAAATTTTTCTGAAGCTGAAAATATTAACAGTGAAATATTTGGAATGCAATCTTAATCTCTGCTTTTAGTTTTTATACTTTTATCCCAGTTTAGCTTACTGTGAAATAAACAGTCCGTTTTCACTTATTATCCCACTCAAGGTCTGACGAATTCTGGTACAGTTAACAGTGGAACAACTGCTGGACAGATTGGAGGTTCCAGTTCAATACAGGATGAATATACTGCAGCTGTCCGAAGGCTGAGTCTCGCACCGATTAACCGCACTGTGCTAAATCAAGCCCGTAATTTATCTTGGCGTCAGAGTTCAATACCTTGGTTAAGAAACAGTGTTGTAGCACATGACGGTAAGTAAGAATAATACCTACAAAGTTATGTGACACCTTTTTTTCGTAATAGAATCCTCATTCAACCGTGTTTTTTTAAAAATGTCATCGTGATTAATGCTGGACGGTAAAACTATTACGATTTACTACTAACAAACGTTTTGAACTGTTTTCACAAATGTGCTCAGCAAGAAATGTTCAGAAAAAAAATCTATGAATTACGCAGTTGTATAATCCGTTTACTTACTTACTTCCTGCCAATTTATATTCTTAGTAGAGTACAGAAGGAAACATTGAATCCTCATGGGGTAATGTAAATCATCCAATGTGAAAAGAGATTTTAATCAACAGTAACGATAAACTAAGCTAATTGATTACGTACTATATGGTAATCAACTCCATGTGTGAATGACACAGTGGAAATGAAAATATTGACAAACTGTGATGGACGAAGATATATGAGAGAGTTACAACATTTACTGCTGATTAGTTATTATTTTCTAAATGTAGAGGATGAAAAAGTTGGAAAACATCTACATCATTTTTAGGGATTTAGGTTATTTCACCAGCAACTACCTAATCATGGATTCGTAGCATCTCAATGATTGCATCCACATGTACCTAAATAAGACTGACTATTGCTTAAATACTTTTTATATTGATACCGTGTTTTGGTCTAATCACTCTTCACTCTTTTAAGGCTTAATTCCACTTTACTTGAAATGTTTAATTTCGGAAGCTGGGTGGACCAGCAAGTGCAGCACATGTTTTAACCATTTCAATGAATTGAGCTTTCCAGTTCTACCTACTTATCTACCCTCCTTACCTAACCTTATTATTACTTATCATACTGTTGCACCTAAAAACTGAACAAAGGTGTCTATAATCGAAAACCTATAAAATTGCATATCTTTGACTTTCACTGATCATGCCATGCATAAAGCAAGATAAAGTAAAGCCAGATGCGTCAGAGATGATTAAGTTGAAAAACGGCACATTCTTCACTCACACACTAGAGATACGCCGAAAAACAGTCCTTTATGATTGACAAATGTCCCCAAATAACTTAACGGATGAACATAATGAATATTTTACCATCTTAAAACTAGTAGTTGTTTCACCTCATACCTGCAGCATAATCGTACATGTGGTAGAATCGAAGACTATGCCAAACACACTTAATTTTTTCGCCTAGAGTGTTCGAAAGACGTTGGATTTCGTCGGCCCCTTCACTCAAAAGGACTACATCATTTTTGTACTATAAATCAACGACATTTTCTCTAGTTTCATAAATTACCATACAACTGACTTTAATTGTTGATTTTAATTTATTTTATTTACCATTCAGATGAAGATCGATGGTTAAGTGGATTCCATTCTTTATTTCCATCACAACCACTTCAACAAGCTCAAATGGTATTCCCATCAGCTTTATGCTCTGCATCCGTTTCACTAATTCATCTTTTAGATGATACTGCAATCAATGAACATGGAATAGCCGGTAAGTTATTTCGGATCTTACTCAGCTGATTATGAAACTGGCTAGTGATTGAAAAATTGTTTTTACTTTCACAATCATTAATATTTAACATATTTTTTTTATTAGTCACCAAACATTACATTAGACCAGTATAATCTACTGAGTATCTCAGTATTTATAATGTTAGACTTATTTGTGTATTTTAAGGAGGCGTATTCTAATATCATACACTCTAAACTAAGATTATTCACGCCTTGCTGACAAGTGACAACTAGCACGAAACCTAGATCCAAGGCTTCCTGCCCATTGCCTCCAACTATCTAATAGGATTATTCAAATAGTGATAAAATGTAAATCAAACAAGATTTCTAATATGTTCAGTAGTACATTATAAAGATTCATTTAACGGCCATTTACCACATGACTGTCTTCTAAAACCACCTATTGAGTTTCAGTAAGTGGGGTATCTACTAGAATTTACTTCATTCCTCTTTTTATCGGTCGTATTTCATTCAATTTGCACAATTCTTGCATTTCTGACTTGTAAATGTACTAAATTTTAAAATAGGTGGTAAACAAGGCGAACTAAAAGTCAGCGCGTAGAATGTTATATTACGTCTGAGAATTGTATAGTGAAAATATTTCTGAAGGTCGATCTAACTTCTGAAAATTTCCAATTATTGTTAATTTATCATGTGTTTTTTCCTACTTTATTTCAGTTAATACAATCGCTGAATACGTGATATTCAATTGTTTACTAGAAGATACAACACTATTTCTGAGATTTATATTTGAACGTCTTACACGTATTAAAAATAAAGATGAACTAATGTTCATTCTACGTAAAATGATTCAACGTTTACCAGAGTTGCCTACACAGACTGCACATGCTTTGTTCAACAATTTAGTAAGTGCAGAAATTCTCCTTGTTTTCTTTTGACAATAATTATTATAGTACGGTTTGTAAACAATAAAATTTATTTTCAAGTATTGGTTTGGTAGGGATTTTGTTTAATTGCATGGAGGATTTCATCATGAGCTGACATCAGTTAGAGAACCATTGGAAAACCTGGGAGTACTGGACAGCTGTTTCGTCCTAGTTTGGTACTCTTCAGCAGTACGCACCCACCGGGATTCGAACCCAGGACCTTCTGGTTACAAGGCGAGCTCGTAGACCATTGAGCCACTGGGACCCAATCCAATGGTCCTTGAATTCTAACTTCTGCCAATTCACGACATAGCGTCCAGTACTCCCAGGTTTTCCAGTGGCTCTCTAACTGATGTCAGCTCATGATGAAATCCTCCATGCAATTAAATAAAATTTATGGTTGAAAAGAATTCAATAGGTTTTTCTCTAGCTGTCACTTATCAGTAAAACTAAACAGCAAGACTTAATGATTGTAGGCATAACCAGCTGAGGTTCATACACAAATAGAAATCCATGTTCCAAGCTGAACTTTAATGTTGGCTTCAACCTACCAGCGAAGAGACTCTTCTCAACAAATTTACTGTCAAGCTGTACAATCATATATATATATATATATATATATTCTTCAAGAAAATGTATCCCATGAGGAATTTTAAATGTAAGTGTGAATACCCACAACAATAATAGTACGATATGCAGTTAAAATTTTTGTCATGGAAAAGAAAAGGCGTTCAGCAAAGAGTTACTCTTTTCGGCGATATCATTCTCAAGCTGTACAAACCGCAAATTTATAGTAATTTGTCTTGGCAACAAAAGGAATATTTCCAAAGATGTGTTAATGCAATTGTTAATTTTTTGACAACAAATTACGTAATTTAGAAGGCGTTAATCGGTTAGAAACTAAAATAAAGTTACAAAAGTAGGTTGGGTGACGTAATCTAATTGATAGGGTTCAATGAAAAATGAATGAGAGTTAAGTTAATAAGCTGAGTAGAATTCACTTAAAAATAAACGAAAATGGAGTTAGCAACAGTCGTCATGAGGGTAGAGATTTAATAGAGGGTGGGGGTAGAAAATAATGCAACTAAGAAACAGACAAACAAAGAAGAAAGAGGTAAGACAAAATTACGTATTTGGTGTTGAGATAGATCAGGCCCATTGTAGATTTAGTGATTAAAATCACAATTAAATATCAAATGGTAAAACAAATAATGTCATATTTAGAAACGTCCATAGAATGTATACCTGTTGGAAGAGGATGTGAAGTTATTGTATCAGTAGCCAAATACTAAACGTTACTTAATAATAATCACTTTATTCATGACTATATTAATTTTACAGAATGGAATTTCTAGCGTTTTAATATATATTACATCAGTTTAGCTCCTTTTATTAAAAATATATAGAGATATAAAATTTAGAAAAATAACAATAAAACCACAAAAAACTGAAGATTAGTGGAAACATCCTGAATTATAAATAGATAATATCATAGATAATACATGTTTTAATAAGCTTTACATGTTCTTTGCAATTCAGTTACTGACACCTGATTCTTAACACGAAACTCGTGCTAAGTGAGGTACGGCAGACTTTTTTATATTTAGCTGCACAAGCATAAACTCTTATGACGTTTCTTCGGGTTTTACCCGAGGGCATACAGGGAGAAAAATGCGAATAAGGAAGATACTCTGTATCAGAAAAGATAATTTTAGCCAACTGCTTGCAAGAATTGAAATGCCTACCTCTAACAATGTCAATTAGTTGAGTCAAAGGGACACCACTAACCCTACCTACAACTTTAAGTGTCCTACGTAATATGATGTGGTTTTTTATGAGAAGTTCAGGGAATGGGCAGAATAGGTTAATTAATAAACTGTAAGAGAACAGGTTGAGTTATATTGGGAAATCTCAGCTTCTTTATGGAATAAGTCAAACGAAAATTTCCCAAGAAATCGACATGATATGAGACCACCAACAGAGAAACTGATAGCGAGATAAGAGATATTCTATTTTCTCCCCATTATATTGGCGTCAATATTACAAGATTCATAGAACTGTATAAGTCCATGCAAATGTTGTTAACATCTGAAACTAAAGTCAACAGTATGACAATAATAAAAACCATTTTAACTGCATTTCATACTATTATTATTTTTAGTATTCACACAGTTTAAATTTTCTGACGAGATACAGTTTCTTAAGAACTATATGTATATATATACGATTATACAGCTTGATAAGAAATTCTTTGAGGAGAGTTTCTTCGCTGAATATTTTAATGTCACATTGGGAATTATTAAATTATTGGGACCTGTCAGTCAGGTTATATACTATGATCACTTGCGAAATAACTGTGATGCCGAATCTCGACTGATGAAACTAGTACACATCCTCTATTCAAAAGCCAAGGACATTTTAGAACTAAACCATAAACACTGTCTTTAGTGGTAGTGAAAGTCTGGTAGTTCGGAGTATTCATAAAATCTTGGAATCTTGTTTACTGAAGTATTTTGATGGTTTCATAAAAATCAGCTTTTCCCGGGAAAAAGTACAAACTGCTAATCATATTTTAACATTCGACACAAGTTTTGAGCCAAGCAATATATATTGTGGTGTTTGTTTTTGGTCATACTTATGAAGTGAATTTAGAGAATAAAGGTGTTGGATAAACACAAGAGGATAACTTGCAATGATTATACTCATACAGTATTTCTGTAATTACTTTAATGTTAGTAACATAGGCAAAGAAAAGTATATCTCCTTTGTTTCCGTTGATCCCATATACGGTTATGGCATCTATGATATACAGAGCAAATATGTGATGTCTGTGAGGCTCTACCGATTCAGTAGCTTGCAAATGTACTAGAAATTAAACTGCAATATGACTTATTTAAACCTATTTCGAAGCAGTTTTAATAATAAATGAAATTAAAAGTGACGTTTTGTTAATACCAAACGTGTAACTCTGGAAACGTGTGTTTGATGTGTTTTGAAGCCACCTACTCTATTGTGTCACAGCTTTTTATCTTCTGTTAACTAACACAGGTTGAAGTGTGCAGATAAATTTTGTGAAGAGAGTTTAATGAACCAAATTGTTCCTGTTTATAATGTAGTCGCTTTTCACTTGTTCTGATGTAAGCTGGTATCATCAGCAGCAAAATAATTTCTGTATTCTACGTTTTGGAAGAAATCTAAATTGTATTCTGTTTTACTTTTTACGTATGGTATGTTGAAACACTTTAAAGATATAGTTAAGGCGGGGGGGGGATACCGTTGATGTACTAATAAATTCTCTAAATAATTAACTGGCTAATTAGTTTATGAGTTAGGAAAAACAGACAAGTGTCATTACCCTTCAGAAAACTGTCAAACTACATCTCTATTCGCTCTGTTTAAATTTAGACAAATCAGTCTTCGCAAAAAATTTACACTTTATGAATTATATGAGCTTATATTGTAGCTTGACTAACTTGCTTGCACAACTAGTGTATTTAAGCTTAATCATAGAGTAAGTAATCTAGTTTATTTTTCGTTCACTATGCACGGTGTTTGCCTAAAGTCTGCCTTTTTTGTATTTCAACAGGTTGGCTACATCATGTTTCACATACGTACACCAAATTTTAATGCACCTCAATCCATTGCTGGTGCGCTATCCGTTTTGCACTTGGTAAGTATTCATTCACCTATACCTGTAAAGAAAAGTTATCAAATAATTTTGTGATAAACGCATACAAGTTTTTAGTGTTATGTGTTTTTGGAAGGTGTAGATTCTTCAAATTGCTAACAGCGCTACTTTATTCATCATAAATTTCTCTTTACAGTTTATTTTTGGATGAGGGTAATCTTCATACCAATGGAAATGATGTATTCTACCCAAGTTTATTTTCAAAAATCAAAGTTAATCAGCCACTGAGTATGATTTCGGCTGCACGCCCATTAGCTGATGATTCATAAGGTCTTGGAATCGAAAAATTAGTAGGAGTCTATACAATTTTTCTTTAAGATTTCTTTAATAAGAATTAAGTTTTAATTCTTTATTATTATTATTATTATTATTATTATTATTATTATTATTATTATTATTATCCTGATGATTGCTGTGAAATAATAGTAGTAGTTAGTAGAAATAAATAGGGTTTGATAAAAATGCAGATTCAACTAATGGAAATGGATTTTGTTTTCATACTTTTTATTCTACATAGAATGTAGAAGTTCAAGTTCTGATGTTTTTCTACAGGATAATGTTGCCAACCACGCGGCCAACTTCACCTCTTTTCTAGACTTACTACGGGCTACCAAACTACACATAGCTTAGGAGTACTTTGGCAGGGAATCAAACTGAGACCTCTCGCGTGGGTAATAAACACCCTATCGTTGAACCAACGAAGTCCAGATGCTTGTTACTGTCTGGTAAATAAGTATTTGCAACTATAGTGCGCAGTTTACATTTATGTTTGATTGTATTGGGGATTCATGTTTTCAACCTGTGTGCTATCTATTAAAGCTAAGTGAAGCCATTTTAGGTAACCACAATAATATTTCACAATTAAGTATGACTCTTAAAGTTAATTTTGAATGCATTTACCAAACGCACACTTTATTTGATTCTAGTATAGTTGTGTTCTATAAGCTGGCTGGTTTATTTGTGAAGCTTTCATTGTCCTTTTGGCCAGCATTTTCAGCTCAGACTTTATCCTTTAACGCTTATACAGAAAATATTGTCTATGTTCTCGTGTCTTAGTTTACATACTTCATGACGCACTTGGACATATGGTGAACACATCTCAGCTATAGGCCAAGCAAGGTGGAAAGCCTTTTTTAATGTTATAACATCAGATTTTTTTATCCTTCACGTTCCCCAGTGGAACATAGGGCTTCAAGCTAGTGGCTTGAAGTTTCTGTAGCAGTGTTTATTTTACAGGATGGGGTTGCTGGCCTCATGCCCAACCTTTCCTCTTCACCAGCATTATTTCTGGCTTAGCGAAGTAAAGGAGTGCGTCGGCCGGGGATCGAACCCCGGACCATGTGCATGGTCGGCGAGAGTCGTAACCGCTATGCAACCGATACCAGATACGTTTCTTTAATTCATAATTTATTACAGATATCAGAATTGTTTTCTTTCAACGTTATGGTGTCTATCCAATTTTTAACGTAGACATTCGGTTTTGAACATGTAATGTAACACTGTTTATTGAAAATGTAGTATAATTAAATTTCACGATTTCAAAATTGGCCATCTATTTTTTTTAAATCAGCATATGTAAATATTCCTTTACGCTATGCTATAACTACCTTTATCATAACATTATAATGGTGCTAGATTAGAAAGCTCGTTTTCTCACAGCTTTGATTAATAAATTGAAATGAATCTGATGGCCCAAAAAATAATTGAAGTTGAAAAGAAGCTTAAATGATATAGAAATTCCTTAATATGGTTCTGAAATTCTGTCACTTTTTTACTACACTCTTATTTCAGTCTGTAGAATTGTATTTTAATCCATTACCCGAATTCTCTTCCTCATTTTCAGGTAATACCACATGTGCAAAATATTTACTTTAAAGATTTGAAACAAACAATGAGGCGAGAACAGATTGATGTAAGTTGTGGTATAATAGAAATAGAAACAGTGTTAAAGCTTTTTGAGTTTGGCGTGATTTCGATTACTTTCAAGTTTAGATTTCGCTGCAAATCGATGTCATTTATAGATTCACTGAAAATCGTTGTACGCTGGGCATGTGCTATTTCCTAGTTTGACAATCTTAAACACTGACGTAGGGGTAGTTCTGCACCGTGAATTGATGGAAGTTAGAATGTATGGGTCACTGGATTCCAGTGTGGTTACCAGGCTTGCCTCGTAACCGGAAGCTCTTGGGTTCGATTTTGGTGGGGCTGTCGAAGAGAATAGATTGGGATGCTACAGCTGTCCAGTGCTTCATGGTTTGAAATGGTTCCTCGGCTGATATCGATTCCCAATGAAATCTATACTGAAATAATAATAAAAAGTAACAACACAATTCTTTTTATGAATATCATTCAATCTATGTAAAATTTTGCTGTTAGTGGTTAAACTATTGTAAATTTACTGAAAAAATGGTACATGAAGCATTTGGTGGTAAGTGGACATCTGAAGTAGTTTTCATGATGACATAATCAAGTTAAATTTCACTGGGTTATTCGTTTCGTACTATATCTGCGTGGAATCGTCACTCCTAAAGTTTTCGGACAATAACCCATAGAATGTTTATTGTGGACTTCTTATATCTTTCAATGCCGCGCGAGTCGACTTTTCTCATATAGGTTGTATTAATAATAAATCCATGTTATCAATTCATCGAATTATGTTCAACTTATATTTTCACTTATATCTGTCAATTATTTTATACTTTATTCCAATTATCAACTTTTCTCTGACTGATTAATTCATTTTCATTAATTTCGTGTTTATACGAATTCCGGCCACTAAATTATTTCTGTTGTTGGAGTTGTTCTCTTAACTGTAGTTTACTGTGATGATTGCTGCTATATGCTTAACTTTCCGAAAGCAAAGCTATGTAGCTTAGGATTCACCTAGAGAAATAATGATATTTGAGATTCGATGTTGTCATAAATGACTTCACATACCCGTTGTCGGGACCTAGAGTCCTCTTTTTTCTAGATAGATTAAAAAGATTTCGTTAGCAGTAATATTCCTGCATCTGTAGATTAATGCTAGAATGCTTGTCACCCACGTAGGAGATCCGGTCGGTGCAAACCTAAATCCGGCCTGTTTTACCAGCCATCCTGAACCCGGAGAATAGGAAAGGTTGAGCGTGAAACCAGCTACCCTATCCTGTGAGAAAGAAACCAAAACCAATAATACTTCAAAACTTGAAGCCTTCTGTTCCACTTGAAACTCGATGAATGAAAAAGAAAGCTGATAATATTCAGTTTGTGGAAAATTCAGTTATCCTGTCTGAAAAATCAACTTCCTGTGCTCTTAACAGATAGTTCTAAGAAATATATGCAGTTTATACTGAACAAGATGTTTGAATTTCTGAACACCTTATTGATTAGAATTAAAAATTTGGAGACAAGTGAACTGTTTATCGTATGGAAAAGATATATTTATCCAAAATTATTTAACAACGAAGTCTAACTGGACGTTCTTGGTATTTGTGAAGGTCACTTGTTGTTTTTCTACTATTTGTGCCATTTTGCACACGCGGAAATTTTAGCTACTTTTCCACCTAATCTACTGGTTGTTACTTTCAACTATTACCATGCTAGCGAAACTTGAAATTTTAACCATTTCTGACCAAAATGCTCAGAAAATCTCAGTGTGATGTGTACTAAAAAGTGGTCCTCAAGGCGCGTGATATTAAGTGAGTGGGAGGCTGGTAATTCCAGGCATAAATGTTACTTGGAATAAGACAGAAGAAACAATAAGCGCATAACATACTTATGGTTAAAACTGAAAACAAAATGGATACAATACCCGATCTATCACAATCCAGAATGACCTTGATAATAACAATTCACCACCTAGTGTAACGATTTTCTCAAAAGTAATTTCAAATGCATTCGGTGTATTCTGGTGAATGGATACACATGTTTAACCCATATTTTTGCTTCACATTCTTATTTAATACATCGTAGTTATAAATTTTATTATAGACAAAAGAATTCTTCCATTGAGAACACAGTCAACGAAGAGATTTCTTTTCATAATTTCACTTCAAAGCTGCACAGTTATTTAGGGATGTATATTGACAAAAAAGGTTAGAATTTATTGTCACTTAGTAACAGAACGAGTCAAAATGTATGCAGAGACAAGAATATGGTAAAAAAATGAATAATCTTATGTATTCGAGAGAGAGTTGACAAACAATTAATTAAATGGTGTTCAGTTCTCCCAGGTTTTCCAATGGTTCTCTAACCAATGTCAGCTCATGATGAAATCCTGTAACCAGTCAACCAAATCCCTACAAACCAATACTTGAATATCAATGAGATGCTCATTGGCGACTGGCCCTATACAGGTAGGTAGTTACCTGGGGTTCCAGTGGGAAGTCGTGACCAGTAGGGTGGAGCAGGTCGGGTGTGAGGACAAATACTCGCCGAAGACATTGGCTAGCGGTTGCGCTATGTCGTGAATTGGCAGAAGTTAGAATTCATGGGCCATTGGATCGGGTCCCAGTGGCTTAATGGTATACGAGCTCACCTTGCAACCCGAAGGTCCTGGGTTCGAACCCCGATGGGTGCGTGCTGATGAAGAGTCCCAAACTAGGACGAAACAGCTGTCCAGTACTCCTAGGTTTTCCAATGGTTCTCTAACTAATGTCAGCTCATGATGAAATTCTGTAATAAATGGTGAATAGTTGTTTGAAAATAATTGCAAAGGTGCAAGAGGAAAAAGACTTTAAAAATGGTTTACTAAAGTAAAAATAATAAATTAAAAGGATTACATGGAGTTTATTGGGCGTCAAATGAGGACAATGAATTCGACAGTAAGATCAGGATGGTAAGAGTCCTAACAAAACGTTTATGAATGAAAAGACTGAACTTTGTGTTTAGAGACATTTTATCCAACGTGTTTCATTATCATGACATTCGCGTCAAGTTTATTATCCTTCTTTGTTGCATAATAAACTCTGTCTTATCTTTTTATTATGTTTGTAACCCACTTCAACCCCTTGTTCTCTTGTTTCCTACCAATTATTTCCTAATAATTATTCATCAATTAACTAATAAGTTTTCAACTCTCCAGATTACGTAAATCTATCTGCTGTTTTTCACACATTGTTATCTCTCGCATACACTCTTACTTATTTTGTCCCCAACTCACAATAACCTCTGATTATTGTTGTCAACTAACATTGTCCGTGAATAACTGTACGGCTCTGAAGAGAAGTTAAGAAAAAAGGTTTCTTCAACGACTTATGTGTTCTTAATTATATCTTATACGAATTTGCCATGCCTTTAATTCTGTCCTTCTGGAGTGATTGTATTAATAAGGTTCATAGTGGTTTAGTCAGCCTTTCTTAGCTCTTTTTCTCTTAAGAATGAAGATGATAAGCAGAATGTTTCTTTCATTTTCCATAACATATTCTTTTAATAATATCAGAAACAAAGAATAATGTGGTAGCGTTTATAAGCTTTTACCAGTCCTACGACACTGGAGCATAGAAGTAGCTATAATCTTTTAACGTCAATCTGTGGTGATTTACTGCAGGTCAAGCAGCTCAACGACAACACTTTAACTACACTATTTTAGTTTATTCATTAAGCTTGAAAGGCAACCTACTCTACGAAACTGTTGATGAGTGATAATACATACAAGTTTTAAAGTTTTCGATATATAGTCCTAAACGCATGATACACTTATAACCAGGAAAATCAAACAGTAAATTGCTTATAAATATCATTCTGTTGTCTGAAATTCAAGGAATTTGTATTGTCTTGTTATGAGGAACATAAAGTGTCTTTTTTATTTCCAAAAATGTAAGCTTCTGCTTTTGTTTTCTGTTATCTGTTTTTAGTCAACGCTATTGTTGACAGCCAATTTACCTTGTGCCAAACAATTCAATGTATTCGATAATAGTATTGGTGTCGCTCAGTTGGTTCGTCTGCAGGATGAAAATAAGGTAACTGAAGGAATACACTTCATGCATCCTAATTTCTCGCTAGGTCTGTTCGATGTATATCACATCGCATTCTAAAGCTTTTTATTCTTTAGCCTTAGATTGTGAGTCCTTTGGAATTCAGTCTTACAGTGCAATGAGTAATATCATTATGCAAATGCACGTTGTTCTTACAATTCCATAGACTCATCAAATCCAATAATCTGCACATGATTTATTAGTTTTACCAATTCACCAACCTAACGTGAAAATAACCTCATACTGCGATTAACTGCGATTAACTTACTGTTTCTAAGCTAAGATTTTGTAAATTATGATTTAATTTTGAAGTCAAAACAAGATTTTGAGCTAACAATTGTTTCAGATAACTTCTTCAGGCTCTACAGTTATAATTCATATGAACTGTGATCAAGATTTGACCGGATAGTTGCAAAATAATTGAGCGCTGAGTGAAAAGTAGACATTTATAAAATTATATTTGTAAAATCTCAGCGAAATTGAAATGGTTAATTCCAACGTTTCGTTCGGCAATCTGGTCCGAACTTCTTCAGGGAAATTAATCGAATTAACATAACAGAGGTTTATATATAAATTTAAGAAAACATGAGTTGTTCCTTTTATATATAAACCTCTGTTATGTTAATTCGATTAATTTCCCTGAAGAAGTTCGGACCAGATTGCCGAACGAAACGTTGGAATTAATCATTTCAATTTCACTGAGATTTTACAAATATAATTTTATAAATGTCTACAGTTATAAATCTATGAATAATAGAGTACATATAGCCAATAAAGGCTAATGAAAATAATATCAGAAACTCCATTGGGGTGCATGTGTAAGTTGAGGTGATAGTCCATTAGTTAACATAATCAATCAAATGTGTATAGGGTGTATAGTCAGAGAAAATGTGATGAAGTGTGAATGAACAATTGGGTGATATAGTGCTATTTTATAGTCAACAGAATACAAGTGTCATTGGGGTGAGAGAAATGCGATAACCACAAAATACATACAAACACACATTAACAAAGGGGGTACAGAATGTGAGAGCTGACTGATAATGTCCAATCATAAAATAAAGAGGCTAAATTGTAAATTGTAATAAGATGTTACACAGTATAAAATCACAAAGGTTGACAAAATTAAGGGTAACAATGAGGTGAAATAAACTGGGTGAAGAAATGGATAATAAAGACATGGTATCACAAAATCATAATGATTGTAAATACGGAAAATTATGATCCTGGTGACCTTATAGTGAGCTAGGGTAGACAGTGAGAATGAATAAGTTTTTTCTGTACACACAAGTCTATTTATTTTATGATTGGACATTATCAGTCAGCTCTCACATTCTGTACCCCCTTTGTTAATGTGTGTTTGTATGTATTTTGTGGTTATCGCATTTCTCTCACCCCAATGACACTTGTATTCTGTTGACTATAAAATAGCACTATATCACCCAATTGTTCATTCACACTTCATCACATTTTCTCTGACTATACACCCTATACACATTTGATTGATTATGTTAACTAATGGACTATCATCTCAACTTATACATGCACCCCAATGCAGTTTATGATATTATTTTCATTAGCCTTTATTGGCCATATGTACTCTATTATTCATGGATTTATAACTGTAGAGCCTGAGGAAGAAGTTATCGAAAATAATTGTTCGTTCAAAATCTCGTTTTGAATTAATTTTGCTTTGATAAAGTTATTAGCATTAAGTAGCGAAACGTCAGTAAAAGCAATATCGTTTTGGTTTTCCATTTATTACAAAAGCCTCAAAATACTAACAAACCGTAGTTGAAAACTTCCTACTGATACTCTTATAATCATCTAGAATGTGGAGAGGTTTCATAAGTGAAGTAAACACTTTTAATTATTAAAACAATATGGAATAGCGAGTGGATTAATTAGAAAGTGTTTACTAAGAATTTCCAGCAATTACAAACTAAATGTAGAGTGAACAGTAAAATGATAATGAGTCAACGGAATGCCTTTAAAAACCCACCGAAGTCTTGTTCAACGAAGCAACCGCCGTGATGTTCACTCCACTTTGGTTTTGGAAATTCATATATATTTAGTTTAATGATTTCTAACTGGATATGCATTGTGCTAAGTACTTAAGCAACTCTATTACTATCCAGGTTACCAAGGTAGGCTGTGATATACTATTACATACCTACACTATATACTACCTCAGCAACCGCACTACCTCATGACACATCTGTTTTGGATTGTATGTTGTTTTATCAAAGTCAGATGGTGTTGTTAACTTTGAGGTAAAATAGTCATCTATCTTGGTACACAACCTTTTTCACACAGAAGAACTTTAGAAGCTTTAGGTCACAAATTATGATCAAGACATCTAAAAACCGTGTTTTGCTTAGTGCCAAAGTATATATGCTGTATTATTTTGTGCTGATGGACAAACGATAGTATACTTTCTTGAGGATTCTGAATTTACACAAGTTATGCAAAGAAATCATATGAACAACTGGATTTATAAATCGCATTTCTCAAATGGCCGTTCCAGAGATTTTTCATTCCAAACTACATAGGTGATATATACAATAAATTTAGATGGTTATGGGCTGTAGTGAATTTGTACTTACTTTTACCTATTCTAGAGACCAGCCAACTGACTGCATATTAATTAAGTTTAATTAGTATAGCACATAGTGATGCAACATGATTAAGTAAAAACATAATTCATTGCTCATACTCATATCAAAATGGACAATAAATTATTCTCTAATGTTCTTCCATTTAATAATTCTATATAACTGCATGCTATATCAGATAAACTTATCTAATATGGAACTATATACCGCCATAGGGCTGAATTTCTGTTCATGAAGTAACAATCCTGGAAAACTTAGTTGATGCATAGAATAAAGTAATGACTGTACTGCTTGACTATTTACTTTACTTTACTACGTCACTGACAAACAAAGCCTAATGAACAGTGTATTGTTCCTGAAATGTATTTTATTAGCTACAAATTCATGACATCCCTAGGGAAATAAATGAAAACAGTCAATGAATAAATCAACTTGATAGAATTGATGCTGTAGAATTTCATATTACAAATATTCAGGTGCTTGTGTGTGTGGATATAGGAGTCTACATAACGGTTAACTATTGATTTCCCTTCAATGTTTATGCTTCATACATTTGTTAAAGTATAAAAGTTAAGCAAATAAATAACTGAAGAAGGCATTGATCGTGTCTACCAAACTGACAACTACCGATTAACCATTACATTAAGTGGATTTAGTCAGCTAACTTTGGTTGTCAAGTTATTTCTCAGAGAAAGACATCTGCTCATCTTATATAAAGGTAGATAACATTTCAATTTTGTCTCTGTTATGGATGGACTGCAACGATATCCCATGTCATAACTAGGAAAACGATTTTTAGAAAAAAGGAAACCAGAATAACCTACAACCATTCACCTCATCATCTTTATAATTATTACATAGCACATCAGATACTATTCTAACAGTCTTTAAACGCTTTGAACATATTTGCACAACAAAAAGAGTACATGTTCTTTATAACATAGCTTTTCATCATCTGCTAACAGCTCAGAAGTAACATAAGCCATGCAAAAATATGTGATATACTTCAGAAATTAGTTCAACTCAAAGGGTACATTTGTGTAAACAAAGGACATGAATACAAAACAATTAATAATCCAGCATTTACATAAACATAAACAGAAACTTCTACCGTCATTAAGAAACTAAACACGCAAAGTATGAAGAATATTTCGACTCAGCTTAATCCAAATCTTTTTTTTTTAGCTTCATTTTTCTTTCTTGTCCATTAGACCACAATGTTTAATTTATTTTTGATTTCTTTTAACATATATTTTAGGATTATCAGTTCGATGATATTGTGAAAGATGTATTATCAGCTAGTGATATATCTGATGACGAAAGAAGCTCTTATTACCTGTGCGATGAACGTTCTCGTAAGTTCATTGTTTTTGTACTCTTTCATATTTAAATACCTACATAGTAATTTGTTTGTAGTGGATCAGTGCACAAAATTGATTTCTTTCCTATCTATGGATCAAGTACCTCTTGAAACCTAGAAACTGAATGATCAACTGCATCTCCTCATAACCCGAAGGGCCTGAATTCGATTTTCGGTTGGATCATAGGTGCACACTGCCGAAGAGTCTCAGACTAAGACGATATGTGCATGGGTGACTCATTGGTGAAATCCTTGTCTGCCACTCGAAAGGCTGATGTTCGGTTGTAGGCTGACATACTCCGGAAGTTTGTCTTTAGTACTTTGTTTGATGAGAAAGTATGCCTCCAGAAAAATAACCTTGCAAAATTTGTATTCTAAGTATTTGTAAGGAAATGCATTTCTAGTTTGACCCACCAAGCAAAAGATGTGAAATCCAGCAAGAAATCGAAACTAAAAGTATCTAATTTTTTTAATATAGTAACTATAAATTAGGAGCTTGTTGGAAGACTGTTGCCTATGGGCTTGCAATTATTCACCGAACACTCCCAATAAATTGTGAAAGTTTTCTAATTCTAGTCTGCAGAATAGCTGTGAAAACTAACACATTTTTCCTGTCATCTATCGAGTTCAAAGCGATTTCGCCATACACATAAACATAGATCTGTGTATGATTGAGGCAGCATTCAGCATGTTAGTCAACATAGCTGTTGAGCATTTATATCGCCGTATTTTACCCTCCAAATCGCTTTATCTCTTTCGATTCATGAATTCTTCCAATAGTGTGGTATTTTGCCACTATATGTATTCTGTTGCTGATATATAACAACTATCATGACTACTATCAGTTTTTCACATTATTCTCCTCGTCACAAAGTCACTGTAACAACAACATTCCTTCTTATTTACATGCACAAAACAGTACTATCAACTGGAGTGTATGCCTTTATGTTCCTCATGGCCACCCACTTTTGCCTATATAAACCATGATTAATTATAACTGTTGTGAAGGCTGTCCACTGAACACTTTTACATATTATGAATTTATGTCTCCCTGATGTTAGGATTCGTAAAATCATATTTATAAATTTATAACTGCACAGTTTGTGTAAGAATTTATGGAAGATTTGTTAAAGGGATAATTTTATTTGTTATATATACTCGTGCATGTGTGATTCGGTTAGTTAATTGAACTGAACTGAATTTTCAGCGTAGAACCTTGTACAAAATAGCACCAGTTCAAATTGCTAAACTTCATCAAAAACACATAAAGACAGACCAGGAAGGAAATGGGGAAAAAAGTGTAAAGAACAGAAATGTACAGGATAAGTAATAATTACTTCTAGAATAGTGGGAATTCTATAGATCTGGGAGTCTATGCATCTACGCTATTGAGAACGGGTATGAGCCATGTCATTAACAGCATCCCGTCGAAGGTTCCTATCGTCTGGAAGATCCCAACCATGCAGTTAACACCTCGCCAGGCGGTTCAAGACAAAACGTTTATGCAATGATACCATGATTTGACCACTTCTAATTCACTTTAAACCTAATCGTATGTAAACTAATGTTATTCGACATGTATATGTTGTTGCGTTGTGTAACACATTTGATGGTCATCTCAATCGATGAAGCTTCACAGACTTACTAATACAATTTCCCTCCCCACACAACACTATATACATAACCCCTACATTACCTAGAAGGAGTATATTTGGCTTCATTTTCTAAATCAACAAGACTGTTTCCAAGTAACAAGTTAATCCATAATCTACCAAAGCCTATCACAGTCACACCCATTAGTACATCTATGATGAAACTAAATAAAAGTGAAGATATTGGGGAAAAAAGACAGACAGCGATGATTGTCTTCACTTCAGATGACAGTTCTCCACAAGCCCTTACATGGCTGTGTTCTAACAGAATTTAGTAAGTGATATAATACTAGTTCCTGTGTAAGGTAAACAAATGGTCGCGCTATGTCGTGAATTGGCAGAAGTTAGAATTCAAGGACCATTGGATCGGGTCCCAGTGGCTCAATGGTCTACGAGCTCGCCTTGCAACCAGAAGGTCCTGGGTTCGAGACCCGGTGGGTGCGTACTGATGATGAGTCCCAAACTAGGACGAAACAGCTGTCCAGTACTCCCAGGTTTTCCAATGGTTCTCTAACTGATGTCAGCTCATGATGAAATCCTCCACGCAATCAAACAAAATCCCTACAAAACCAATACTTGAAAATTAAGGTAAACAAACTCAACAAGTCTTCATCTATCTTTTATTTTCTCAATTCACTGAAAATACCAGTGACAGTTCTTCGAAGTTAAGTAATCAGTGTGAATATATCGACTCATTACAAAGGTAATCAAATGACTGTTGCCTGACCAGTCTATACTCTGCACGCTTCCAAGCGCTTCTATTCTTCATGAATTCAATAGTGGTAGATTAGTCAGACTTGAAAGCAAAATTTATATTGTGGATTGTGTATGTCCTTTAAAATATCTTTGTTGTAATATGTGATGATCTGATTGCTTAAATTCTGTTGCAGATATCATTCGCAATTCTTCTCATTATATTCGTGATTTCTATCCATTCAAACGTAATCATACACCTAAGCTACGCTTGCGTCAATTCGATAAGAAACACGGCATGTATTTATTGCAACAAAATGCTCTCAATTTGAAGTTCCAAGAAATTGGTAAGGTGTTCTTCACCCTCTCAGTACTTAAATGTACGCCAACAGCACAGGTAGGTATATATAGTAGTCTGGAGACGTTTCAAAACTCAGACTGAGGTGCTTTTGTTTAAGTATACTTGATCTTTTTAAAAAATACTGAAATTCAATTTGCAATTATTTTGAATTTGCTAATCCACTTTTTTACACATGTAATACGCAAAATCTATGATATTCTAACACTAAGCTTGTCTTCACTGCAAAGTGTTTTGAAATCTTTACCCCCTTGTGAAAAACTTCATCATCAAAACAGGTAAAAGTGAGTCACGATGGTTCTACTGCTGATTATGTGAAAACAAATTGGCGTTAAGACAAACCAATTTCTAAGTTCGACATTTCTTTTTTGCTTTGTCAGCATTTTAGCTGTATTGTTTTGGTCCTGTTGTGTGCATGGAGGTACTTAATTGTTAGACTGATTAGTATTCCAGACATGTAACTCTCAATTGTGTTATATTTAATTTATAAACCACTTTCATTGTTACCTGACTGTGCATCTGGGAATTAGGATTAGATACTATTTGGATTATTCTAGTATTTTCTGACCAAGATCTCAGTTTGTTACTTTTTCTTTGTATGAATTACGATCGTGATGGTAGACGTCTTACTTGTCCAGGGTGAATAAGTTTCATTAACTGACAATAGATAAGTAGTCCACTTTTTCGAACTGTTTAAATGCATAACGTATCGCATTCGACCCCTGTGTTCACATCAGAATGTGAAAACCCAACAAAACTAACTGAAGGCTAAATCTCCATATGTAGATATATTGGAAAAAAAAAGAAAATTACTGAATCATACTTTTTGTCCACTGAAAAATTTACCTAGCCTGGGAAACGTCCACTCTCGAATGTTAAGGGTTCGGTGTCATCCGGTGATTATTTCACTTTGCCTACGACTTTTGTGCTGCCTACCTACCTAACTGGTTATTTCAGCTCATAATAATACACAGAGGATTGAAGAAAATAATGACTATGATAGTCTTAGAAATAAATTTCTTCAAGTGCTTGATTGGCTTTCAAATGAGAAATACTAACTCAGTTGTCTTAATTATACTATTTAATGAGCGAAACAAACACATTCCGTATGCCTATATGTATATGTACAAGTTTTGCTCCACACTACAAACATATCAACTTTTGTTAACATTGGTAGCTCGGCAGGCTAACTGAGGTTGAAATTTTTTCATTGATAAGACATTAAATATAAGGAACTGTTTTACATTAGCATGAATATCATACACTAGTGCTTGAAAAGACGATGGCTCGGAAAGTATTTCATATGCTACATAATCTAGAGCAGTGAGACAAAAGCTAGTTCCTAGTCATTTTTAAAACAGTACTTGTAAATAAAGTAAATATTCTGCTCAGACAGTTGTTATTCTATAAAAAAAAGACACGCAGCAACGACAGTCAAAACAAAGGGTTTTCTCGAAATTTCCTTAAAATGTTCTTGATTACTTCAAGGAATTTTTTGATTGGAATCAGTCGTAGAATTGATGAGGACTGTCTAACCCTAGTTTGAAGGTATGTTGTTTTGTTCAGTAACAGAAACCAGTGCTTAAAGCACTTTGGGTGATTGGAGAATGCTGCTAGGCGACTGAAACTCACAGAAATAAATGTGAATAAGGCATTAAGAAGACAAATTTCGCGAGATGATATCATTTCGTAGTTTCTTTACAACCGCTTTACAACTAACGTGGTTATCAATAATAAAATAAAGATCATGACAATTACTCAGTTAAATAAAAAACAAAAGTACATACTAATGACCAATCATATTTAGATAGGTCAAGTAGCCCATGGAAGGCGAAGATTGAAGTCTATTGTTTTTTGTACACACAGTTTAGGCTGTATGTGATTAATCCAAAATGCTTCCATCATCTTCAATAACCTTGAATTAGAGTTATGTGAAGTAATCAGGAAACAGTCATTAATATTAGTTTTGTGACCTGACATTGATAAGTGTTTTGCAATGGATGATACTGGATTTCTATTCAGATTACTGGCATTGGGATTTTCTATATGATTTAGTAACCATTTTGGAACATGTTCTTTCTGACGACATTGGAACATTCTGTTGGTTTTACGCATATAGCTGTCAACCGCAACTGCAGCTGAATTTGTAGATACAGTTTGAAGTAGAGTCCATAGAATTTCGTCCTTTAATCGTAGGTACAAGGATCGAAAATGTTCGGCATGTGAGAAAAAGAGATGCGGCGTAGAATGTGTGTTTGATGGCTGACCGAAGTCTTTGAGCTGTCAACTGCATAATCTGGTCGCCCTTGAATGGTAGGTTAATAAAGATAGCTTTCTTTGGTACAGAAGCTGTCTTTTCGAGATGTGGTCTTTCGTTACTGTGGCAAGTAATAAAGTTTTCCGGATAACCACTAGCTAATAAAACTGAATGTATATGTCGAAACTCATCCATCAGTGTGTCACTCGTGCATATTTTTCGGGCCCTTGAGAACAAATATTTCACTAGGGAACGTTTATGCTGGATAGGAACAAACTGGTGAAATGAAGATATTGTCCACTCCATGTCTGTTTACGAAAAATAGATCACTGAATCGTTCCATCATCTCTCCTGGTCATTGTAATATCCAGGAAACCGAGTTTGTTATTCGATTCAAGTTCGGAAGTCACTCGGATATTTGGATGAATATGATTAAATAGGGTAATAAATTTTTCAATAGATTTACTATTATTAGCAAAAATAAGAGTATCATCTACATAACGTTTATACAGCTTAAATTCTCCAAGCATACCTTGCATTTGTTTTTCCAATTTTGACATGAATGTATCTGCTAACAGGGGCCCAAGAGGACTCCCCATCGTAACACCATCGATTTGTTTGTATGCCTTTTCTTGGAAGGTGAATCTAATATTTTCTGTACACATTAAGATGAAGTCTCTGATGTAAGTGACAGGAATAGGTAATTTTATCCCATTGCTTGTGATGTAATCGCAAATGAAATTAACAGTTTCATGAATAGGGACATTGGTGAATAAAGATTCTATATCAACTGAACACATAACCTTTTCCTTAATGTTCAAGGTGTCTAGTATATCTGTCAGATCAAATGAACTTTTTACAGAATGATTTGATAATGAGTCTCTTATAGGCGTAAGGACCTCTGTAATCCATTTTGCGATTTTATGGTATGGAGAACTCGACATGTCTAACTGACTAATTTTTTTAAGAAATAAATGTGTCTGAATTCTAGTCTACTCATAATACTATGTGTAGGTGTTATTTATCCTTTCAACCGTTTGTATTGAATTACAACCCATAGCTTTACTTTTATCATTTTGCTATATTTCAGATTCCTAATCATGTTTTCTTTCTACACGAGGAACTAAACAAGCTGCCGTCATTTCCGCGTAAAGCTCTAGAGTCAGATTTCAGTCTTTATGAATGGCCAACATACGGACGTCCACTGTTTGCATTGGATACAGTGCATAAACTATCTTGGTGTCACTTACTGTCTAATTTGTTTATGATGATGCCTAAAACATATCCATGGTCATCAGATCTACAAATATTTCTAAATGTATATAATGGAACATTGATATTGCACGCAGAAGACTCATCCGTTTTACGCCAGTGTTTAGCATTCTTTATACAGGTCAGTTTAGATCGTAAAATATATTCCACATCGTGTTTACTGTTTCTATAAGTTCGTCGGAATGTTTTCCTTCTCAGAGTAAACATGTATCCGCCTCATAACCAGCAGTTATTGTAATGATAAATATTATATTTTATAACTGTGTAAACTGAATTTATTGAACAGAACATCCCTCGTCCAGACATACTTTTATTTCTCTCCCCCCTCCAATCTTGGGATGAGAGTTAAAATAACATTAGTTGTATTTTTTTTCCATCTTAGCTGATGAAACATATTCATTAATTATGATTATGATTAATAATGTTCTCTAATCAATGTTTACTGCAGTCTAGGCACGAAACAGCCGTCAGGCACTTAGGTTACTTTGATCTGGCTAGCTAGCCTTACTGTTTTACGTGAGTGGCTTCCATCTGCTTATATCTACCAGTCATTAGTATATAGCATCCCATTTTTACTAAGATACATTTCATAAATATTTTAGAATTCCCATTTCTTCTGAAATCTTAATTCTTTTCATAATTTATTTTTTTTTAGTGTTGTTACCAATTCAAAACAGTGTTTTCAACTACAGGCTATACGGGTGTTGTACCAACAATGATACGTGTCTATAACCAGCATACGCATAATTCAGTGCTTACACAGGCGATTGAATTTACATTTAGACAGTTTTATGTGATGCACCGAACTCCCTTTATCTTACAGTTATTAGGAAGTATTGCTAATTACGTAACAATCAACAGTGAAATAATCGGTGTAGGGGATGATTTTTATCGGGTGAGTGAATTGTGAAAGTAATATGTTTTCGGTAAAATTTTATTCAAGATTTTAGTCCAGTTGGTTTAGCTAAATTGAACAGATATATCTTAATTATGATACTCTTGATTCATGTGTCAGGCTATTCCAAACCTCTTCTGGGAATATGAATATACATTTTGTAGAATTTCTCTTCATCTTCAACTAAAAAAATTCCAAACATACTCCGCATATTCGATTAGACATAATATAGAATATGCTTGTGTTCATTATATAGGAGTATAGAAAATATACTTACAATGCCAGAAAAATGAAGTTGGCGTAATAAAAAGCTTACTCCGTCCATCTTCTTCTTCTTCTTCGCCTTGAATAAAAGCTTAAGAATGTGACTTCTAAACCATGAATGCTGAAGTAACAAGAATACTACTTAACTGCTTCCATTGAGTACACTTTATGATGCCTTAAATTCGAAATCAGAATAAGCCTCGCTTATTCTTAACCACTTATATTTTGATGTTTGCTAATAACAAGTTAATCACATCTTTTCTTAATTGCTGCATCCACTGTTCACCCTATAACTTCTAACTTTCTCTATCATTTGACATGTGTCAATGAGAGTAATATAAATATATACACATTCACATTAATGAAACGTATAGAAAATCCAAAAAATCAATAACCAGGCTTTGAAGGCATGATAACTGAAGTCACAAGGTAAAAGGTTACCCTACATGTATGAATACATAGTTTAGTTACGATGTTTGCTCTTATAATTCTCTATCTATTATAGATCCAGCCGGCTACCTTGTACCGACTGTTGAGAGTCATAAGTCGTCCGTTAGATGATAATCTCCGCATTCTGGAATTGTGCAATATTCAAAAACCGTTAGAAGCTTTGGTAAGTTCAGTGGATACTGTACAGTTGCATTTTAACGATACTTGATGATTCGTTTCTATTGAGTTTCAATTTATAACAGTCTGTTTTGTTTTCCTTAAAAAAATATGTGAGTCATTAGCATTTACTTTATCCTCAGGTAAGTGGTTAGGTAGACGGAACAAGGACTGAAACACCATAGGAACAAAACAGCCTTGAATTCATAGAACTGAGCCGATTCTAGATGCATTGTTTATAAGCAAGCATTGTTAATCAGTATGATGTATACAGGAATGATACAAGCTATTGTCATACAAATCTGAACGTCTAGTTAATAGTGAATTTACTCAAAAACATGACTGAGGTGTGTCCGATGGCTTTCAGCATGCTGCTAATCTACTGAAATATATAAGAATAATTCTGTTCACATTTTAGTTCAGGTTTCATCTTTGGTAAGTGAACACATCGACAGTTTTCTATGTGTTACCAGTTATCATGCATTCGTTTGAATGACAAATCATTGTCACACTAATATAAAGTGTATGTGAAGTTGGGTCGATATCGGACAGATTTGTTTCTCACATTTGTAGAAGTTTTTTTGTATAAATCTCAATGAAGACCCTCAGCCACAGAGTTAGTTAGAGCTATATGCTCAGAAGAAGTAATTGAAGATGAATTAAGCATTGTATATGATACTTTGATCGAAAATGGCTATCCCGACAAATTTATCAAGAAACACATGACAAAGAAAGCGGAAAAGAACTACTCACTGTCTGTAAACAAGAAGCCACTTTATATACGACTACAGTTCAAGGGCGATTTACCAAGTGAGATGATTACGAAGAAATTAAGAAAATCAGTTCAAAGAACTTTTAATGCTGGCGAACTACATATATTATTCTCTAAACGACCGATGGTGCTACCTCGACTGAAAGATGAAGTACCTAGACTAGCCACTTCTAATTGTATCTATCAATTCAACTGCGCTTGTGGAGCGAATTATATTAGCCGTTGCTCTAGGAATTTGATTCTGCGTGCTCGAGAACATATCCCACTATGGCTAAGTAAAGGTGTAGTGAAAACCATTAACAGTTCGATATTGGACCATCTGGTGCGAACCGGCCACAAAGCCAGCGTAGAAGAATCCTTCTCTATAATCTACCGGGTGCCTAATAAATTGCCGAAATCATCGAAGCATCGCATGCTCCAAACAGCAAAGGCTATTGCATTTCGCCCCAAACAACCAGTGCTCTGTGTCCAAAAGAAACAAGTCGAGCCCCTACTACTGTCGTGGCCCTCAGTAGAAACTATAAACTCATGAATTTGTAATATTATCTTTCCTAATTCTTCTGACATTCAGCTTATTTTATGTTGATGTTATTGAACTGTAATCTATTGATATTACTGATTCCATGTTATTTAAACATTAATGTCGTTCATAACACTAATTCATTCATTCACTATAATGCATATATAACTGTAGAGCCTGATGATGAATTTATAGAAAATAGTACTCTTTGTTCAGTATCCATTCTTTTGAAAACTATGTTTTACCCAAGTTTTTTAAGGTAATAATAAGGGCTAAAATACTGAAGGTAATATAAATGAAGTCAAAAATATACATTCAGTCTCCTCATTTATATGTTTCTAAGCTGTGACTTATTGAAAAAAGTTAATTGTGACATGTTAATTTCAAAATGATGGTATAATCATTCTTAAGATATTTGTATATGAAATAAAATCAAATGAGGTAGATCTGCCAACCATTCATGTTAGTATGTTTAAATGAAAATTAAAGTGACATTTAATGAATGATAATTGTGAAATTCCTGGTTGTATTAACTCATGTCATCAACTGGGAATGTAGGTGGTACAATCAAAAACATAAATCATGTTGTTGCTGGTAATAGAGGTGAAAAGAACATGGATGCAACTACTAATAATTTCGGATTTGTTTACTCATCGCGGCTTAACCATTTGATTACAGGGAAAACAAAGAGATGCTTACAAAGAAAAAGCTTAATAGAAAAGAAGCATTTCTTGACTGCATCCAACTTTTTGTATTCCTCATATAATTAACAAACACCTGTCAACCATATCTGTTAATGTCATGCGGCTTTAAAAAAAAATAAAATTCTGGGATTTAGTTATATGTGTGCAAAGCTTCAATCAGTTTTTCCCTGTATGATAGAAAACCTCTCTGTAGACTATCGGTTCCATCAAAGTCAATTTTGTGTCTGTTTTCTATCATATTTCACGTTTTAAAAATCTAGTTAAGTTAGAGAAATTAGCTTCAAACGTTGATGATGTTTTGTGTATAAATATTTACCAGCTTGTGTGTTGCTAATACCAATCGCTAGATTTCATTTCAAACTCAACTCGTATATTCTTATTCTTCTACTGTTGGATGCTTAATTTTCGCCGAGATCAAACTTAAGGTGTGTTGTTTATGTGAAAAGAAATCCTGATTAGTTGGATTTCTTTTTATGTGCTCTACAGTTTGTCTGGAGTAAAGAATCATTGTCACAGCATCATTCTGGTTTTTCGTAGGAAGCTTCTGTACACAGTTAATTTCACCTATCAGTATCCTGTTTATAAAGGATTTCGAGTAATAAATTGATACAGGGGTAGGCTTAACTCACTCTTGCTCACTGTTTTGTCTTTTGTTATTCTCTGTTTAACTGAATGAATCAGTAATAAGTAAGTAAAAATTATTAATGTCTGAGATGTTATCTATTGAAGAGGTCGAATAGAAACTTTTCACCTCACATTGCCTACAATATTTTAATCATAATTATTTTCTTGAAGAAATTTCAGCCAGACTGCTTGATGAAACTTCGTTGTTGTTCCAATCATAACACATCGGTAAAGCTTCTGTCACTGTCTCTTATCCAGTGATTTGTTACTATTCCCCTTCTTTTGTGAATTCCAACGACTGGATTTGTTTCAGGATTTCCGAGTTTCATGAAATTGATTAGATTAATAAGCAGCTGAACTACTAACAGAATTTCAGTCATAATCAGACTACTTTTTTAAAACATAGAGTAGTGTGTTTAGGAATGATAATAAAATTGGTGAATGAAATGTGATCAAACAGTTACATCCGGACCTTTGATCGCTGGTTGGAACTTACATTCGCACTTACTTTTTCACGTAATTCATTAGTGCGTCGCGAGTCCATTAGGCGGTATGATGATATAATTTTATATTACCTATAGGTATTTTTGGATATGTGATATTCGCTTCAATGAAGTGTTTCCTATTAATTCTAGTCATCCTCACGAGTAAGACTTTGCAGATGGGTCTTGCGCTGAGTACACACAAATATAAGGTCACAGTTTAAAAACAGTAAGTCCTTCTTTGCTCTAGGTGTGAATTGATGAGCCCAACTACTTGTCACTTATTTCTTTAAAAATCAGGTAAATCGTCACTCGTTTAGAATTACCTGAGTTTGATTGATACATTTTAATGATGTTTCATACTTTTTCTTCAAATTATAACACGAAGTTAATTTTATAATAGCTTTGATGATCAGGAAAATCTCCATATTAACTAACTTAACCGTAAAGTTCAGCTTTATATACAGTAAATAATCCAGTGAATTTACGTACATCCACACCTCAGAACTTTTCATCTTGACTCTAGGATCGCTTCAAACACTCTTCACAAATTTAGTAAAATATTTCCGTCTATCTAGGCTCACACGATTAAAATGTACGAATTACTAATAAAGTAGTTATTTTTTCATGCGTAAGAGAAGTTTTCTTCCTCATTTTCAATTTTAGATTTTCACTTGTTGCACTTGATTTTTGGTGATTTTAGGTTTTCTTCAGGTATGTGTTCACCTAGGTTTTGTGCTTACAGGCACTTGTTAGCGTAGTATTGTAACGACAGAAGGCAAGAGTCAAGCAACAGATCGTTTATTAATGAAATCAACACATATTTATAGATTTCCGTGTAAATTATTACAGATTATTGTAAGCTGACAAACACAGTTTTCTGATTGGTTGTTCCTCACTAAAATTTAATCTTTCATCTCTTTGTTGCTGTCTCTTGAGTGTCAGATCATCTATCTGCTAATTGTATCCGCCTACGCAAAGTCTGCTGTCCGTCTTTGATCTTGTTTTCACATGACTAATATTTGATACATAAACATTGACGTCAATTACTGTCTACCAATTTGGCTAGCAGCCATCTCTCACCACAGTATATCTTTACATTCAAAGGAACTAACATCACTCTGATTATTCAAGCCCATATCACATAGTACTACAGTAAGAGAAATTACCACTGAACGAATCCATAGAACTAAGAGATACATATCTCTAGGTAATAACCACTCTCATATGCCTATGCATTAGTGTTGCGTGAATTCTACAAGTCAAGTCTGAAATGTGGTCACTAATGTTGTCGTTAAATTTGTTCTTTATGCATGTGTCTTTCATTCTTTTTCTGATTAGTCACAGTCACACAGGGATAAAGTGTGAGGTCACTGAGTGACTCACACCTGGTAACCTTTTTGGGGTAATTTCTCCTGTTGAGAAACTCTCTAGGTAATATCAGTTCATTCATTTCATTTAAATTGAGAAGTAAAATAGTAAGCTGCAAATTATCCCGTGGCAATATGTTCAACTACATCACTATGATCATGTTGTCAGCCTGGTTAGATTTCGTGTTGCGTCTGTTATCTTGTGAGTAATTTTCAGCTCGCAAAAAATAGACATAAATTGGCAATCAGGCGTCATTATGCAAAACACCTAACTTAATGTCTGCTTTGTTCGGTAACGGAATTTTCACTGAATACAAGAACTGCAGTCCAGTCCACTCACTGTACACATATGAACAACTTTTTTTTTCAGATAAATTGTTGGTACTAAAGCTTGCATTACCATGGCCTATAACTTAGAAACACCTTTTACGCTACTACATGATAAATTTACTGCAGTTGCCCCCTGATAACCATCTGACGATGAATTTAGATGTACATAATCGTAATAATAACATAACATCCACTGGTATTTCAATTATCTTAAGGAACCTAAAAGTCAGGAGGGCAGTTATCCTTCATTTCCGTAAATTGGAAGTTACCAACTTTTACCGCTAGATAACTTTATTAATCGAGTTCTTTTAGCATTCAGGACAGAATATGCAAGAGGTATTATCTGTGCTACTTTTCTATTGATTACTGTTGAAGATGAAAAATATTAGTGTTTTTTAAATAATATCGATTTGTTAAGTAAGATCACAATGGAATTACAGTTCATTAAAGAGGCTTAAATTATAATAATAATAAAGATATAATAGCAAATAGAATATCAACTAAAATTAGGAAAATTCCACAAAAATTGAGGACCAATCAAACCTAGATGGCCATTAGTATTATTATTATAATTTAAGCATCTTTAATGAAGATGAAAAATATTTGCTGATATATTCACTGTTTTCCATAACGGCGATACTGTTATTTGAGTAAAATAAAATTATTTCTACTGTTATTCTATACTGAGAATTTGAAAAGTTTATCATTCAACCAAGTGTATGCTTTTTTCATTCCCTTATCTGGATCATTTTCTTACTTTAAGGATTTCTGCTATGACGATGAAGATGCGAACTGGTCTATTTTAGAAGTGATTAATCTGTGTGTTGCAGTCATCGTATATGCTCCAGATTCCTATAGAGCCAGACAAATGCTTGTAAGTAATAAATTCTCTTTTTTTTCATATCTAATCATTTGAACTCCAAATAAAAAAACATTAATTTAATTGAATTTTTTGGATTTTCCCGTCGATTGATTGGACCAAGCCTCGGTGGGAACATCATCACTCACTGAGAAATGCAGGTACGTCCAGATGACGAGTCCCAAAAAGGACGAAATGCGCATCCTGGATTCCACTACTAGTCACCATCCACCAATTAAATACTAAAAAAACATTATATTCAGTTTTTTCTGAGTAACAGATTACAAAGAAATTTTCAAAAGTTAGAAAAATACATCTTTAATTAATGAATATATTATTCACTGATTTGTTATATTTGAACAATTTATGGCATGTATGAAAGTGCATTCCATATAGATAACTAATTTACGTTGGGTAGTCATGTCTTTCTCAGACTAAGACACGTATTATTATTATTATTATTATTATTTAGGAATGTTAAATAACCAACTGAAACTTGACAGAGAGAGAGAGAGAGCTAAAACCTTGTCTGCTGTGAATTCTCAAGGTCAACTTGTCCTAAAACGATAAACCTGAACACGACAATCACTGAAATAGTCAAGCATAAACTAGAAATTAAAAAAACACAGAAAGCCACTGTTGCATGAAATGAGTGTTAGTCAATTATGAGACAATGCTAAAAAACACAAAAACATAAATATCTGATAAAAGTAACATTTTAAGTGTTTTTTATGAGAATATATCAATGTGGCGTCTGTTGCTGATGTCTTTTAATAACGTTGTATGACGCTTTAAATGAAGACAGTGTTTGTTTTTTTAAATGACCATATAAAAGTGGGAGATTTTATTTTACCATGTCCTATACTCCACTTTGTTATGTTTATCTATTCACTGAATAACTGAAACATTGTGGATTATGCCAGAGTTCAGTTAAAGGGCTGGATGAAAGCTGTAATTGTTCTCAGGTTGCATTTGGGTAGATTATGTGCTACTATCGTGAAAGCTGTCATCTTTTAGGAATGACACACACTTTAATACGCCTCCCAAAATATATTTTGTTAGCCTATTTTCTTTAAATGGCAATTTTTTTGTACTTGTGTTTAATTGCTGGTTAAATTGAAAGCTAACTTTAACTCATTATACGTGTGTATAAACACGAACTGATATACGAAATTTATTAGTTAATAATTATCTTATTTCTCATATACAAATTATTCTCGCTGTTATCTTCACCCATACACAACCATCCAAGCTGAGTGATAATAGATAGTTTATAAATTTGTTCACTCCATTCTTAAATGCGTGAAATTACTTAAATCATTGATGGTTTTAATCAGCAAGCCTGTATTTTGTAAGCAGCATACTAAAATATGATACCTAGCTGTATAAATACGCTTTCATCAACTCAAATTAAACTAATATTTCACTTCATTCTATTCACGTAGGTAATTCTTCAAGCTTTACTTCCACTAATTCTGAAAGATTTACCGTACATTTGTGCTGAAGAAGGCAGTGGTACCGATCCTAAAAAGGCTGAGTTGACGGCAATTCAGAAAATTTCAGTTGCAATACGTCAGTTAATTTCAACAACGGAATTTATGACAAGGTGTGTTAGTCATTGTATTGTTGTTGTTGTTTTTTTTACTACTTTTTACACAATACCTTAATTTAACACCACACTTTTAAGCATGAAATTGAACACGTATTATAATCAGCAGCATATCTGAACAGTTGTTGTCATGCATTTTTCAGTCGGTTGATTTTACAAAAAATATTTTGATTGCTCAATTTTACTTTTAGTATGGCTGTCACATTTAAAGAATGATGGAAGTCCATTTTGTGAGAGATTTATCACGCTTACTAAATGTTACAACTTGATCTTCACTTGATTATTCACATGGTTTGTTTGTTACTTTTTGAGCAGAGTAGTTCATCTGACCTGAAAACATCTTCCACTACAGCATTATACAACTTCAGCTATCCAATGTAACGAGAATATGCACTGAAAAAAAAATTGTATTGTCTTTCGGTATACTCATTCCTTTACACATATTTAGCCATCTCATTTAGACCACAGAAAAATATGGCTTCAATCCATACCGATGATTTCACATCGTGTATTCTTCACTCATTATCGCAATTATTTTGGCTTAGTATAAATCTGTTAACGATACACGCCATCATACTACCAGGTCATTATGAAGATTATGAATAAATTATAATCTAGTTACCCCGAGATGCCTTCAAAAACATTTTGACGATAGGTTAAATACCTTTAGCCTGTAGATGTTTTAGCGACAGAATCTGAATTATAATAATAATAATAATAATAATAATAATAATAATAATTTGCTTTATTCCAGAAACAGTACTAGTGGTACAGTGTGGAATTTTCAGCACTTATCTACAATATTTGCATATAATTTTATCCAAACGTTTAAAAGGAGTATTTTCAAAAAAATAAATATAAAGACAGCAACAGCAAAAAAACACAAAATAAACACAAAATATTTTTTTTTTAATGCTAAAAAATACCAAGAAGTAGAAAGTAAAATAAACATCATGTAATAATAACTCAGTATTGGGTAGTGGAAGCTATGATATGATTATGCATGGTGACAGTAAAGCTATAGTCATACAAGAAGTTATGAATGATATTTAAGAATGTTTATCGCCAAGATGGTCAGTTAATTTGATTGAAACAGCTCTAAACAATCATAAAATAACATTTCAGCGTTGTTGTTTTGTTTTTTATTGTCAGATCTAATGCAGTGTTTGTAGTGGTAGTGTGAGTAATACTGCATAATACAAAATTTTTTAAGGTGGTGACTATGGCGTTCACAACCAATGATTGCCAGTTTAATATTGCCGAAAAGTATAGAAAATAAGAAAAAACAACCACAAAACTAATATTACATGATGGTTAATGACAGGACAATTTTGTAATACTCATAGTGCTAACAGAGTCGGAACCAGTGGATACACAATAGAAGGAATATAGTAAAGTACAAAAAAGGAAGCCAATGTTAATAATTTAGGTAGCTAAGTATGTTTGAGAAGGAGTTCACTATGGAATACAAAATAAGAGAGAAATAAAAGAGCCTAAAATTATGTTGTTAATAACAAAACAAGTCATAGGTTTCACGCTTAACATTGTCTCTGTCGCTTAGAACACGGGCCAAGTATGGTATCGTTGAGTTCCTGTACTTGGTTGTACGAGCATAGATTATTTTATACTGATTTCTGGTTCTACTTGATGAGATACAAGGTGAGAGTTGGGAATAGAAGGAGTGTTGGGGGTCGGAGAGTATGGTTTTAGACCATTTTCGCGTTGTATTCAGATGCCTTTCAACTAATGTAGTGACGAGCTGACTGAGTTTTACACCACTAGTCCTACTAACTACCTTCAACATCCTTCTCAGGATGGAATAGTCCTTTTTCAGTAGACCAGGAAAGACTAACTGGGAGCACAGTAAAGTAGAATGGGTAAGATACGAGAGTTGACAAATTGTGAAAGTAGAGGTTGGGTGATTCCAGATTGTCTAAGTTTCTTAATGTAGTAGGTAAGACAGATCACTTTCTTAGAAATCGTTAGGATATGAGATGTCCAAGTAAGGTCGGAAGATAGAACTAGACCGAGGTATTTAGCATTAGACTTAGTTTCAATTTTAGTCCCCTCAATGCAATAGTCTTCATGAGAACTTACTAGTGTTTGTAGATCTCGTTTATGCCTAAGGGAAAAGTCAATAGTCTGGCATTTTGAGGGATTCATTTTGCAGTTAGCAGCTACAAAGTTTATGTGACAGTAAAAAAATTTTCTCTAAGCACTGAAAAACTAACCTTTCTCTCTATTGCTAACACTGTTATCCGTACACATCTATTTTAAAACAGGTGTCTTACTCAGAAGTAGGAGGACTACATAATTAAATCTTTTTTTCTTCACAATTCTTCTCATAACAAAGTGGTCCATGAGACTGTTTCATCTAGACTCATTGTACACTGAAAATAATGAGTATCACGAATTACATTGAAAAATTACTTTGACACACACTTATCGTTATATATATATATATATATATATATATATATTTATGATTTGCCGAGTATGTGCTTTTAGAACAATAGTTATTATAGTAGTTGACGCAGATATAAAGGCTAATATTGACTAGACAACTTCCAATCAAGCAATAAAAACACTAACACCCAACTTTGCAACAACTTTAGGCATCTAAGAAAACCATATAGAGATGAAAAAACACCTGCTGACAAGTAATCTGCTAGCTGGACTTTTTGAAATTAATGATTAATAAATTCTAACAGTTTGTAAAAGTCTATGTGTCAGCTCAAAAATTACGTGATGAATTGTTGGCTTGATGACAGTGTGAGTTGAAATTCTTAAGTAGAAAGTTTACTTTTCAACAGATATTGAAAATCGTTTACTTTTAAGCTATAGCTTTTCATCACTAGCACAGATAGTCTTCATTTCAAAGTTAAACAAAGTAAATGTGATTGATAGATGGCAATTTAAGTTGACACGTAATACATGTGTAGGTCACATGGTTTAGTATCTATGTCAGACAGTGTAAAACATTTGATTCTCACCACCAGTGAGTGATACAATCATACGCGCGACTGCAGGTAGCACATTTGATCAAGCACTAGTCAGTAACTATGTTTAGTATTATAAACATTGTTGTACACATCCATTATGGATAAGATTTTATTTTGATAAATCACAGTGTTACACAGTAATATTAATTGATGACGTTTCGAGCACAAATTATTGCTCATAATCAAAATAAAATCTTATCCATAATGGAGTTACACTCTACCACAGTGCCCAAGTTTTATACTTATATCAATTGTTGTACACATCTCTTAATTGATTTTACTATGCTTCCCATATATTCCTTATGAGAAACACCTGAAAAAGTTTCCAGCAATGTATATTCTGGTCTGATTGCACTAGTTTAACAGTACATTATTTCATCAAATTAGTAATCGAGGCCTGATTTTACTATTTATTGTTTTAGTCTTTTCCAAGTTATCTTGTTTACTTATATATAACCTGACAATTTTAAAATCTTAATATGCATTTATGCGTTGTCTCCTAAAAATGTTTTCTTGGATTATTCCTATTCTCGTTGGAAAGCAAAACCCTACTACCTGACTACTCAGTTTAAGCCTATGCATTATAGTCACTCATAAATACTGTTTGAAACTGTAATAATAATGGTGTCTAAGTGGATGTTGGTTTGGCGATCCAGAAAACAAGTCATCCTCAGTATTCTTCTTCTTAATTGTAGTAAATATCCACTACTTCAGTTAAAAACTGTTTTGCAACTGTTTCTCTCTGAGTATTGATATAATCTTTCTTCTTTTTATTCAGACGAACAGAAGACGCACGCCAGTTAAACTATCTTGCACCAGGTGGACCAGCAGAGTGCCGCAAAGAATCACCCGGTCGTTTACTAACTGGTGTAGCTAGTCGATTAGGAAGTTATGAAACCGCTAGGAATAATTTAACAAAATCACTGGATAAAACAAAAGGCACTGAAACAGCTCAGAAAAAGACAAAACGTGATTTATGCAATGAAATCAATAATTTACCTTTGAATAAAGGTTTCCCCTTATCCGTTGGTTCAAATGTATCACGTGACAGAGAAAATCAGTCAAGTCAAATGTTGGCCAGTTCTGTTACTGCGACTAGTGGCCATCAGAGTTCAACGGCTTACGAACCGCGAGAAGCTGTGTTGCAGTTGGCCTGTGAATTTCTATCTACATGTTCAGGCCGTCTTTTAGAAATGGAGGAAAAACATCGTGTCTCTGATTTACTGGACACTAAATCACATATGGTAAGCTATGAACTGTGCTAACAACAATTGAACGCATATTATCCGTAAAAGTGAAAATATTCTAGCATTTAATGGTCATCCGAAGTATTGATGAATCCAAAATGAGCAAGTATACATCACTTCTTGTATGTGCACAGTGAATAGTTGTTATTTTAAGTGAATCTCTAAACCAGTAGGTGTTGTTACATGAATACGTATGCTATACAATGTTGGTCAAATTATTTTTATGTTTGTGTGTTAGTTGAACTAAATCTGGTTGACTAGTTTGTTAAATATTGATATTTCTATAATATTGTTTAACACTATCTTTCCCCTTTATTACAATGTATACTTGTATTGAATATTTCTGCCTAGGTCAAATGAAAGTAGATAAACCTAGAAGACTTAAGTAGTGACTGGTATTCATACATACGGTTCCCTTGATTAGTGTGAACAAAGCAAGAACAAGTACATTTTCAGGATGAAAAGAATTTTTGTTTTATTTCACAGTTTTACTTCAGCTACTAACGGCCTTTAAATGGCATAAGTTATTATAAATATAGAAAATATAGAGGTAACTTACCGCATACATTTTATTTAGACATATGAATAGGTCATCAGATGAACTACAGATAGTAGGTGAGATGTAAAACAACCGAATAAATAAGCATTTGTATAAAATTAACAACTAAATAATTACTTCGTGCATAAGTTGCCGAACGTTAGCCAATATAGTTAGTAAAGACAGATTGAAATCCACCGTTCAGTTGTACGATAAAAAAATAAGTAGATAAAGTAACACAATACTAGAGTATTTTGATTGTTGATAAATGTTTAAAATATGCAAATTGCGTTGTAATGGTTCAGATAACTCCGCGAATTGGCCTGAATCATGCACTTTTGAGTAAGTGACTCAGTTTCCACACGGTTGTCTAAAGTCGTTTCGATAGGGCTTAGGGTTAACAAACGTGCCAGTAGACTAATTCTTATCTCACTTCTGAAGATAGTGATACCAAACGCGTTTGTGTAACACTGTGTATCCAATCTGAACAGTTATTGCTATTATTATCAATTGTTCAGTCTTTTTTCATGCTAATGAAGATAATGTGACGTCTTGTTTATTCTTACAGAGACTAGCTGATATAGCTCAATCAATGCTAAAACATGTTTCCAACAGTCCAGATTTCCTGGCCAGTACAGCTTTACAACGTTATTTTTTGGATGTACTTCCTGTCATAGACTGGAGCCACGAGTCGTTGAGATCTTGTAAAGCATTAGAATGCCTTTTGGGAAGATTAAATAGAACCTTACCTAAAATGCTAGAGTTCGCTATTAAATCAAAGGTAAGTTTTGACAGGCAAGCTTAAATTCAAATCAACAGAAAGAAAATCTAGACCGAAATTAATTTTGGAACAGATATATATTAATATGTTTTTAAAGAGTATGGGACTTCGTTTATATGCTTTGTTTTCTTGCATAAGTTGAACGAAAATAACTATTCACACTTGCTCACATGCTTGTGGATCATCTTCATAGGATTCATGGAAATTTTGTAGATTTTCTTTCTTATTTTATGTAATCTTTCATCTGGAATTTAACCTGCAGCTTTTTGTTTTACCTTTCACAGTAGTTGCATTCATTAATAAAAGTCCCGTAAAACAACTAATTCAGTTGACGAGAATGTCCACTTGAATCAACTACTCGGATAACAGACATTCTTGAGACTTGTATGGCTGGTTTATTATGTAAAAGTGTGTGTGTGTGTGTGTGTGGTATTTCAGCTTAAGTTTGATGGCACTATATTAGAGTCCCATTTCAGATTATCTTTTAAGAATCAGTTTTCGCTGATTGTTATCGGCTGACTCAACAGCTGTGATTCATCAGCTGATGACTCACTTATTCTGGCTCTTAACATAAATTTTATTAGTTTAGTAAAGACATGCAGAAATATTAAGTTAGAGATAATTTCCAGTCTATGCTTTTGTAGTTGACAGGCGGCAATCTATATTTATATTTGTTTATTGTTCCACTGTACTTTTTTTTAACTGTCTACATTTTTTACGTCACTACACAAGTAAAAAAACAATAGTGTGAAGTTAGTCATTGTTTACAATGAATTTAATTCATTTCCTTAACTCATCGAATTTAATTCTGAATAAGGCATTATTAGATGAGAACAGTTGAGTTTTAATAAAAGTTTGGCACCTATACACATTTACAGTTACAATTAAATAGATAGGAATTCTAATCGGAATAATCCCTCTTTTTGGTATACTCTATCCATTCTAAGTAATATGTAAGGCAGTCAACTAAAGACCATTTTTATCATCATTCATCATGGAAAAGAGTTAGACAGTTCACTCTACTAACAAACAAATCGTCAAAACGATAAACCCAAATGTTATTTGCATTATTACAACATACATCTGACTACTCTTTATCCATTGTTACATGGTTTGTCTGGACAAAATTAGTGTGTGTGTAAGCCTTTTTGAGGTCATCTTTGCACAATACATATTGGTAGCTACGATACCTGAGGTCTTAGATAGCTATCAGATTTCTACGACTAATTCATCCTCAAGGCTTTCCATTTTTTCCCTTTGTTTGCTGTAACGGCATTCCTGACTTATGTGGATAGCAATTCAAAGGGGAATCACAAAAATAATGATGACACTTATCCAGGTCGACATATTTAAAGTTTATAAGTCTATGAACTGTCGGAAATATTGACTAATGGGAGAAAAACATTCCCCTGTGGCTGATGGAGTACTTTTTAGTGACTTTCTTTCTTAATCTTTCGAAAAAGATATATTTTTTTCAACTATTTTCATAAAACTGATTAATTAGTATATGCATTTTATATGTATATTTTATAGGCGATTCACCATTGGGATGAAATTGTTAAGCTGATCCGATCAGTTTATTGTGTATTGAAAAAGAACCGATCAGTGGCACATATGAAAGAAATTCGCGTAAGTCATCCAATACTACATGCTTACATGTACACAATTCAGATAATGGCAGTATAAGGTCAAACACAAAATTGGCTCTTATTCATTCTTCCATGTCCCTATCCCAATGTCTTTTCCGTTGAACATATAACGAACAAGAAGGGATTGATTTGACACTAATGAATAATCATTTACTACAACTATGACCTCAGTTTACTAATTCAATAAGTCTTCTATTATCACATTGCATAGTGTGGATTATAATAATTAAGTTGGCATTTATTTTTTTATACGGTAAATTACTCTCTCTCTCTCTAAAGCTGGGTTTTAGTCATTCAATATATATTCAGTATTTTCGATCAGGGTAAATGTTTCCAGTTGAATATCCAAACTGAACAATGATTTAGTTGCACTTGGTTAATCATGAAAGTTGTTAGCTGGAAAGAACAGTACATTTGTGCGTATTCCCTTATATTCATTATTCCGATTCGTATAAGCACAAAACTAGAGACTAGTGGTATAAGACATGTTTGTAAGTAATTTGAAAGACATAAGATTACGAGCGAACTAGAATTTGGATAAATTTGTTCTGATATGTAGGAATAGCGTAGCAATAGGTCTTATAACTCTCAGCAAAACCATGTAGTCCAGGTTATCAAATTTTCCCTACACGTAAGGTAAAATGTATAAAAGTTAATCACGTGATACTTTGAGCTTGCAGCTGACGATATAAGACATATTGCTTTAAACCATCCAAACACATCAGATTACAGGCGAACTAGAACTCAGACACATTTTGATATTATTTGAATAAGTCTAGCCACATGATTTATACTGTCTGCCGTTTAGACATCATAGTACACAGATTAGAATTTTGTTGAAGACTAGTGTTACAAATCATTTGTTAATGTACCTTTAATCCGTAAAATCTGGTTGACCCTTCTTTTTATTGACCTTATGTAATGAATAGGTTTGCCTGAGTTCCAACAGTAAAGCCAATTTTCTGTTGACGGCATTAGATCTGTTAGCAGACTGCTCAAATTACAATTCAGTTATAATCCTACATGTTTTAATGCAATGGTAACATATCCTTAGGCTATAAGCCCATTTTTATTTATTCTGTTACTTGGAATAATGCATTCAACTTCCTGTTAATATTTTATTATTAATCTTAATGTTCAACACTTTATTTGTAACTCGAATAAGTCATTATTCTTTAATATTTGTGTATGCTTACATTTTAGATTTTAATTGAAACCCTGAAAAAAGCAATCGTTTTTGATATATCTGGATGTGCATCTAACTTTCCTAAGTCACGTTTAGACATTCAGCCTAATCATACCATAGGTCATCACAGTAGACCAAGTTTTGGCGAGGTGTTATTCGGAATTACATCGCAAGAATCCAGTAGTATAAGTGCTTCAGTTGGAGTTGTGAAACCTGCTGGGAAATCGAAACATCCTCCTGTGAACGGTGAAGCAGGATCGCATTGTTCACCAAGACATAGTAATCAAGAAAATGTCTACGAAACAACATTTGATGATAGTGATATATACGCATGCCAGTTTGCAGCTGAAGTGATTCGTCTTTTATCCCTGTTCTCACAAATCTTAGGAGTAAGTATACTTTGATTCGGTGATTTTGTTAGTCTGTTTGCTGATTTCGACAGTTTGACTGCTGCTGAGCGACAACGTTATAAAGTAAATCGTGATAACAGACTCTATAGCTGTTTAACATTAAGAGTATGATAGTATGTTGACGAACAAATTGTTCGAAATCTCATTTCTTTTCATATTCCATGGTATAGTAAATGGCGTTAAGACAGGAAAATTACTCTTCTGCTATCATAACACTACACGTTTATAGTTTCATTTTTGTCACTCACAAATGAACAATTTTTTTACCAATGACAAAACACTTACTGTGTTCGTGATCTATTTCAAAACTAATCTAGATGGCAAAAAGTCAAACTCCAGAGATGTTTACTCTACTCAACAAAGTCGATTCTGCAGACGAGTCTTAATCACATATGTCAATCGATTTCGTCTTACAAGTATGATAATTGGATTTTCTACAGGTCATTTTACTCGTAGTGTATATTAATCCAATATTATGTTAGTTCTAAGTATTAAAATTTTAATATACTGTATATTGTTTCTGTTGTGTTCACAATTTTGGCTGATTCTTATTGTTATTTTAACCCACGAGTTTAATCACTTCAAAAATGGAGAAAGTATGAGTCAAAAACAAGAGGAATTTCTACATATTTTTCATGATTGCTTTAGATGAAGAGTAAGGTGGGGTTTTTATCATAAAATATTTCTCTTCTGTTTAGTAAGACTTTCCCAACCTTATTCAAAACGAGTTTCGAACTGCATAAGCATGAGGCATAACAAGCAGTTACAAAGACTAGTGTGATAATCAAAGCTTTAATAATCTGCATTCCATGTAAAAATGTAGCACCAGAGGTTATTATAATATTAGACAATGTTTGAATAAACTAAAACATGAAAACAATAATCCTTCACTTAGGAATTAGGTTTTCAAAACTACTAGCCTTACTGTTTTTTTTTATAAAACTTATCAGGTTTTACATGACTTTCATTGAACGTGAATACTCAGAAAATGAGAAAACGTTGTGGAGGATAATTTCAAGCCTCAAATAATCGCAACATAAGTTGTACAACGTGATGAGACTGGTCATTTTTCTGAAAATTCCAACAAATCAGCTTATCGCTTGACAAATGACGTCTCCACTTAGTTCCGATATAGTAATTGTTCATGTCTACAAATACGTACCAAAAGGAATATGTCACCTAACTTAATGGCGATTTACTGTTTAGCTGTTTAATCGTCCAATATTCAAAGGAATTTAGACCTACACGTAATTCGTTCATGTCATTTTCAATCTGAAGGGACTTTCATGCTATTTAGAAACTACACAGTTTGCACTAAAATACTGAGCATTTCTCTTTTAACTGTCCAACAGGGATAATGTGTGATTGTAAATGAGTGAATTTCATTAATTTAATCCAGACCTTTGTGTATGAAATAGTTTGTACAGTCTGTCTTTCTACCTTGGCCGCAGAATATGGATTAGGGGTGAAAATATTTACCTATATTACGTTTTGTTTAAACAATCTGTGTATCCTTCCCTTATTTCTACTATTGTTGATATCAATTTCCACTATTGTTGGTAATGTAAAACTGTATCCTATCTAACTGGAGACTTTTTTGTAATGGTTTAGTTTTCTACTAATCTTATTAATTCTACACACTTAAGATCTATGTATTCCAATAACTATTTTTATGCATTAAATATCCTATTTTGACTGGTCGTTAAACTATCACAAATTGACAGAATTATTTAGGATTCAAGGGGTAACTGAATGGTTAGCAAGGTCGCCTCGTAACCTGAAATCCCTGAAGATTTCCAAACTAGGGTGAAACAGCTGTCTAACGGTTCTTGGTTTTCAGTGGTTGTCAAGGAACTTAACCCTAAGTTCCTATGATTTGTGAAGACGCTCAGAATCGACAACTACTAAGTATGATTATTGACTTTAACTCCAAAACACAAGGATCAATAAGAAATTGTATTCTTTGGCAGTTAAAATCAACAGTCTGTACAAAGTCTGTAAACAAATGTTTTGCAAATAATGTATAGTACTTTTATTCGTCTTCTTTCAACTTTCAACACGATTGAACCATTCGCGCCTTCGAGTTGCCCACCAATGGCTACCAGTTCCAATAAACAAACGTTCAATGTTCGCGTCCATTGACAGTGGTTCTCTAACTAAAGTCAGTTCATGATCTAACTTGAAATCAATAAAATCTTTGCAAAACAATACTTGAACATCTCCTTCTAGGATACATTTACGGGGTCACCGCAAAATGGTGCTCAAACCGAGGACGATTAAAATACGTGCAGAATTTAGATTCTCTCATAGAGTGGTCAACGACTGGAACTCCTTACCTGATTCAGTAGTAACAGCTCCATCGGTGAACGCTTTCAAAGAGAAGTTAGATCTCTGCAGAGATATATTTTGCAAGGATTAACACAGGCCACAAGAGCCTTCTATCCTTATCAACTGAATCTGAATCTGCTTGATGTCTAACTATGATTACAATCAAAAATATTTTGTCACACCTCTATGTGATTACATTATCATAAGTTAGCAGATAAGATCTTCAAAAATTTGGAATATTTTTTTAATCTTTCTATTTATCCAGAAATCTCAGCAGTTAAGTTAAAATTATCTCCGCATTTCCCAATAGTGTGTAATCAGGTTCATTGTACTTGACATGTTGCTGGAATATTCAAATATAAAATGATGTCATTTCGTTCAAATTCTAGCTCAATTTATTATCCCAAGTGTCTAAATCACTTAGCAGCATGCAGGATACTGTTAATCCTAAAACTATTGTTACCTAGATCTCTTTTTTTTATTTCCTTCACGTTCCCCAGTGGAACATAGGGCTTCAAGCTAGTGGCTTGAAGTTTCTGTAGCAGTGCTTATTTTACAGGATGGGGTTGCTAGCCTCATGCCCAACCTTTCCTCTTTACCAGCATTATTTCTGGCTTAGCGAGGTAAAGGAGTGCGTCGGCCGGGGATCGAACCCTGGACCATGTGCACGGTCGGCGAGCGTCCTAACCACTATGCCACCGACGCACACCTAGAAATCTAGTTTATTAAAATAATCCACAGTAGTACCAGTAGGTGTACTTTCAGTATTAAAGACATTTCCAGTGGATTATTCTAAATCAAATTCGCAAGTGGCTAGCTAGAAATAGGGTGGTTTTAACTCATTCCGCACAGGGTACACAGGTAATGACCTAATGACCTTAGCGCCAAATAAGAAAAACTGTTGTTGTTCAGTGTTTAGATCATTTCGATAATCCAGTCAGGAAGCAGCAGTACTGGTTGATGTAGGCCGAATACACCTAATCATCGCAACCAATCAGCAGAATATGGTATCACGTATTTATGGATTATTTTAAGCTTTCGTTAACTTTTTGGGAGATTTTCTCTCAAATTTTTCGCTTGGACAATGATCACAGTGGTTAGTGCGAATTTGTTATGCATCTACATGTTGCTGTTTTTTTTTTTACAGTGGTTCATATTTATTTTTGTTTTTTTTTTTTATTTTAGTCTCACTGCAGTTTAAAAGATTTATGTGAACGAATCTCACCAGACTATAATATTCGTTTCCCGACTTTACTAGAAGGCGGATTTCAGACGCTTGTCATTTATTTGAATAATCTAATATTACCACTATTGTTCAGAGGTTGTGCTGGACGTAAAGGTGATTTAAACTTAATCTATTGAAATATATATATATATATATATTGTTGGTAAATATTTTTACAACTTCCTGTTGATGATAACTGTAATCCTTTGACATTCACAAAAGTACTTGTGTACCAAAATACCCAGAATAAATTCACGAGATACACTTGGATATTTTGGTGTGGTTGTGTTCTCTGAGCTGGATGGTTTGGTTGCGAAGCTTTCATTGCTCTACTGAGCAACATCTTCAGCGCATACTTCGATGTGAAGTGAGCTTTTAGAATTCTCTATGAGTTTATTAGTCATCTCTTCTAGTAACCCTGAACGTGATTGGTTGTTTTTGTGTGACTTCTCACTTTCTAGTTCACTTGTTTTGGTGTTGACTGTCACACAAAAACAACCAATCACGTTCAAGGTTAGCAGAAGGAATGACTAACGACATTCATACCAAAGAAGCAGCCAGCACCGAGACAAGCAAACTAGGGGGTGAAATGTCACACGAAAACAACCAATCACGTTCAGGGTTACTAGAAGAGATGACTAATAAACTCATAGAGAATTCTAAAAGCTCACTTCACATCGAAGTATGCGCTGAAGATGTTGCTCAGTAGAGCAATGAAAGCTTCGCAACCAAACCATCCAGCTCAGAGAACACAACCACACCGAAATCATCCACCTGAGCTACAAATCTTCTCTATTATATCTACATTTGGATATATATTTCAAGTCTTAAAATATGCATGAATACGGTACTGTAGATTTGAGGTAAGAGTATGACACTGATCGATGTTAGCTTTAGATAAAAAAAAACGAAATATGAGAATCTCAAAAAACTGTGGATATATGTCACTGATGGTGAATAATTTCCGTGCATATATTTACCATAATCCTTAGTCATGATATTTGTTACAGTAACATGCGGAAGAAAGCAGTGTAAGACTAGTGTTAGTAACCTTGTTTATTGTCTGAGTAGCTGAGATGAGGAGGCAAAAATGCCACCGGGAGACAATGTTTCGCAATCACAAAAAAACCAACAAATGTGATCGATAATACCTAGAAATATACGATACCCTTGGAAACGATAAAGTAAAGCTGTGAGAATTGAATACCAATTATAATACGGTTAATCTCACCCTTCTAAGGGAGGACAGGAGTAAGACAAGGCTGCCTACTATCGCCAATAATTTTCCTGATTGCAGTAGACTGGATAATGCGACAAATAGCGGGCAATTAGGAAACATGCATAAAATGGACTCACACAAAATACTTGGAGGATCTGGACTTCGCCGATGATGTATGTCTGATTTCCCACAAACTGGAAGACATGCAAGCGAAAAGCAACAAGTTAGCAGAAGAAGCATCAAAGATAGGACTTCAGGGGAACATAGATAAAACAGAGGTGATGAAGATTCCTGGGCAACACCACCAACAGCAACAACAACAACAGACAACAATCAGCATAAATGGGAGGAACCTGAAAGAAACAACCTCCTTTACCTACCTGGGAAGCATCGTTTCAACTACAGGCGGAACTGACGAGGATATCAAAGCAAGAATCGATCGGAAAAGCAAGACAAGCTTTCACTACTCTCAAGTCTGTGTAGAGGTCAACAGCACTCAGCATCAAAAATAAGATCCGGATTTTCAACTCCAATGTGAAGTCAGTGCTACTCACTGTACGGATCAGATACTTGCACTGCGCGTCATAAAGAGCATCTCAAACAAACTACAGACCTTCATTAACAGTTGTCTTCGCTCAATACTCAAGATCAGATGGCCGGCCAGAAAAGATCAGCAACAGGGATCTCTGGGAGCGAACCGACCGGGAACAGATTGTGCAACAAATAGGCAAAAAGAAACGGAGATGGATTGACCATACTCTGAGGAAACCATCAAGTGACATCACTAGACAAGCCATTTCTCGAGTGGAACCCGAAAGGGAAGCGACGAGTTGGTCGTGAGTGCGAGGGTGACTTGGAGGAGGTCATGTGAAGAGGAGATGAAAACGTGTGGGCAGACATGGAGCCAGGTGAAGACTCTAGCAGAGAACCGAACTCAATGGAGACGCACGGCTGAAGCCCTATGTTCCTGTAGGAATTAAAGGATACAATAATAATTATAATAATAATAATCTCACCACTGAATTAATTAGATGCTCTAAGTTTATGTTTTCCCTGGTATATTTTTATCTCTCTCTCTCTGCCTAGGGTAGATTTAATAAATTCATTAAAATTCCTGTAATTCTTATTCTTCACCCCTTTCATATATTTATCGTGTTTATCTATATTTTAATCATCTATCTGCTTCATCTTTTTAATATGACGTAAGTACTGATTTTATGAGATTTCTACTTAATTAAATTAATGAAATGTTTATATTATCATTTATATATCTACTTTCATTAAAACATATCCCCATCTGCGTCGATTACTTGTACTAATGTTATCACTGACACTATTATTATCATCATTATTACTGGTATAATCAATATTATTTAAAATTTATCACTGACCCATATATCACTGTCACTGGTTGGATGGAGCTTCACGTATACTTAATGCTTGATAAAGATCTAATTACAAACAATACTGTTCGTTTACATATCATCCATTAAAATAATTATTGTCTCACTGAAATTAGATACTATCGTGTTTGGTTTTGTAGTTATAATGATAAAATATGCAATATGAGACTAAAATACGCAATTATTATTGAAGATATGATAATGACGATAAAATAGACGTGACATATACAGTTAACCTCTAGGGTCCATTTGAGCCTACATGTTTATGACAAAATAAAAAAGAATCATAAAAAAGCATAATCAACAAATTGTCTGTTGATTGTAGATAGATACATTATTACCCTACATAGTAATAACACTGATGCTGAGGTCTTTCTAGAAGTGTTCAATACAGCTCACGTACAAGTTAAGTCCAACAATGAAATAGAGAAAGTTGATCATTTATTATTGTGTTGAAATCTTATTATTGAGACGGTTAGACGGTATGATTAAGTGAAGCATTTTAATAAGACGTTTTCGGGTCAGTCATTATAAGCATTTATGATCATTCGTTTTTTTTACCACCTTAATTCATTAAGTCTGTACAGCTTTGAGAATTAGCAGAAGTTAGAATCCATATACCATTGGATTTAGTCTCAGTAGCTGAATGGCAGTGCGCTGACCTCGTACACGTTTCTCTGCTCTAACGTACAATCATGAGTGGTCGCGGCAAAGGTGGAAAGTCTCGAGCGAAGGCAAAGACTCGGTCTGCTCGTGCTGGTCTTCAGTTCCCAGTTGGTCGTGTACATCGTCTTCTGAGCAAGGGGAACTATACTGAACGTGTCGGTGCTGGAGCACCCGTCTACCTGGCGGCTGTCCTCGAATATCTGGCCGCCGAAGTACTCGAATTGGCTGGCAATGCCGCCCGCGACAACAAGAAGACCCGTATCATCCCTCGTCACTTGCATTTGGCCATCCGCAACGATGAGGAGTTGAACAAACTGCTCGGTGGTGTTACCATCGCTCAGGGTGGTGTCCTGCCTAACCTCGTAACTTGAAGTTCCTGGGTTCAGTCTCCGATGGGTTCATGGATGCGTAATGCTAAAATGTCACAAGTTAAGATAAAAACAGCTACCCAGTACTCCCTGGTTTTCAATGATTATCTAAATTATGCTGGTTTATGAAATATGACTTCAAAATTATTTTCATTTTTGATATTATTATATTTACTTGTTTGGCTGTAGTTTCACAACTTATTGTAAATCCAAGTCCTTTGCTATCTAATCGCTAGGATGATAGTATGACCTTCGGCTGAAGGATTACTATTGATATATTGAGTGATAATTGGAGGTGAAGTGAAAATCTAGATATCAGCAGGATTCAAACCAGCGGCTTCTAAATTATTAATTTGGCTCTCTACTCACGTTGATTGAAGTCAGATGATGACGTGCTTATCAGACTGATCTCGTAGGTCAGTTGGATCAGTAATCGCTTTAAGAGAACTGTTGTTTTTCCTCACTACCATAGTACACATACACAATTTGCTTACACACCCACAACAACTTACCGCTTAGGTTGTAGAGGCACATAAATGATTTTATTATTATTACCATCACTGCTGTGATTGTTGTTATCGTCAACTACTGATATACAAACTCAAACATTGATTCCATGAACCAGAGTGGTACCAATTGTCTACTGTGAGTAACTTTAATATGAAATTGCAAAGCTCGACATTGTGAATGTATAGCTTGATAGTAAATTTGTTTAAAATTGTCTCTTATCTGAATATTGTGTTCTTAATTTTAAATTGGCGCTTATTAAGGTATTCATGAGAAATAAGAGAAAATATGTACTCCTTTAAATTTAGTTTTCTGACTGCCATTATAGAGCTATTTTAATCAATAAGATTTTGCCTCGATATTTTCTTTTAACTGTAATAGATTCACCAACTTTATCAAGAGACAATGTCTTCTATGCGCTGGACGTATGCATAACAGCCTTGTTTGCAAGTGACAATGTATCTAATGTTGTTGGACAAAAGACGGCACGTAACTTGACTGCTATGAGTAATTCAACACAGCAACAACAGCAACAAGCATGCGAATCTAGTCCATCTGGTCCGTTATCAAGTAAACCAAGGGATAAAACTAATAAAAGTCAAACTGGTACCACAGGTTTTGAACTGCGCATTAATCCAAGTATTTCATTTAATCGTCCAGCGGCTGGATCGATAGCTCAAGAGAACACTTCGAGCCTTAGTACTAGTAATAATAATAGCACTTTGATAAAACTGATTAATCTGTCCAACCTGTCAACAGATTATGATGGTGGTTCATATGCAAGTTTAACACGTTTACTAAGTCCATCGCTAGTTGCAATTCTACCTGAAGACTATGGCCCGTCAGTTGCTCCAGCACAAATTACTGTACCAAATAAATGCCAGGGAAAACAGGAAAGTTTTCAATTGAAATCACGTCCTTCAGTTATATCACCGTTAAATAAAACAAATATTTTGACTCAGAAAACTCGCCCACAAGTTTATCATTCCAAACTTTTAGATCCTACTTCAGTTTGTCTTGGATTTCCTACAGAAAAAGTCAGTAATTTCAAGGCTGAGTTTTCACACAGGTGAGCTATTGTAATACATGACCTAATTGATGTTTGATAACTAAACTACTCACACTGTCTAGTTCTTTTGCACATGTTTTGTCCTTCATACCGATTAATCTAAAGAGCATGCATGATTTAGCATAAGGTGATATTCCGTAGTAAGTCACTGTATTTCTCTTACCAGCAACAGTCTTTAGCTGAAATGTAGACGATCGTTACGCTATTCATTTCTGCACTTGGCCTCCTACTGAAGAGAAGTCAAAACAACCACTAATCATGCAATATGTGATATTATATGCACTGACCATGTATTCTTAATAGCTCATAATATTTAAGATGTCTTTTACCAGTTTATCAAAGAATGCTGAGATGTATAATGTACAGTGGATAATGAATATGAATGCATCAGTGGCACACCTGTTAGGACGCTCAACGACCATGCACATGGTCGGGGGTTCGATCCCCGGCCGACGCACTCCTTTACCTCGCTAAGCCATAAATAAAAGCTGGTAAAGAGGAAAGGGTGGGCATGAGGCTAGCAACCCCATCCTGTAAAAATAAACACTGCTACAGAAACTTCAAGCCTCTAACTTGAAGCCCTATGTTCCACTGGGAACGTGAAGGAATAAGAAAAAATTAATATGAAGCAGTTCGACTTCAAAGCCATTGTGACGAAACACATTGCTATAGGTTAAGAAAAACACGTTACAAACTCTATCTTAATTTCAAAAGTTCCTGTCACTTAAACTGAAGAGGTTTGATGTCATCTAGAATTTAGTGTTATTGGCGAAATTTGCTGGACGGTAGAAATTCATCCATAAATTCGGGAAAATGCAACTTGATATCATGAAGTACAATACAGTAAAAAAACGGCGATTTTGTTTATTAATCCCAACTTCATAGATAGCTACACATTTGGAAGAATCAAGCACAGAATAAACCATACCATTTTGTTTTCTTTCATTCATGGCGAAATATAGATTTCAAGTGACAGTTGTTTTGTTTAGTGGTTACGCGCTCTGTTACCATCACTGTTTGTATTTTACAATTCAGTTAATAGTCCTGTATTTGTCTAGATTAATACTTTTAACCAAATTTCTTCATTGATCTTTCTGTTTCCAATAAATTAAATATTCCTGTTATGATAATTAGAGAGCATAGTTTCGTCGTCGCGTGATTTTGGTAAGCTGTTCAGTTTTACCCACCAGTTAAAATAACTATAATTAAATACTCACTGCATTTTGTTTGCTTATTGATTAATATTCTTTGTTTTTCTAAAGTTTGGTTTGTTATGTTTTTACGAGTTGATCACGGACTGATATCAATTAGGCAACCATTGAAAACCAGGGAGTACTGGACAGCTGCTGTTTCATCCTAGTTTGGGAATCATCGCCAGTACGCACCCACTGGGATTCGAACCCAGGACCTTCCGGTTACAAGGCAAGCTCGTATACCATTCAGCCACTGGGACCTGATTCAATGGCTCATGATTCGTGATTTAGCGCGACTTCAGCCATTGTCGTTGGTGGGACATCCATCCACACACGTGACGTCTAATTGGACCTCACTGGTCACGACTTCTCACTAGAACTCCATCCTGTAGCAAGTCACTAGCGAGCATCAGATTAATTTCCTAAAGTTTGGTTTGTAAGGGTTTGTTATGTTTTTACGAGTTGATCACGGACTGGTTTTCAATGGTTCTCTAATTGATATCAGTCTGTGATCAACTCGTAATATTCTTTGGTTTTGAATTGTTACCATTCCCATTTGGTTCTTGATTCTTGCAGAATCTAAATTTGTCTATCTCTCGAAACCGTTTCTAGGTAATTATTTTAATAAAGTATTCCCATCCTACTATACAATAATGATCTGTTGTGTTTTTTAGTGAATGCAAATATGACCGACCACACAGCCTCTGATGACAACTTGGTTGATAAAGCGAAATTTTATTCGCTGGTTTCTGTCAGTTTTGACGTAGCAAACACGAAAATATTCAGAAAAATGTCTATTTTGAGTTACACGCAACATAGACTTATTTGTGTATGATGTGTGTATCATACGCTTTAGCTAGTTTTCTGATGAAGTATTAATGGCTGCAGGAGAAGAAGTACAAATGAATGATCCATTTCAAAGAAGAATTATCTGTTTTCATTTGACCAATGGTCGATACATTTTGTTTAAAATTCAGTCATTACTTTCTTAAAATAAACAATTAAAGTTATTAAGGCAGGAAGTATTGAATTGATAAATTTCATAAAGGTTTGCTGGCTTTTTATCCTATATAGGAGAATTTCGCTAGCTAACAACTTTTACCTTAAAATATAAACCTATTCATCATGATAGCACCATTGTTACGCCGTATTAATATTTTCAGAATGTTTTATTCTATCACCAAAAAATCTTATGTGTATAGTTTTACTCAGCATTCTGCAATATTTACTGGTGGTCATAGCCATTTTGGTTGTTCACTAAAAACATTTCTTTAAGAACGGGTATCAACTTAACAGTGTGCGTAAGATAAAAACAACGGCGTGGTGTTTTCATATTCCACAGTAACTAACATCCTACTAGCACATGGCTGGTGTACAAAAGCAGTATTACTATGCAGTGTACGTCCTGTTATTTTTTAAATATTCTTATTACATTCATGTCACTATAAGTGATGCTCTTGTTTTTAACATTTTTTTTAAAATTAACAGATTGGGATTTTTGGGTCTGAAGTTAATTCTTGTTGCATATACACGTCATGCAGCTGTCAGAATGAAGTTATTGATTGCTGCATTAACCCAGCTAGCCTTGAACGGTCAAAATGGTATTCAGTTGTGGAAATTTTTCGATTTCCTTGTGACATACAGACCACCATTATTTGTTCACCTACTACCGTTTATACGATTTAAAGTGAGTACTACTAATTATTGAAAAAATTTATCATTATTTTCTCATACATCAAAGAGTTCACGATTGATACAACTGGCTCCATAGGACTGGTTAAACTGATAGATACATGAAGCCTAGGCACTTCATTTTTCAGATTCTGTATCACAACAAGAGTGTAGGAAATATGAACTGAAATCAACAGTATTAGAATTTTGTAAATCGGTTTTCTTATCTTGTTGATATCAACTTCTCTCGGTACATCACCTCTAAATTGCAGTCTCCTTTAGAGAACCTTATTAAAGTGTTCGACTTTCGTCATCATCTGCTACCTTACGTACTTTCATAGATAGCTAATTTTATTAAAGTCTTCAGCTCACCTTAACCCACATCTTTCGAACAAACAGCTCTCACCCTATACCTCAGTGTCTTTATCAAGTTTATTTTATGTCAGAGGGGTATGAAGCAATATAAATGCGTGTATCGCACTGTCCAAGTACTTTTCCTATGTAGATTTCTTTTCATGTTGACGTTTGTTCTTCTTTTGAAAAGGACATCCAAGGAGGCGATTTTTCTTCATAGACGAATTTGAGAGCTGAATGTATCTCATGGAAATGAGATATTACGTGAGTTTGCCTAAATCGTTTTCACGAAGGATAAATGTTTCATCCATCTATCAACAACATCATGTTAATGGATAGTTCTCTAGTCTACTTAGAAGGAAATCCGCTGACATGAGAATCGATAGGGAGCCTATCGCTTCCTCATATTGTTAAACATTTCTCTCTTCTATTCTGCCGTCAAAAGAATGACAGACAGACTGCGTAAAACAGTGTGATGAAGGAATATTTATGAGACATCTTAGAAACTTTTGGTTCACATATACACCAATTATAGTAATCAAGTTCTTTTTTACTTTCTCATTTGAGTGGGCTAAACAAAGACTGTAAAACGACCTCTAATATTTTGCATGTGCGAAAGCACGTTCTCAGAGATGATGAAACAAAATCCCCAGCAGAAGATAAAAACTAAACGAAACAATCCTTCTAAGTGTACACCGACCAGAACAAAAATCCGTATAAGACTTTATCTGAGGAAAAGCAATATACTCCTTGTGTCCCCATCTGTTAGGACTGTCAGAAATAATGAGAAGTTCATCATATGCATCCAAAAACAGAGTGACAGTCAGCCAAACTGAAACGATGTAAAGCCTAACTTAAAAACATCATGTTAAATTTCGATAACATTCTTATAGCAAACAGAATGACAGGGAACTAGCAGACGTACCAAGGCAATATTATAGAGAAGATAGGACATGAAACATAAATAATACCCTATTACATGACTGATTGGTGTCAACATAGAACTTCGCACCGATGTGCGGCAGTTCAAGTCGCCACACTCCATGTAGCACACAAAGGAAGAGAAGAAAGTAAAAGAAATGCATAATATAGACAGTAAACGGAGGTGTGAGACAAAGGAATAGTAATAACGAAGAACAATATAGTTTTATTGGGTATTAAAAGTCACAAGGAGTGGGTGCATCTGCGCCAGCCATTGAGAACGATTTTGAGCCATATCACCAATTGTCTCCAGCCTTCATTGGTTTTCGCCGTCCCGAGGACCCCAACCAGGAAGTCTACACCTTCCTACGTGGCTTAAACTAACAGTTGTGAATTTCATTGACTGATGTCATGTTTTGGTTTGACCACCACTGGCTATTTCCCAACCTGACCCTATGTCAGCTAACATTGCCCGTCGAGGAAGGCGATGACTAGGCATACGTAACACATGTCCTAAACATCTCAGTCGATGTAGCTTCACAGCCTCGTCGATTGATTTCCCCTCCTTACCTAGCATTCGTCCGAAGCGTAACCTCAATATTGCTCGCCCTATTATACCACTTCACACGGGAGATGAAACACAGGCACCTCTGATCAAAGACGGCTAGCCTTTCCCTGTCTTCAACTCTCAATGGCCAGGTCTCACTCACAGCCATAAAGGAGGACAGAGAGGACTGCTGAGAAGGACAGACGTCCTGTAGTCGATAGCCAGCTGGATATCACGTCTACGCCAGAGACGGCGTAAACTGGCATATGCGAAACGAGCCTTCTGTATCTGTGCTGAGATTCCGTCAGCGATCAGCCCGTTGGGGCTGATGCAACTTCCTAAATAAGTGAAGTGATCAACGTGCTCTACCACTTCACTCCCTACTTCTAAGCTTGGGGTCAATTTAGTCCAGTCCTGTAACATCATCTTGCATTTGACAGGAGCGGATCACATGCCAAACATTCGAAGATTGAAGCTCAAGGTGTCCAGAAGACTCTGCCTTTTGTCAGCGTCTTCACCTAGGAGGGAGGACTATATCAACTGCATATTCTCAGTTGAAGAGATTATTCCTTGGTAACAAGTCAATCCTTGAGTCTCTGAAGTTAGTTAGAGTTGAGTCCATTAGTACGATATCTGTTATGGAATTAAACAGAAATGGGGATAGTGGACAACCCTGACGGACACCACTGGTTGTCACCACACTTGTCAGATGACAACTCTCCGTAGGCTCTCACCTGGCTGACTGCATGAGTTCATGTAGAGTGCCTTGATCAGTGTGATGTTTTTTCTCGGAATTCCCTTCACAATCAAACATTGCCATACTACCTCTCGGTAGACGGAATTGAATGCCACTTTCAGGTCAAGAAATATGACTATTGTTGAACGCCGGTAAGTATACCTATGTTCCAGAGTAATTGTCGAAGGGTGAAGATATGATCAATACACTCTCTTCCTGGTCTAAAGCCTGCCTGGTTCTCTCGTATTTGCCCCTCCAGAGCACCACTTAGTCTACACATGATTATTGAGCCTAGAACTTTAGATACCATATTGGTCAAGCTGATACCCCTGTGACCATCCCAGGAAGACTTGTCTCCCTTCTTGTATGTCGGGATAATCCATGACTTAAACCTGCCAGACAGGATTGTCTCTGATTCCCAGTACCTTAGTTAACACAGACAATAAACCGTCTCCATCACCCTTAAACACCTCTGAAGTCATTCCATCAAGTTCCGCTGCCTTGCCCCTTTTCCGACTAGCGACAGCCGTTGTAAACTCAGTTAGAGACGGTGGACCTGTGTTTATATCCCATTCAGGGAAGTGTTGGGTGTGTATGTGAGGCCGTAGACTAATTAAATTGCTGCTCAAAGTGTTCTTTTCAACGTTCTAGTAGTCTACTTTGGGAGCTAATTATGGTGCCGTTTTTCTCGGAGATTGTTTCACTTATCATTAGCGCTTTAACATCTGTTTCCCTGATAAGTTTAAATAGTTGTCTGCTTTACCTATCGCCGATGCCTTTTCCATTTCTTTCGCTTTTGTCGCTCACCACTGTTCACAGTAGTTACGAAGACTTCTTGTTAGTTTGCATTTGAGCAGCACCCGCTCCTCATCATGTTCGGAGCTCGCCAGAATCAGTCTTCTTGCGTCAATCAGTTCGGATGCGGTAGTGGAAATCCACTGGCTCTTGCTAACTTTTGTTTTTAGAGTATTACCAGCTCTTACAGCACATTCACCTTGTTGGCCTGGTGGGGTTAAGTGAATGACCATACTCGGGTCTTGTATGCGTGTCTCCGAAACACAACATACATCCATGGCTCGAAATGCCAGAGTTCTTGCTAGTGATGCTTGTTGTCCAATTTGGCAGAGGGTCCTGACGTTGAATGCTTCTATACAAAGTTGGCGACGCAGCTTTAAGAGGCTGTTTCTATTACTCTCATCGTTGTTTGTGGTCACAGAGTGATGTGAAGATGACTCACTAGCCTGAAGAATAGTACCGACTGTAATAGGTAAGTGAGATGATGGTGAGGTGGGTACAGAAGAATGATGCTCAGGAATGCTTCGTGTGCTTTTGGAAGTGTGTGGGCGGTTGTTACTTCCCGGCTGCCCACACCGTGGAAGTTGATTGATTCTTCGAGTACCTGAAACAGAAAGAGGGTTAGTGTTGCGTAACCGCAGAGCCCAGGGGACAACTGCTTGAAGCCGGCTACACACGGCCTGTATAAACTGGTTTCTTGGATTGTTTCCGTATTAGTAAATTTACCGCCGGTTACGGACCACCTTATGGTAAGTCGGGATGTACAACTGTTGGGCTCGACCTTTTCTAACCCGCTCTCTCCAGAGTGGAGAGACAGCATAGCTGGTCATCTGAGGGAAACACCTTACTGCTGTTACACCCTTGTTTTCCAGCAGTACAACTTCGCGCACAGACCCCCAGCATAGTGTAAAAAATTCTCACACCATTCCGGTAACTGCTTTTAGTCTAATCGCTATCCTAACAACCTTCCTGGTATGGTAGGGCCTGCAGGAACAGTAGTTCCAGCCAGTGTAGCTTGTTAGGTCATTGCGATATGCAAGCCCGACCACCACGTCAAGGTAGCAGCTATCGGTCGCGCCCTATTACATGCTCTAATACTGAGTTCTGACATCATGTTCATTAATAATCAGTAGGAATAATAACGATGATATCGACAGTAAACAGCTAGTGGTGATTACCTCAGAATAAAATGTACCCTTTAACAAGTGTAAAAAAAGGAAAACTTCCTAAGCTTAGTAATATAAAGAGGAAATAGAATATCGCTTAGCTCAGCGTATGATTGCCTTGATAATAACAAAAGATTTCCGTGTTGTGATGCGTTCTCTAGCCTTATAATGAGAGAAGGTAAGGGCTGTGTTGCATTGGTTGATACTGTTTAATTCAGTAACTTTACTGATGCTTCCATAATTATTTTGCTGGATAATATCAGCTAACAGTTTGGTATTGGAGTTTAACTTCCTTCATCGCAATAGGTGAATAAAATGGTCTTGTAAAGTTATGAAGATTTCCTATTTCTGCGCACAGAACTCCGTTAATGACAAAATTCATATATGAAGTAGCGTATGAGTCTTTATTTCACTAGCTGTTGAAGAAAGCAATAAAGACAGAAATATATATATATATATATATATATATATATATATATATATATATATGGATGACTAAGTATACATTATATTCGGACAAAAACAGCTTTTCTGAGCTAAAATCTTATTCTCTGTGAACGCGACTACTTCTAAGTCTTGATTTTCTAATTCAAGACGGTGATATGGTACAATTTAAAATGACGACTAAAACAGCATTATGTGTTTATAAACTGTCGTGGAGAAACTGTAGGCTGAAACTGAATTCCAAAAGGCAAAAATAAGTCTTGTGAATATCCCTTTCTTTTATTTTAGCCTATATTGTGAATCTCTTTAAATTTCTCTAACCTTTAATACTTTACAGATGGCGTTGCTCCAATGTGCAACTCAAGGAGAACAAGCATATCAGCAGATTGTCAACCAAAAATTAATTGGGTTACATTTGCCTATTCCACAAACTATCGCTTCTGTTTTAAGAAATCTCTCAAATGAACTTCAAATGATCAATTCTGATATCAAGGTATAGTTTACCTTTATTTATTTAGTTACATAAGAATCAAAATATAAATCTTTACATGGACAGTGAACATTGAATTTCGTTTGCTTACGTTCACCACGAAGAATATAAGGACAACACTTCACGACTGTGATTGTATGGTTGTTCTTTACAGACAACTTCAGCTGGAGTTGTCTTTGAATTCATAAATACCACGATACTCTTAGACGAGACTATATGATGTTGGAGATGGCTGCTGTATGTAGAAACCATTAAGTGTTATAACACATTGACTTGTCTAGTAAGCTTGTGATATATCAGTGTGACGTTAAAATACTTAATATTTATAGTTCAACTACCTTAATATAGGTGTCTCTACAATACTTGAAGAATAGGTTGAATGACTGGTTAGTTTCTTTTATGTTTCTGTCTATTATCAAAACATAGGTAGGGTGAATACGTGTATTCCCCTCTAACTATGAAGATTGAGTTACTGGAATAGTTATCTTAGTTGGTGTTAAATTTATTTCGCATCCTTACAATAACATTTCGGAAAATCCAACTAACCTATTTAGATAGGGTATAACGTGATGTATATTAACACATACGAAACTAAACTACAGAGAGATTCTCTAGCATCAATTTTAAAAAGCTATGAATAACATTTCCTCATAACACAAATATGAACTGCGTTCCCTGCTTATTTTGGAGTTTTGTTCTTAAAGTAAAACACATGAAAGGGAGTTTGCTTGTTTCAGTCATATAACACGTCCCAGGAGAAAATCATTCCATCGGTCCTGATCAAACGGTGATACCGAATATAAAATCAGTTAGTTATACTACTACTGTAACAACAGAAGACAAGGGCCAGGTAACAGATCGTTTATTAAGGAAATCAAAGCATATTTATATATTTTCATGCACATTATTATAGATTAGTTAAGCAAACAAACACAGTCTTCTGATTGGTTGTTTCTCACTTAAAGTCAATCTTTCATCTCTTTGTGACTGTTTCTTGAATGTCAGATCATCTATATGTTAACTGTATCCGCCTACGCAAAGTCTGCTGTAGTCGGTTTTGAATCAATCTTTGTTCATATTGTCTCACGACAAATCTTGAGAACGTAAACATTGACGTAAATTACTGTCTATCAACTTGACTAGTAGACAGCTTAGTATCTTTGATTACTTTGGGATGTTCGAGATGATACATAACGTTTGGATTAGACTCAGAGTGGTGAATTAAAAAGGGAATCAGTTTTTGAGCTGATGGATAATCTGGTCGGGGTATGTTTCATATAATAATAGGCTACCACTTTCCTAGACTAACACTAACAATGCTAGCTGAAGCAAAATTAGGTTTGTAATCAAACCGAAAGACAATGCTCAAACTTTTACCGACACAAAGTGGTTTGTCAATATGTGAAGTTTGTAGCTGATGATCAGAACCATGTAAATAGATGAATGTCTATCTGAAGTCTCTGGGATTATAAGGACTGGTTCCCGGATATCCCTTGAGACGTTTAAAAAATCACTAACAATAGTCGCACTATATTTTCACTCTTTATAATATTCGAATTTTTGAACATACTCTTTTACTCTGCATTCATTATCATGATCATCTGTTGGACTATCACTTCTATCCCCTTTTTCGTGTTCTGAAGAGAGATAGTATGAATAGATGAACTTTTGCATATAGTTCTACGTTGATCTATCAATCATGAATCATATTCTGATTTTTAGAGTGACTTGAAAGACTAATTTGCTGTTTGAGTTAGACTTGAAACTTTCTGCATAATAATTGTCATCATAGATGCTCTTAACAAATAGTTGAGGACTATCACTAAGTAATAATAAAATGAAACCAGGCCTAAAACTAGTATCACTAGGATTCATAATTAATACAGGTTAGTTAGTGGATTACAACTGATTATGTCATTGGAATATATACATAGTACAGCTACTTACCTAAGTGACCTCGTTTATTCTGTTCCTGTTATATATGTAAACACTGTAGTAGGTTTTCTGGGTTAACTAAAGAATAGTATTCTACCTATAAACCAACCACACAGGGAAATAGTTTACAGCCATCTTGTAAAGCATGTGTAGACCCTGCTCTAATTTCTCTAATAATTTCTTAGTGTGGGATCGGAAATAGGTTTTAAGCCAATTATGAGAGAAATATCCAGTTTAGATAAACATTTTATTAATTTAAACATATAGCCAATTAACAAATATATGACTCCTTTGTTCTGACTGAATGGTTCGCTATTAGTTGTATCAACAGCATTGAGAAGATTACTAGCCAATAGTGATAAGTTATGTAATTTCAGGCCATTGAGTGATAACGCTCACCAGGCACTTGAATGGAACCCGAATAGAAAGTGACGAGTTGGGCAGTTGTGGAGCCAGCGAATAGAGTGAAATGGAACACAAGGGACGAATAATAATCATAATATAATGTAACTTAGGTGTTATACTAAAAGTTGCATTATTGACATAACATCAGACCTACCTCGAATTCTAAATTAACTTCTTTTTCTTTTTCGCTCCCTTACACCTGACGTACAGGTTTTCAGTAAAAGAACTTATCGTGAAATAACTCCCCCGAGAACATCAAGTTTGCACGATTCACTGCGTCGCTTACGCTCATCAGATAATACCACTTCTGTTTCTGCTCGTAGTAATAAACATGCCAAACTAACTAAAATGGTTTCGAAGGACGCCAGTGAACACACGCATAAGTCTTCACATAAAATGCCTTCCAAAGACCATGCAAACCAAAGGCCAAGATTGCATGTTTTAGCTTCAGTTACATCGGATTCTACGTGCAGCATAGATTATCGTGAAGAAAATATTATTGGGATCTCAAGTGAGTGATATTTTTTTGGCTCTTCAATTTATTATTTTCCGTTTTAGCTAAATTTTTCTGGTTGCGTAAGTTTATAAGGATTGTTGCAGCTACTCACAAGTAGGATGATTATCCAAAGAGAAAATGTATCCGAGTAACAAAATAATTTGCTTAGTTTGCAATTTGAAGTATTTGAAGATCATTTAGTACGAAGAAAATTCCCACTTGAGACTGATGTATGTCAGGAGTACTCATTACTAGGTTCAACTGTCCTAGTTTATGATAGTTGGTCAATTCGCATATTTTATCTTTCGCAGGCAGATGTTTTTCCAGATAACCCTTCATGTGATGCCAGTTTGCGACACAAAGACTATCTAGTAATCAATCAAATGCGTAAAACTGTCATATCAGAGAAGGTTTTCTAAGTAGTGATGCAGGATACTGAATGGAATATAGAAAATACTTAATTTCCCCCCCCATAGTAATATAAGTAACAGTTTGGAAATCTTCTGAACTCCACAGTATAAAGAATAAGATTCGGTTTTTCAACACAAATGTGAAGTCAGTCAGTTCTTCTATACGGGTTAGGAACTTGCAGTGCGTGTCGCGAAAAGGATTTCCAACAGGTTGCAGACTTTCATCAACAGTTGTCTTCGCTGGCTCCATACTGAAGATCAAATGGCCAGCCAGAAAGAATAAGTAACAAGAAACTCTGGCAGCGAACCAACCACGAGCCGACTACTCAACAAATATGTAGAAGAAAATGAAGATGGACCGGGCATACATTGAGGAGACCGTTAAATGAAATCGCGTGCCAGGCCATCACTCGAGTGGAATCCAAATGGGAAGTGATGAGTGGGTCATCCGAGGGTGACATGGAGATCGTGTGAGGAAGAGATGAAAGTTTTGGCAATCGTGGACCCAGCTGAAGAGGACGGCAGAAAATAGATTGAAGTGGAGATGTGTTGTTGAAGTCCTATGTCCCACACGGAACCCAAGGGAATGATAATAATATAAGTAACTGAAAACACGTTAACTGTACGGACTTATTCATCACGAACAATCATTCATCAATTTGAAATTAAACACTGTAAATTGTCCTTTTATGACATATTTCATCTTAAAATTATTTCTTGATATACAAGCATTCACAAAGTGAGTGAAAATCATTGTAATTAACATTAATTTCTCCTGGACGAAAATAAAGTAAATGTGAATTTCATTTTAGATTTGGACAAACAGTTGCGCGGAAGAAAAAGCATTAACCAAGAATTCAAACAAACTGTTGTAATACAAAACCCACGGAAACGTATTCACGCTCATGAGGGTAGCTGTCTTTTAATGAGAACCCGAGACTACAGCCAAACAGATCCTATCTTAACTGGTAAGTACGAAGCTCAAATACATAAGGCTCTTTTTGATGTGGTTGAGCCACAAATCTTCTCCATCATACATAAGGCTCTGCATTCGATAATTTTGTTTGTTAGCTGCTAATCTAACTAAACTAAAACTTCATTCAGAATCTGATAGAATACTCTGACTTTGGAGGACTTGCAAGCATAATTTTCGGACAGTATCCTATATTTTACAAAAAAGGTTGATACAAAGCAAAACAATCTAATTTTAAAATCCTACGCAAAATTCGTGAATCAGGTGCGACTACTACGTCTAATGTAAATGTCTCTTCGGAAGCGAAAATTCACAAGCATTTCATCATTCTTTCATTTCATTCAAAACTTAACGTAAGATGTAGGACGCCTTGTTTTAAAAGGTTACGTCTGTGAATGGGAAAATATTGAATAAATCCTTCTCTCTAGTTTGACGCATCATCAATAAGAGTCCTTGATCTCTTTGATGCCAAGTTTAGAACAAAAGTCTACTTTTAAAGTTCAGCAAATTCAGTAGATTTGTAAATCTAACCTGTGATATAACACTTTGTGTGAAGGTCACTCACATTTAAGATTTTTGATAACTCTTGGAATAAAACTGAATAAATATGGAATTCTCTCCTGATCCCAATTCTCTCATAAATGGAACTACCTTTCAGCTACCAGTTGCCTTTTTACCGAAAACTACACAACTGTGACTGACCCATTTATCTGTTTAAAGTGCATCAAGTAGTTGCTGAATGGTAGACATACATTGTGACTGTCTAGTGCAGTGTTGAGCGTAATTTCTCGATATTGCAATGACAGAAATCTTAGAGAATCAACCTGAATGGTGAAACGACGATTATGTTGTATTCAAGACTTTAATATTGCCACTCTGCTCAGCTAAACAAGTCAATCCCCCTCTGTTTATTAAAATTAGAAATAACATCATTGTAAGACGCATATGTTAATATATGTTCTACCTATAAATAGAAATCTCATTCTGTATATTCTACAGATATCCTCAGAGTACAAAACGCTTCGTTTTGAAAGTGGGATATATTTCAACAAATAATTTTAATTCTTTTTCCACAGCTTCAGCAGAAAGTTTAGTAAGGAGGAGTCAGAAGGCCGGACACAGAAGGACTAGAACACAGTGAGTTTTCACCGAAGGGTTTTAAAAGAATATTTTAAACTATAATACTTTTATATGAATTTCGGCTTATGAGAAGCACTGATTGTACCAAAATTTATGAGTAAAATGCCTGTAAAAAAATGTTTCAGTACTACAGTTACCCTAATTTTTCGTGGCAGCGTCTGGAGGTCAGTCATACTTTATGCAATGGAGTTTCATCTCTTATACAACAAGATCTCAAATTCCTTTAGTAAAGTGAGCAAATTCAGTGGTCTTCATTCCTTGATCAACGAAACAATTTTCGTTTCACACGTATTCTTGACAGTCTCCTATAACTCTATTTCCTTTCCTATAAGCAATCTATGCATTCGTAATACTTTATTTACTTATGTTAACACAAACAGTTTACTACGTAGATGATCAGAAATGCAATACACTATGATATAAAGTGGAGAATAAGTCGAAACTCATTACAAAATATGAACAAACAGATAAGCTTTATCACAAAGTATATTTTAAGCGAGTGTTCTTCACTTCCTATTTCTTCCTGTACTAGGAAAACAGAACTAGAGCAGGATAGCCATACATTATGATCCTGAGGCGTATTTGAATATACGTCAAGCCAATGAGTTACCTGTTGTGTTTGATCCATATCAAGAAGTTGTGACTTAATAATAACACATGATTGACTTAAGTGTGTATTTGAAGAAGCCTAACAGAATAGTACGGGGTTCGACTCCTGGCCGGCGCACATCTCTGACCACCCCCCTCTTGTCGGCCGCAAGCCCAACAAAGAGGGGGATTGGGTATAAGGCACGAGGTTACGCGACCCCATCCCGTAAAAACACCACTAGTGGTGAAACTTCACAGCCTTAAGTTCAACTGAAAAAACGCAAAGGAATAAAATAAAAGATAAACAGAATGTGTTGCATCTGTTTGTGCACTGCAACAGAAGACGTTAAAGAATACAGGTTATCGTTGAAATGTTTATTTCGCATTAACAAAATACTCTAAATTTTACTTCCCCACTAGTCAAGTCATTTCATCTTGTCAATAAATAGATTATTTACAATGGTTTATTAAGAAACTGAGGTAGATTAGCAGTTGAATAAGTGGATTCCAACTAATTCTGAGCAAGATATCTTCAGATCTCCAGCTTTACCACAGCATCCAAATGCTGATGAAACCTTGGTTTTACTTCTATCATATAGTGTTAAGTTATTAAATGGACAGATGAACTGGGAAAAAATTATCGCCTAACATTTTGTATTGGTCGTAGTTGCTGCACTTCATATCGGTACAATGATATAAAATCAGGCAGGGTAATGTTAATTACTATTATGAGTTGTAAGGAGAGAAATGTGAAGAAAATCAACCTATATAATGGTTTTTAAAAAGTGCATAGGAAACTGAAGTAATAAAAATCCAAAGAGTAAGTGAACATTCGTACCACTGAGAATTGTTTTGAACGAACTTACGTGAATTTTTTTAATATTCCCTTTTGGTTGTTTAGAGAACGACTACGAAGTTCGGTGAATTGTTCTATCCACCTTCCACTCTAACTACTGTAAATTACTGATATAAATGGTTAGATGAACTCCAAGAAATATATAAACTGGTGATTCACATTTGTTACGTCGAATCTCTAACTTATAGTGTCACTTTTTCGTAACAGACCAGGATGAATATGGTCATGTAAAGATAGTATTTAAGAATCTGAAATAGCTTGTCTATTTAAATACTTATATAGTGTCTTAGATTGCCGTGGTAAAAATAACAGTTTGAATGATGCTTAATGAAAAGATTTGTTTATCCTTTGCATATCGAGAGATTTTTTCTGTTCAACATATTTGTCTTACCTTTTCTATGAATTCCCCACACAAAGCGAATCATTACCTACTTCGTACTATTGTGTTTTCCTGAAATATCTATTTCTAAGCCTAACACTTTCTCCACTTCTTTGCGTAACTTAAGTCCTAGTGAAATGAAATTGGCCGGAAATGCTCATGCATTTTATAAAAGTCTTCGCACCGATGCTCTGAAGACAAGACTATCAAATGATTCGAATGCAGATAATCAAAGTGAAAATTCTCTAGTGAGTGAAGGCTCAATAACACCTGTTGGACCTGCAGCTGCTGCTGCAATCGCCTCATCGCTTTATGGTTCTGGTAAGTTAATTTTCACCAGTTAACACGAAATATTATTAAATTCAAAACTTACTTCCTCGTAATTAGTGCATTCAGGAGCACCACTTCTGATTTCCGAAGGGAAGGTAACAATTCAAACAGCCAAAAAAATATGAAATACTTGCAAGGAAAACGGTGATAGCTAATAAGAAGTGTTTCAGAGAATAGTAATATTTTTATAAGCATTTAAACATCTCGACGGACTACCTTTATCAGCAATAGTAGACATATGCTAATTTGCAGTAGACCTTTAGGTTTATCAACTAAACTAGTTTATTTTCTATTTTAACAGTTCACTGTAATGATGGCGGACTGACAGTTATATTCCATTTATTCACATGAAAGCCACGTAAGACCTCAGTGACTGAGACGAAATTGAGGCATTATGAAAAGTTCGGTTTCACAGTTCATTTGAGACAATATTGGACCAGCAACCCACATTCCAGTAGTTTCAGTGCTGTTGCAACTGAGTTTTTTAATCCTTTTACAACAATGTCACCCCAAGAAAACGTCGAAGAATGTAGCAAACACTTGAAGGTTGAACAATAGTTTTCTCTTCACTTTACTTTTTTGGAAAGTACCAAAATTATTCTGAAGACTTAAAGAATCATATGTTGCCCATTTTAATAATGATGACGCCTTTTTAGTTTGGATTACTCCACATAAACCTTGATTTCATATGAGGTCTCACGGTCACAATAGTTTTACAGTTTTCACAGTGGCAAGTAATGATATATGATAAAAGTTTGTAGCAAACAGCTTTGAAATTCAGACTAACTTATCTCTCTTGAGATATGTTGATTTTATTATATTAGAATTAGTGTAATGCAGCTAACAGTTAAAATATTAACAGTTTACAAAAGATAGTAAATATAAATCACAAGTCTGTTTTCAATACGGTTTATATGGAACTACAATGATAGGTCTGAAACATGATCGTAATCCATAGCCTTGGCCTATAAAATTACGGTCCATCAGAAATAAACACGTAATCAGTTTTAAACTTACCAGGTCAAAATAAATGAGACATAATACTTCCTGACTTATCTAACGTATTTTAATCTTTTTTAGGTGCTCCTTATCTACACGCGCGTGTACGAGCACGTCAGGAATTAGCTACACTAATAAGAGTGCCAGCACCCAAGTTGCAAACCAATGAAAGGCTTTCTGAGATCGACTCTGCGATTGTACCAGAAGTGAGTGGTGATGACGAGCATAAATCACCAACTAGTCAGAAATCTGAGTTCCAATCAAGTCAAAGTAGAACTGGGCAAAAAGTTACAGGGACTATTGTGTTAAAGCCCAACGAATTTGAAGAAAAGTCTTCAGATGAGAAAAACTCTTTCCTTAAAATCACAAAGACAACATCGTCAGTGTTTGTGGTACCAGTAACCATAACAAGCATAAATACAAGCAAGAGAACATTAACCACACAAACATCACAAGCAGCTGGTGATACAACTTCAAATATTCCAGAAAAATCTAAAATTAATTATGTTTGATTTGCAAGTATTTTGTTTTGGAAAAGCCGCATTTTCAAATTATACACTTATGATTCACAAATTCAACGTACTGCTTTTTCATGTAAACAAGAATTACTAAAACTAACTGTATTTTCTTCGACGTCAAAATATTTCTGGATATTTTCAACTCTCGCTTTCTTTTCGAACTTATCTTGTTAGCGTTTCCATAAAAGTAACATTTTACATATTAACTCCCTGTATGTGTCTGTGATTAGAATAGAGAAGAGTAAAATGAAGTCTTAGTTGTGCTTTTGTCTTTTACTGGAACAGGTTCAATCAAGGACACACCTTACGTTAAAGTCCATACATTGTAGCCTAACCCTTCTGTATTCGATACACAAGGTATGCCGATTAGACATAAGCGCACAACCGGCAGCTGGAATAGGTTGATAATGTGAATTAGACAGACTATAGATTACTTTCTTCAATACTTAACACCTGACCATTATTGATAGAATATAATCACAAGAATAACAGGGATTATTGTTCAAATACTAACTACGGATGTCGGAACTCGCCAAGTAAACTGAATTGGAAGATTTAGTTTCCCGTTAAAAAAAGTCATTACGTTCAAAATCATGAAAAATAGTGTTGCCAAGGTACCCTGGATAAACACCCAGCAGATGTATTGCATTTTTCGGCTTCTAAACACCAGTTTATCACAAAACCAATATTTCCTAGTCATAAGAATGAAGAGACTAGCTCGTCAACATTTATTTCCTCGCAAAGACGATAAATTACTAATATCAGCAGTTAGAAACAACATGCTCGGCACAGACACAATACTCTTGTTGGCAAAGTCACCATTTTCCTCGAGTATTTCTTCACTAGATGTTTAACCGAAGACATGCGAGCCGGTGGTTCAGTGGTAGAATGCTTGCCAACAACCCACATAGTTCGTTTCCGACTTCTGAACGGCGGACACCTAAATCTCGCATGATCGGAACTCAAAAGATTGGAAAACGACAACATAACTTATTTCTGAATTGCCACACAAGCTTGTCTGATAACTTATTTAGAGCTTTTCAAGACCAGTGCCGTAGTCTGTAGACAACTGTAGGTGTCTGTTCTCCTGAATCTCTGGAACCAAGAATGATACAATTCAATGCCGACGAAACCTCAGCGAGGATAAAGAAATATTGTGTGGCTTTTACCAAATACATCACACCTGTCGTAAACGATATCCGACGAACGGTCATAGGACATGTGCACTGCGCAGCAGTTCGCCCTGTCCTATTTTATATCTGCGAGACGTGGCCGTTGAAAGTGAAACATATGAAGAAACTAGTCTTTGGAGGTATGGCAAGGTACTATCGAAGTCAGGCGAAGTGTTAGACAAAAAGAGTAGGTAAAACAATGGTTTCGAAGTTGAATCAATGGAGAAAGCTAGGTGTTACGTATGCCGAACCATAGCCTCCCTCGTCGATTAATGTTAACTGACATAGGATTTGGTCGGAAAAGAACAAGGGGTGGTCAAATCAGAACTGGTATGATTCCATGAAGTCTTTGACTGTCGGTTTCAGCCACGTAGTGAGGTAGGAACAGAAGCTAAGAACTAACGGCTTGAGACTATTAGTGAGATAACTCAAAATTGTTCTGTGGCACAGATGCATTTACTTTTTGCAATCGCCTAGATCAATTAGGTCCTCCTATTTCTCCATGTTCCTATTCTTTATCCCGTATGTTTCCAATCAATGTAGTTCTTTTTTCTACGTCAGTGTGCTACACGGAGTGTGGGAACTTGAATGGGTGCACTTGTGTAAAATCTTACGTTGAAAACTCAAATACTTGGAAAAAGATGCACGCCTAACGTTACTGATTAGGTCTTACTATATTAATTCCCACTACTGAAGCAGAAAATAATGCAAAATATGCATTTCAAAAATAAATACACAGCTATGTAAAACAATTCGGAGTTTCACAGTAATCACTTCATTTAATATAACATGTGGAAGTAGAGATCAGACGATTTTAGATAAATTAAAAGCGATAGCTAAGAAATAAATTAAAATGTGCAGTTAGTTTTAGAGAAATTATAAAAATGGACTGTTAAAGTACAATAAATACCACGTATATTAATAAATATGAACAAAGTAAAAGGATAATTAAAGAAAGCATACGTATAAAAACATTGGAATACCACTTTTGTAAAACCTAAGATCGAAGCAACTGAGTAGGACAAATTTAGTTATACATGATGGAACACTGATGTCAAAGTATCCAAAAATAATTCGTCACCAAAAAAACAAAGCTCAGTGTGGAATGAATGAAAACGCTAATAAAAATAGTAAAAAGCCTAGTCAGAAGTAACAAACATTATTCATACAATAAATTAAATAAAACCAAGCGGAATATTAGTGAAATATTAGTGAAAGATACATAAAGATACGGAATAACATACCATCCAATGATTAAATGCAAAGGATGAGATCATAATAATTTAGGAAAGTGACGTGCACAACAACATTTAGAAATGCAATGCTGATATTAATATATTTTTAAAAATTCTAGCTAAAAGCGAAACGTGATACGTGAGCCGAGTGGAAATCAGTATTAAACAAATGATGTGGATCAAAGGGATTCGTTGAAGAATGAGAGAATGGTGAATGGCACATACTCAAGTGCGATACGTTTGATGTTACTTTAGATCCTGGAGGATGTGAAATTAATATATGAGACAGGGGGATAGACTGATTCGTCACCACACGACCACAGTTTTCAAAGACCGAGGACTGGCCAGCAGTGCGCGAGAAAGCCGCAGACTCATGAGCCGCAGTTGGAAGAAGCATGGCAACAGTTGGACCCGAAAGACAGCGATGCCTCAAGTAGTTTGGTCGGTACTTATGACACCGATTAGGATCAGACTGGCAAGCGCCTACAAGATAACGAGGAGAATTAACTGCAGCATTGAACAAACCACGTGTACATATGAATTAAGCTACATAACTAGGATAAATACAAAACGACACCTTAAACTGAATTACGAATAAACGGATATTATTGTAAACCACACAAAATATTACGAATTCAAGAAACGTAAGGAAAGCTTTTTGGATATTTCACAGTACACTCCAGTAAATCCTTGGAATACACCACATGAAGATAGTATGCTCTTATGTTGCCTATCTGCTACAGTGAACCACTCACCTGGAAGGTTCAGGCTGAAAGTAAAATTAACACTTACAAAGTTCTAATAGAAAGTTTGAGTAGTGCATATCGTTATTACTTCTCTGCTGATTACTTGATTTTCCCTGGCGCTAATCATTTAATTTCATTACGAACACCATAACTAGTCTAAGTATTAGAAAAATCATTCACTACTTAAGATGAAAAACAGCTATAAAGTCTTGTGTCTATCTCTTAAACGACATTTTTATTGTCTGTTATTTATACTCAAAGTGCATAGCTAGACGTATATTCATAATAATACAGTTACGCATAACCTTGAAGAAAGACTAATAACGGCTGAGGTTAGAAATGATTCACTGAGTAATTTCTGGTAAAGTATGACCTGTGAGGAAAGTGGTCACAGGCAGTATAATTCGTGGGCACCGTTACATGTAAGCCCAGGTACAACAATTAAATAGGAACAGTTCCTCACACTGCCATACATGTGACGTATGCCAGAAAGATTTGTATACTGGTGTAGCAACTAATGACTATAAACAGGGAATTGCACATGGACAAGTATACTGTAATATCACAAGCCCAAAATCAGTCAGACCTCCCACATTAGGACGGAGAAGGCCTCCAGTATTACACAACCCAAAATTCCATGTACTTTTTAAGTAACAATAAATCTGACAATCATTAAAAAATAGGTTCATTCCATTTGTCGATTTTGAGAACACAGAAATGCCATAAAGAAGTCAACATAACTACACATACATTTAAATATAGAGTGAAGCGCTTCAAAATGCACATATGCCCGGACTTACATGAGTACACAGAGTATGGATACATCTTCAGCGATGAATTTCCCGAATTAGTTGTCACGGTGCAAGGTACGATATTGTGTTTACCAATGAAAGCAGGAGAAGCCTGTGACCAATCCGGAGTTTTAACACTTGCTAAGAGACACGTATCCTGGGCTATTTTACGACCATACTGAAGCTTTACATATTCGCGATCCGAAATGCATGGGCTGGCAAAACCATCCAGTTGCCGACGCATAACGACAAAGCAGAAAATAAAGCGACAATATATGGAGTAAGATTTGGAACAAAAAGGATAGATGGCAGTTACTAGGATCACTGCATAGTTGAAGACCTATCCCAACCATCCGCACCCCCACCAAACCAAGCGGGAAGTACCACTTGACAGATTTTAACAATTCGTACATAATAAGGCACATGATGAATATTGAAAAAATTCGCCTTCAGATTCTCAAATAACAACCCTATAAAATAAATTTCGGTATGATCTACTGTGGACGCTGCTGCCAAAAGTCCAGTTTTGACATGTTTTGCCTTATTCTTCCATATTTGTGAAGAAATATTCCTTGAACCCATTAGTCCACAGTAGCGGTGGTACTCTGTAATGACTTTATAGAAATAACCATAGCCAGTGGTATTAGACCAAACCTTTAATAACACATGTAACTGCATGGATTCATTATCTAATCAACGCTGGTGCGAAATTCGGTGTTCGTTTGGAGAAGATCAAGGGAACTCACGAGTGGTGCATAGGAAGGCAGGTGAAACGTCTGCGATTTGGCCAAGTCTTCATATTTACTGATGCTGCAGTTATTGTTATATCTACATGATTGCCATAACGCTACTTTTAGACGACAGTCAATGGTGGACTTCGGTGAACTCGTCAATCTGGTGGCACTCAGTTATGCACCACAACTTGACACGTTATAATGTTGATTTCGGCCAATAATTCCAGTTCCTGGTTAGGAAAACATGCATATTGGTTTGGCAATATATATCCTGAAATAAAAACCCCACTTTAAAGTAGTATTCTTCGTGTTTTAATAGATGTTGCTCGGTCAACATCGACTTTGAGGAGGCCTTTTGACAGATTCGATCGTGAAGCAACTTGATGGTCATCTCGACACTACCGGTTACAGTGCTGAGAACATTGATAGACCTGATGCAGCAGCTGCATGATGATGACCCATGCCAAATGGCCCATAAAATTGAGTATACTGAAGCGTTTGAAGTGAAGAAAGAAGTGACACAAGGATAAGATTTTATTTTGATAAATCACACAGTGTTGTACAGTAATATTAACTGAAGACGTTTCGAGCATAAACTATTGCTCATAATCATATCAAGTTGATATGATACTTATACTTACATCAAGTGACACAAGGCTTTCCATCATCATCAACAACATTCCTAATCATGGTTGACTGGACCATGTGACTGATCGTCTGCGATGAGAAGATAGGTATACTCTGAATCGACATGAAGACTACAGAAGACTGATATTTTATGGATAACTTTTGCATTATGTTGCTCAACCTCGGAGATTCACTAGCAGAAACCGGCAAGCTGACTAGTGAGTTGACAAAGACAAAAATTAAGATGAACAAAGAGATGAGAGATACGATGAGAATACGGAGCAACCAACGACACCAATGATCAACAACGATAGTAATTTCAAAAGGTTTATCTATTCCCATCGCTTTGTTGGCATTGTTCTGACTAGAAAGATGAAAATGTCAACAGCATGAGTGGTAGAGTGAGACAGAAATTCACGGATCTGAAATCAACATGGAAACCTACAGCACTTATCAAAAGGAACAAGATTTGACTTTCCAGAGCTAGTATTCATCCGTATACTCCAGATACTTGGTAGGTGAGTTATCGAGAGCATTCCAAATGAGCTTCAGACTTTCATCAACAGCTTCCTCCCCTGCTTCGGCGGTGAACGTCAGATCGATGTTCGAAAAGAACAAACTACAAGGAACAAGCAGTCAACAAGCAAAAGGAGAACCCTTGTCCCAATGAATATGAGAAAGGAAATGATGCATGCACCTAGGGGCCTTCAGGTGACAACACATGCAAGGTTTTTGGGCGAAAACTAAGTGGAAAGTGACAAATTGGGCAAACGAAATGTGGATGATGTGCCGAATTTCATCTTAATAGGAAATGAAAGATTTTAAGCAAACTTAGGGTTGGTCAAAGTTATGACAAGCAGAGTACAGTAGATATGTGGAGCTAAAGCTCTGTTTTCCTCCCATGATATCAGAAGTGGGCTGGTTGAGAATCACTCGATTTCCTTATATATATCACTTGTCTAAATTGTATACGTTTACTAATAAATAAGGTAGTGGAGTGCGGAAAATTCACTGAACTACCGTAATACGTCACAATTCCGATGATCTAGTGAGTTATTACCGGAAGTTCACTTAAAGTTCACCTAAAGCAGCACTGCTATGATATGCGAATGATTAAAATGCGGCAAACATCACTATTTGTTATTTAATTCAATTTGGATTTTTCCTTTGAACCGAAATGTTCGGTCTTTGTTGACATGTCAGCTCCTTGTGAGGATGCCCCAATGATGTCTGACTCTGTCTGTCTGAGGATTTGATTTGCAGTAATTTGGTGGATGGTGACTAGCAGTGGAATCTAGGATGCACATTTCATCCTATTTGGGACTGACTCGTCATCTGGATGTACATCCCCCAGCTGGAAAATCATCGCTCACTGGGGAGTGCAGATACATCTGGCTGACGGTTCGGTCCCAAATGGAATGAAATGCGCATCCTGGATTCCACTGCTAGCTACCACCCAACAAATTACTTCAAATCACTGTTTGTAATCTACTATATATATCAAAGTAAGAATACAAAATGGAGAATTGAACGACTGCGACTTTAGAACAGTCGACT